TTCAAATAGGTACATAGCAGCACATTGCACAATCTCGTCTTGATCTATACAATTCAAGCCTGCGCAAGGCTTCCTTTTTGCTTAGAAACTTTGATTTCATTACTGTTTGAACGCTTATATTGTCCTTGTTTTGTTATCAAAAACCAAGCGGTCCCTGCAGTTTGTAGATTACCTCATTACATAATGTTATGAGCGCTTCACATTCACTAACAAGAGAACGATACTTAGTGTTTGTGGCCTTTTGAGATGAAATGTAAGCCATTACACTCGTTTTCGAACGCTGATTCCCAATCTCACTTCCGTTTCTGCTAGTGTTTTCTCTGAAAGAAGTTATGAAAAATTTTCGCGCCAAGTTTGGCTGAGCGAGGCAAATACGATAAGAACACCAATATGGTAACATTTTGACATGCATTCATTTTCCATTCTTCATTTTTATAGGCACCTTTTGGAATAAATATAGGAAACACTCTTATAAAAATAACCCCTATTGACTGTCCAAAAAGTAAGGACATGCATTTTCCTCGGGGAAACCTAACTCTCACAAAGAAACTTAGTTGAGGAAGTGCAAAACTGAAAAATGCAAAAGATCTGAACCGATCTGAAGATCTAAACCTGCATCAACTTGTGAGGCTATCGCACTAGCCACTACACCACAGCTGTCATTTTATTGGTGTTCTTATTATATCTTGGCAGCCAAATTTGGCGCGAAAATCCTTCATAACTTCTTTCAGAGAAATGATTAGTAGAAACGGAAGTCAGATTCGGATTCAGCGTTCAGGGCAAATGTAATGTTTTATATTTGATTTTAAAAGGCCACTTACACTAAGCATTGTTCCCCTGTAAGAGGGAAGTTATGGAAGAATGTGCACAACTCAGTTGCTCTAATAAGAAAAAAGTATAGAATAGAAATTTCAGGGCTACTCGGATGTGCTGGTCCCTCGATTGAGTCATCTTATCAGCTTAGTCAACTTGCAGAAGCTGGCAACATTGTAGCCGGTTTGTTGTCGTTTCTTTAAATAACTTTATCTAAGCAAGAGTGCATTTAGAAATGTCTCCTCGAACGCGACGGAGTCGGTTACGGAAGATATTTGTCTCGCTGACGCCTACAAAGTAAGCTTACAAGCATTCTGATTGCTTAGATTGTATGACCTTTGGTTCAATTGGTTTGGCGGCTGGAAGGCTGGGCTTTGTGACCTAATTAGGGCCGCTCGCGCCCGCGACGCAGTCGCGTCTCTCCCGCGCGCTTGCTCTCTGATTACCTAGCCTTAATTAGGTCACGAAGCCCCGCCTTCCGGCCGCCAAGACGGTTGAATCAAAGGATACAAAGGATACATACACCAGCGTGTCAACACTGTTCCATAGAGACTTGCACTGGTTCTACTATCTATACGCACTCTTTGTTCTCCCATGATGACTTTGAATTTACCGTGCAATGCTGACCATCACGAATGAATGAATTGAATAAATGAGTGATGAACCAATGACTTGAACGGAAACAATAACCTTTTTAAATTCCTGCTTTGCGGCAGAGTACGCATGCCGTCACAGTTGAAGTCGTAGGGTCCCGTAGCGACTCTGCGTCTCAGCCTTCGAGACCATCCTATTTCAAGCTTTAAGGCTTTGGAAAACGCATGTTCTCAGTCGTGTTTTTTAATGTGAATTTCAGAACTCAGAAGAACTATACTTAAGTTCTTGCCCAAACGCTTGCCTTGGACCACGAATCTCTGAGCTGTTTGGAGCTAACTATCAAATTATAAACAACGTGAGCTTTACCAAACATGGCGAAACGTTTGCAAACTTACTTTACTTTACTTTACTTTACTTATACACTCAAAAGTGTAACACAAAAGAAAAAGAAACAGCAAAATACAATGTCAGCTAGTTTAAACCAACGGAAGACCAACGCGTACGTAAGAGTGAACTAGAAGACTCAATTCCGTAAAACCTGCTAAACGATCAGTAGTGTGGAATACTCACTCAAAATAGTTAATCAAAGACGACTTAACAGCAGAATCTTGCTTCCTTTAGATTGATAAACCCCTTTTTTGTTTGTCAACGAACTTACAAGCGGACTTAACCTCTGTAGTACATAAAGAAGAAGATGTTTGCTTTCAGAAAGGTTCTACCAGTTTGCAAATGCAGAAACATCAGAACAGAAATAGATAATTATCACGTATCACATGCCGCCAGAATAGCAGTAAAAACTGTGCCGATAGGCAGGCACGTCATAACAACGTTCTGTCAATGCTCAAGCATGCAATCGGAACATTCCAGCGCAAAAAGCAGCAAGTGACGGACTCTCTCGAATTTTTTCTTTAGATTGATTGATGTTGCACCGTGTTTAGACAAATTTGACCACTGTGAAGTTACTTTTTTAACTGCGAATTTCTTGAGATTTTTCATTCGATCGAAAACGCCGGTGCAAATTTTGCAGCACAGGTCCAAAACATGTCAAGCATCCCTTCTTCTTCTGATTTTTTCGTCGAAATTGCCAAATATGATATCCTTTGACTAAACTGCTTGGCGGCTGTAGGGTGGAGCTTTGTGACCTAATTAAGGCTAGGTGATGGTTAGAGAGCACACGCAAGGGAGAGACGCAGACTGCGTAGCGGGCACGAGCGGCCTTCATTAGGTTACAAAGCCTCGCCTCCCAACCGCCAAGCCAGTTGAATCAAAGGTTACAGATTAAAGGGGTATCAAAGAATGGACCTACTAAGCCTCGTTTTTCAGTAGGTCTGTTGTCTCAGTAGCTTTCACGGGCAAACGTTACCAATGTAGAGCTAATTTTTACGTAAGACTCATCCAAAAAACCAATCTATCTTTACATAAGAGTGACATTTCTATTGCTGTGATAAAAAAGCTGCCATCTAAAGAAACTTCCAAATTTTAAAATATTGTGAAGGGGAGGGGGTCCAGGAAGACCTTTTTGAAGCCATTTTGGTTTTGAAGAGTTGATTGAATGGTAGTGTAAATTTTTAGGAAAGGTCAATACAAAATGCTGCAGTTCCCAACATTTTGTTTTTGATGGAAGTTTATGATGTTTATGATTGATTCGAGGATGCACATTTTTTATCCTAAAGCGGTGAATATAAAAAATTCATGATACATCATTTGATAGAGCGAAACAAGAGTTTTCATGACAGTATTTGATTGAGCACAGAAGGTTCGATCTATATGAGGTTTGGCAAATTCTAGAAAGTTCTGAATTAGAATCTATTTTCGTCTAAAGAGATCCTGCGACCTTCACCTTAGTTAGGCATATACTCTACACATCAGACATTCATATTTTGAGGTAACCTTTTCGTGGCTGGAAGTCGAAAAATAAAAGTATTCCAGAAATTCAAAACTGTCGTCTTTTCCAGTTTTCTATGTTTAATCTGATGTTTTCCAGACCTAACGCCTGAAGAAGGCTGAAATATTATCACACTTTGTAGGTTTGTACGGATTTATTCAAGTCTGGACAAACCAGTACTGCTTCCCACGCGTGCCAAATTTTATGTCCCATCTTTTAGCCATAGAAACAACATACAAAGTGTACATAAGCAAAGCTGATGCTATATGTTACTTTCAATAGCAAACTGGGAGTTTCTAGATTTTTCCGAACAAAGATCCAAACTTTGGACATTTAAGGTTTTTGGATTTTTGTGCCCTTAACTTTCCGTGCACCAAAGCTTATGGGTTCGTTTGAAAATCAGTAAGGCTTGCTTTATCTTATCGACTGATATGTTTCAAACTTTTTTTTACCTTTTCTGCCGCTTCAAAATGTATGCATCGATTTTTCGTCATCCTATTAGATCTAGCCACTATGATATATTTGTTATCGTGGTTTGCAGCTTATTTCGGGACCTATTTGTCACATTTCTTGGCATAGAACCCGCTTAAAAGTTCTTACCGTGATCACAAAATGATATATAGACCTTGGATATGTTTTGCACTGTAAAAGCCTACTAAGATCCTAAATGTCCGCGAAAATTATGAGACATTAATCCTTAGCGAGCAATTACTCGATACACTTTGGGAGATGCCCTGTCGGTCGAAAATACATCAAATAAAATCGGAATTACCAAGTTCACTACTCTGGTATGGTAAAGGTGAGTGATGCCATAATAATCTACAGTTGGTTTTTTCGGAGGTCAAGTCAGCTAGCTTCCACCCGCAGCCTCGTTAACAACCAAAAAAGGGGTCTATCAATCTAGATGAAGCAAGATTTTGCTGTTTAGTCGTCATTGATCGAGTATTCCATATCTGCTGATTGTTTGCCAAATTTTACGGGACTTAGTGTTCTATCATTCTTATGTGCATTTAACCTGTGGGGTTTAAGATTAGCTGGCATTGTATTTTGCTTTTTCTTTTTCTTTTGTGTTAAACCTTTGAGTGTATAAGTAGAATAAAGTAAAGTAAAGTGATCATAGTTATTCAAAATCTTTGTTGAACAGTATTAGAAAAGAGATTAGACTTTTGCTAGTACTCTAGCATTCCTTGAAGTGGCACTTTAGCTTTTCCATTTCACTGCAACAGTATTTGATCGATGGCGCTTCACACGAAACGAAACGATGTCATCACATTCTGGTGTACTTTACACTTTCGAGGGCGGAAAAATTCAAAAACGTCGAATTGCACTACCAGTTCTAGTTCAACGAATTCATATCTGCACCGTTTCTCTCTGTCGACAAATTAGGAAATATAGGATCTGAGGAGCTCCTAACTAAATGCTAAAAAATGGTCTTCATTGGGAAAAGGTGAGCGTTCCGTTTTGCAACTTGTAGCCTAGACAACTCTTTCACATTTTTTGACATTATCATATTGTCATAAAAATTTACGATCTTTACACTGTTAAACAATTGAATGTTTCTCTCAGATTTGCAGCCATTGCGCTTTCTCCCAAAAATAACATGCTTACGCTTCCTCTCTCGATAAACAGTCTTTTGCATGCATTTGATCAGCTGACGGATTTCGAAACGATCCCCCCGTTCACTTTCCCTATTTGTCGCTTATTGCTCAGCTAGCGACTTTATCGACGATATGATTATCGAACTACAATCGTAATTTACATACGGCGCACTCGATATAGAATAATAGTGTTACCGGTGAACGTGGTTATCAGCTTTAGTTCTTTCCCAAAGCTTCCCGTAGAGGGCAGACTCTTACTACTACTACCTTTATTTCACACTTCTACTTTGAGCTGGAATGTTTCGCTGGAGGTAGGCATACATTTTTACCTTTAAATGCTCGCGCTTCATCTTTACAATTTCTTGCCTCAACCCTTCATCTACCCCAATCTCAATATTATATTATATATTATTGTCCTTATACCTCCTTGCCTCCTCTTTTTTACCCTAATTTCTTCTTTCCATGAATGTCATTCCGCATTACGACTGAAATAATGTAGATGTCGGAAAATAGAATTGTGAAAGTTCCAAGAAAACAATTTGGACATTTCAAAAATTAAGAAACTGTTTGTGAAAACTGTAACTACGTTGTCAACCTTTATGACATAAATGTGAAATAAAACTCCTTGCAAATTCAGATTTATTCAAATTAGTTTTTTTTGACTTTTTCATTCGAAACTTTTATCAAGATGGCTCAAAGTTAGTTGCACTACTATCACAGTAACCGAATCTTAACTAATAATAGATAATGTTTATAATCATAATATTACAACTTAAACACTCCGTTTCGTTTCTATCCTTAGACGGAGTACTGTGTTGTTTCTGCCATCCCCGGAACTCTTCAGTAAGGAAGGATGGCGAAAATTAAAATTAACTCATCTTTCTATATAAAATTGTTATTGGAATGAGTAGTTCAAATGTTTAATTTCAACTATTTGATTTGCAATAATTTTTGATGCGTTTCATCAAGTTAGTCCCAAGTACTTTGTAAAAGAGATAATTTTCATCAATTTTAACACTATCTAAATACTTATACTATTTTAATGCTCATAACAACTTATTCATATTAGGTTGTCCCGAAAGTTTTGTCCGTTTTTTCAACCTATCATAAAAACGCGTGGGACGAAGATTGGGAAACGCTCTAAGCACTTTCCGACGCATCTTTTCCTTCTCTTTCTAGCTGTCATGCTTCCATGCCGATTAATCTTTTGTTCATTGAGATAAAGGCCAAAATTTCGAACCCATGGTTTTTACTATGTCCAAGTTTGGCAATTTTTCACAATCTTTATTTTTGACTATCGGAAAAGCTTTGGCAACAGTTAGATAGAGCAAACAAAGGGCAATATAATGCAATTTTGCGGCGTCTATAGCCAGCCTTGAAAATTTTTTAGAATTATTTTTCTAATGTTATCAAATACTTTTGGTGATGTCAAAAGCCAGAGACCATGAAACGGCGCACAATTAAGGTGTTATTCGATGCAGCTTTTCCTCCTCTTTCCAGTGAGTGTATTTTCTCTCCAATTTGCGGGCGATAAAATTTTCATAACTCTTGAATTTGACCCCACCCCAGCGTGCACACGTAGAATGCAAAATCTTATATTTCGAAGCGGTAAACGCTCATTTGCTTCGCAAAAATAGTGGATAATCGTAATCGGTTTTTGAAAGCTTCAAAATCCGATGATTTGTTAGTGTTCGAGGCGTTTCTGTATTTTACCACTTCGCAAAAGTGAAGATTTTTGAAAAATTATCCTCAAAAATATTGAAAAGCCAGCTAGATATGCCAAATAATTGCATTGCATTGCCCTTTGCTTACTCTATCTGCGGGCTATCAAAGTTTTTTCAAAAGTTGAAAATGAAGATTGTGAAAAATTTCCAAACTTTGACATAGTAAAAACCATGGTTTCGAAATTTCGGAGTTTATCTCAGTGAACAGAAGAGTAATCGGAGTGTGGGCTTGACAGTTAGAAAGAGGAGGAAAAAATGCTCGGGTAGTGCTTAGAGCGTTTCTCTATCTTTGTAGCACCTATTTTTATGATAGGTTAAAAAAACGGACAAAACTTTCGGGACAACATAATAGTTTCCTCTAGTTTCGATCTAGCTAGTTTTGAATCAGTTCCTTACATTTTTCCCTTATATTTTTTTTCAAATTAAGACGATGTTTAGCTTAACCACAAATACTTGGTCTTATACTCTGTTTTAGGGAAGGAAAGTAGCGAAGTTAAAAAAGCTTTAGTTTCTGATACACCTCATCTTCGGTGTACATTATAGTATGATATGTTACAAAACTTTTTTATGATAGTTAATTCTACCACTTCTTTTCTGACCACTTCATGCCATATCTCTAATTTTCTATAGGAAGCATTCCCCACTCAACAGAAACATTTTTCGATGAGGCCCATCAGCTTTGAATCATTTGAACACATTCAACCCTAATAATCGATCATAAAGCTGCATCTGAACTGAAAAATAACGAACATGAGCTGTCACTGACAAACACGCAAAATCGATCAACATATCCCACATTTTTTGGTGATGTAATGTCGTTCATAGAAAATTTGCAATTCTCGCATTTGAGTGTTATTGCGCTACTTTTTAAGTATATGCCAAGAAGAAGTATAGCTGCAAAGCATATCATAACCTGTGGTTGTCAATATCCTCCGTCCTTTCTGGAGTACTTTTCACTGAACTGAAGATATTGTCGAAAGGTTCTACTGTGTTTCTAGCGCTTTCCAAATTTTCCAAATATTGGAAAAGCGTCGTAGCGTAAACGTAAATTCGAAAAGGTTTACCTTTGTAAAACACATGATTGATACAAGCTGTATATTGGTTACGAAGAAGTGATCCGGTTTTTGCTCCTCAAAAGCTTTTCGAAAATTTTCTAGTATCGTATAAAAGCAGAAAAAGTTTCTCTGTCTACATGCTTGATTTCTCTTTTCTCTAAGGTAAGAAAGAAAATGCTTTGAACATTCCGTTTCGTTCCTTCCTTTAAGAATAAAGTACCTCGGAAACCTCCCAACTCTTTGGCAAGGAAGGAGAGAGAGTCCATGAGTCCTGTGTATATTTGAAAATAGTGGATAACATTTTTGAATGTTGTTAAAATAGTTGAAGTTTAACGACTTACAGTTTGTATATACTCCGTCTTTTATTATATACTAGCTGGCTTACCCGGCTCCGCCGTATCCAGACCAAACTTGGCACACATACACTTCGGGCCCCGGCGGGTGTCACAGTCCACTTTTCGTTATCGATCGATGTCGATTTTACCGATTTTTATCGATTTTTTTGCAGAGTTCACCTACAGGGCTAGGAGTTGGCACAGGGGGGAAGTGAGCATGGGGATTCCGAATACAATATTAGTTTTCAGAATTATCGATTACTTTTATTGATTTTATCGATTTTTTGTAAATTTTGACATGCGAGGCTGGGATTTTGCACGGGGGGGGGGGGTAATCGAGCATGCTGATTACGAACACAATATTAGTTTTCAGAATTATCGATTACTTTTATTGACTTTATCGATTTTTTGTAAAGTTTGACCTGCGGGGCTGGGAGTTTGCACAGGAGGGGGGGGGGGGGTAATCGAGCATGCAGATTACGAATACAATATTAGTTTTCAAGATCGTCCATTACTTTTATCGATTCTATCGATTTTTTGAAAATTTGAGCTAGGGGGCTGGGAGTTGGCACAGGGGGGGGGGTGTAATCGAGCATGCTGATCACCCTCCTTGGGGATGATCAGCATGCTCGATTACCCCCCCCCCTGTGCCAACTCCCAGCCCCCTAGCTCAAACTTTGCAAAAAAATCGATAAAATCGATAAAAGTAATCGATAATCCCGAAAACCAATATTGTATTCGGAATCCCCATGCTCGATTACCCCCCTGTGCGAATTCCCAGCCCCGTAGGTAAACTCAGCAAAAAATCGATAAAAATCGATAAAATCGATATCGATCGATGACGAAAAGTAGCCTATGACATCCGCCGGGGCCCGAAGTGTATGTGTGCCAAGTTTGGTCCGGATCGGTTCAGAAATAAAAATTTCTATTCGGAACATACGTACATACAGACATACAGACATACAGACAAACAGACATTCAGCTTTATATATAAGATATATATATATCTATAATATATCATATATCATATGTCCTATCTAATAGGTCGTTTCATAAGTTCGTAGCGTTTTTATAAACCAACAAAATCATCAATTTACAGTAAAAATCGATCATAATAATAATCCTCGTTGTAGCGCACGACCTTTTGGCACATTTTTTTAGCTTCTCAATCTCAATCTTTCAAACGGCAGGAGCCGGGTCCCAAGAAAGTCATCTAACCAGCGCTGAAGCTAATTACTGAAATCGAGACAGGCACCATTCATGAGGTTTGCCAAAGAGCGGAGCAAATAATAATCTGATAGAGCGAGATTTGGAGGGTACTCTGGGTACGGAAGTACCTTCCAGTCAAATCGTGCAGAACAGTTTTGACGACGTTTGCCGCATGAGGCCATGTTCCGTCATGCACAAAAGCTCACTAAATCTGCCGGTAGGCTCTTTCTGCGATAGGTCCTGGTTTAGACGGTGCAGTTGAATTGCTTACGTATGGTTGACCATCGCCTACCTGCACAGCAATTTTCAGTGCAAGACGTCCTGCCCGTTTCCCGAAAAGTCTTGTTCAGGGACACCCTGCTTAGCCCCTGGTCTTTCGTAGCAATCCAGTCCATTTTTGTCTCATATTGATGCGCGAGCGCCATATTCCATAATCGATACAAAAATCTGTGCAAAAAGCTTCTTTTCATAGGAAAAATGCGCAAATGCCGAAATTGCTCTTTTTTGCCTTTCAAAATTTTCATCTTTGGAAGCTGCGAGATGCGAGTGAATTAGCTTTCTACCGGAATCAGTAGACGTATTTTGAAATGCACAACCAGCCCTTCCCAATGACATACGCATCTTGCCGCAAATCAACCGCTCCTCAAAGATGAGGACGAAAATGAAAACGCTACGAACTTATGGAACGACCTAATATATACTATGAAATATAGTAGTGACCATATTAGTAGATTTGAGGGTAAAATGAAACATGCTATAGAGTTTTTGATGGTTTTATGGTTGAAAGTTTATGGATACACTCCACATCCATTGATAACAAAGCGCACAATTTTAGGAAACCAAAAAGCGTGAGCGTGAGTTCTCTTGATTTGGACAAGACCGATGAGAACGAAACGCTGCTAGCTTGCGAAGAAAAGGAAAAGGTAAGTTGATCAATTTATAATTGATACTGACTTTTCGTACCGATACTAGACACTATAACAAGTCCAACTTCGATATGGGCTGCTATTACAATCTTATCTTTCTTATATATAGAGTTGAACCTGTGTTTTTATATGTATGTACGCTTTGATTCAACGAAATTGGCGACTGGAAGACGACCGCTCGCGCCGCTACGCAACTTGCGTCTCTCTCGCGCGCGTGCCCTCTGATCAATCTCTAGCTTTAGTTAAGTCGCGAAACCCCGCCTTTCAGCCGCCAATCCATTTGAATTAAAGGATAAATTCCCAAGAAAATAAACTTCTAAGCCGATCGGAACCCCTTTGTACACCTAACATCGGGCGAGCCGGATGCCTTGGTCTACTTTTCGTTGTCGGTCATTACCGATTGACTATTTATTGCCTTTTGGGTATGTGGACTATAAATGACGGTACCATATTCCAACATTGGTCTAATAAAAGTCTTTAAGCCTTCAAAAGAATTTTAGGATTTGTACATGACAATCCTCTGTACAAATTGTAAATTGCCACCGTAGCCTTGTCTGCAATTACCTTACAATGCTCATCAAACGAAAGACTACTTGTGACCAGAAACCACAAGTCTCTAACTGAGTCAACAGCTGCAAGTGGGCTACCTCCTAAACTGTAGGGGTGTCTTATATTACTGGAACCTAAGTGACTAGGCGTCTCTACGGACGCTGCCGCCGTCTCGTGCATCGAGCGCTCTTTTACCTCCGTGCGTACGACGAATCGCATATAGAAGTGGGTAGGGGTTGGGAAACATTATGTAGAAATGGGTTGGAGCGGTGAGTTCTATCATGATATGCTGAGGGACCGAGCGAAGGCGGGTATCTCAACTAATTTTCCATGTTTTGCAACCGACTTTATTAGGTTGCTGCATAAGTTCTGTCCTATTTTTTTGCCTTATGTTTGAAGCAGCTGTTCTAAGAGAATTTCATCCCTAATGCAGTATTATTAGTATCATTAGAAGTGCTTTCCTTGCTCTTTCTAACGCATATCAGATTTTAATAAATTTCTTGGTGTACGGAGATTTCAGACCTAAAATCTCCAAGTGACCAAGGTACGTTTTCACGTAGAAATATGTTCTTGCGAGGAAATCTCCACAGTGCGCCCTTCAAATCAAGTTCTTTCGTTGGCTGCGGAATAAGGGTGTAGAAGGCTAGTATATGCAGAAGTTCGGTTCTATGAAGAAAATGTCTTGCTAGTAAAATTTATCTCTAAACATTAATTTTTTGTATAGATGTTTTACAAGCAATAACTTTCTGCGAATAGAAGTAATTGATAAGCTCAAAGTTGGAGGTTCTATTGCAAAGCAAGAGCTAGCAGGGCCCATCCACCAGTTCCTTTTCGGCGCTCACCTCAGTTGTAAAATTTTCATAATTCGTAAATAGTCATGCACATATGTGCTGAAGCGAGGTCAAAAAGTGGCTTCTTTTTTGCTCGGTCAAAAAAATCTCTCGGCGCAGACCCTTTGGGCTCTTTCATATAGCATAATAACCTACGCAAATTTCTCTAACTATCCACTGTTAGATAAGATGTTTAATTAATTCTCATAAGGGAGCGTTGCCATGTCAAAAAGACAGGTTTGAAGAAAAACGCTGTGAAGGTTTTGCATTCTTGCTTCTTTCTTAACAAGGATTTGCGCAGGTTTTTATATGTGTTTTATAGCCAAGGAACCGCTCAACACACAGAAAGTAAGACCTTGGAAAAAAGTTGACTTTGAAAGAAGTTACGACGTTTTGTACACAAAAAATTTGAATCGGACAGAACTTATGCAGCAACCTAATACATTCTCAGGCATAATTTTCTGCTTATCTCACGAGCAATTCAAGCTCGCCATAAATTGTTTTGAAATTCGCTCACAGATCAAGGTGGTGTATGGAAATGATATGGCAATATATTTAAGTCAAAAGAGTACAGTAACAATTGGGTTACGGTGCTTCACAAATAGGCTATCGCTACCATAATTCAATTGTCAGCGGACTACTATGGTCACGAACTTGTCCTCTCAATGATCGCCGAATAAATGAGTCAAGATTCAATACGAAGACATAATAATAATAAGAAATAGTGTTTTTATAATATTATGACTTAAGATCTTTATTTCGTTCCTATCTTAGACGAAATATTGTGTTGTTTCTATGCCATCCCCGAAACTTTTCAGTAAGAAAGATGGCGAAAGCTATAATTAACTCGTCTTTCTATATGAAATTGCTATTAGAATTTATGATTCAAATGTTTATTTTCAAGTATTTGATTTTCAATAACTTTTGATGCGTTTCATTAGGTTAATCCCAAGTGCTTTAGAGATAATTTCTAATTTTTAATGTTTGAATCAGTCATCGGTCCAATTTGTCTTTATTCTTTTGCAGGAGGAAAAGGAAAGCGAGTCAGCTGAGATAACTCCGGTCAACGAAATGGTGAGTCATTTGATGTGATCTCGTGCATTTGCATCTAATTTTTTTTCTCTCCGCTGCAGTTCTGTCGTTGTCTTTTTTAACTTCTAGAAATATGATATGTTCACGTTATTCAAATACATTTTTTATTATTATTTGAAACCCCAACCGATGAGTGTGAATGTAAACTAGTCACTGCGTCTTCATTGCTCGAAAATTGTCATACGATGCGAAACAAACTGCAAAACTGGACCTGGAAAAAACCAGAGAAAAAAAAAACGACTCTCAAAAAAAGGCTTGAAATTAAGAGCAAGCTAGCGTATTGTTGTGGGGCACAAAAATAGGAGAGCATCCAAAATTCTTGGCGGTGTTAGATCAATTCGCTTTTGAAGTATCTTTGAAGTGAAGACAACAAGGCTTCAGTGGTCTCAAACAATTCACCGGAGCTTCCGCAGGACAAGCAGGATTTGCAGCACTTACTCAACTATTGGGAAAGTGCACGCTTCATTATGCAGGGTTTCCGCAGGTGACCTGGCGGCTGCGAAAGCACTGTGGAAGTTCTGGCCAGTTGTCTGAGGATGTAAATTCACCCTCAAGCTCTACTTACAACATAGTGTCAATTCCCATTCAACCATTTGCACACCGTTTTCAAGTACCTCTTGTTTGTTTTCGAGTGATTAGATTATAAATAGAAGGTGCCTTGCTGGAAGCAGCGTCTGCTCGTCTTTTTTTTCCTGGCGATGTACTTCGCTGTTTGTTATGAGTGTTGCCATCGATCTTTGTTGCACTTAACCAGGTTCTTGGTCATTTTTTTATTCACACACATTTCTCTCTTAGAGGTGGTCCTTCGTTGATGAAACATCTGTAGGCCTGTAAAGCTTTTTTATTCATAAATTTCGCACGCACATTTTAGTGCTATCCATAAGTCAAAAGGAACAGCATAACACAAGTCAAAAATTTAGCATAAGAAAGAATAAAGGAAGCAAATCATACAACAAAAACGGAATATGCTGTTTACACAGTAGCTGATGTACCTTCTGATTCAATCAGCTTGGCGGCTGAAAGACGAGGCTTCGTGACCTAATTGAGATTAGATAATGATCAGGTAGCACGCGCGCGGGAGAGACGCAGACGGCGTAGCGGGCGCGAGCGGCCTTAATTGAGTCACAAGCCCCGCCTTCCAGCAGCAAGCCAGTTGAATCAAAGCCTAAGCTATAGCACATGGCTGACACTAAGGATTAGCTAAAATGACACACTACAAAGATATGCAAGTGGATGATAAGTATACGTTATATGTATTCAAGCGCCATCAAAGATTTTGAGAATCTTGATGGGCTAAACTTTACTTTATCGAAACATTTGTCTATCCCCATAAGTTCGAGCTTTTCACTCTATCGAGTAAAAAAGAGCAAGTGATAGTCACTGGGTTGGACTATACTGCGCTTCGTACACCGCGTATGATGCGAAGTCTGGCTCAACACACTACCATCCGATTTCGAACATCAGAGTTGGTGCTTGTTGTCATAAGGTGTTCAGACTTAAACTGGATACAGCGATATTTCCTGAACGAAAGACTATTTAAACCTTGAGAGGATTACGATAAGTTTTGAACATAAGAAAGAGCGTTAGTGTAGTGTTTCTTCCAGCCGCAGTATACTAAAGGCTACCCAAGTCGTACACGGTGGTAGGTTGATAAGAAATGACTGCTCGTTTGTTGCCCCTCAAAGTATTAGGTTTTTTTTTCTGTGGAAAAACAGATCCGGCTAGCTTCAATTCAAATCTCACAAGGAGCTGATTTACAAAATTTGATATATTAAGAAAAATTAGGAATGTTTCCGTTTGACGTGATAAAACACGTATAGTATATAGAAGTTTCAAAATTTCATTTTATTTGGTCTTGGGATACGGTGGTATTGAACTTGAGTTCAGCTGCATTGTCGATTTTTTGCGAAAACAATGCAATTTGTATGTCTTTATGACAATACATAAATCGACAAACAGCTGTTTGTATGATTGAGACAATGCGTTACAGCGTCTTCCGCAAGGAAACATTGAAAAATTCGTCGATCATGATTAAGTTCCATGTTTTTGAAGGTTTCGCATGTGCCAGATCTTGGTTTGTTCTACCACGGCTAAATCTAACCTGCCCTTCAAATAAAGATTCCTTTTGTAGCAAGCACGGTATTTCAACTTGATCCTAAGAATCTCTCTTCAATTTTTTTGTGTTCTTGTTTGTACCCTACAGAACTATCAACGTTTGTCGATAGTTATTTTGCAGAACTATGCCATTACCTGTAAAAAACCCCCTCTTCTTAATGTAACGTTGTTTTGAAAGTTTACTAAGTGAGATCTGTCGAACTCATGATACAGGCAAAACGCAACACTCATACTTGGCTATAGACTTTGGAATATTCGAGAATTTGAATAATCGAATAATTCGAATAATAACCGAATATATTCGAAAATCAAAAATATCGAATAAGCGAATTTCGAATACTTTCAAATACAAAAAATGTCGACTAATCGAATTTCGAAAATTTTCAAAAACAAAAGATGTCGAATAATCAAATATCGAATATTTTCGAAAGACAAAAATGTCGAATAATCGAATATCGAATACGAGATGAAAAAAAAACCGAGTAGTCGAATACATTTGAGAAAAAAATCCGAATAAGCGAATATTTTGCATCGATTATGTCGAATATTCAAACAAATATTAAACGAATTAGCACACTGAAGGACTCCATGCAGTGGGCAACTTGGACAACAAACGATGGTTGCTGCTATAGCAGTCAAAATTGTGACGCTGTCATGTAGTGTAGTGTATTCGATTACACGAAATTGTCGAATAATCGAATAACTTCTGAAAATAAATATTCGAATGTTCAAATATTTTCGAAAATCAAAAATCTCGATTAACCGAATAAACGAATAAATTCGAAATCGACAAATTTCGAATAAGCGAATATCGAATTATTAGAGATTTTGAAATTTTCGAATAATCGAATTTTGAATAAAATTTATTCGAATACTATTCGAATACTCGAATATTTATTCGATTCGGTCCAAGGTATACTCGGCTACCAATGCGTAAAGGGCCGGGCATACATCAGATTTCAGTCGCGACGCGATTTGGCAATATTCCAACTGTCTACAACTCATTGTAAGCACATTTGAAATGTACAGAGATAGAGCATTTTATCAATCCACGTAAGTTATACACATTGTGCATATGCAGTTTGCTGCTGATGGATATGAAGATTTCCGGCGAATTGCTAAATGGCGTCGCGACTGAATCGCGTGAAGTATGCCCGACCCTTAAGAGCGAGCTAGCCGGTATGCTTTACCAAACACTTCAATGGCTGCTTTTGCAATAGATGAATGCAAAAACAATCCTGCGATAACAGGTAGATCATTTGAGCAATTTACAACACGTGCTTTTTAGTGTCGAACGCTTCTTATTCTTGTTAGTTCATTTGTTTAGGTATAATTTTGGTTGTTCTCTATCAATCTCGATCTTCTATTTCGCGCGCTTAGCATAATCGAGCTCTAAATTCCCACTTTGTTGCCTCTTCCCCTACTGCATACTATCTCTCCAAAGTGGAGATGACTAACCTAGCTCGCGGTATGCGTTGCTCGAGGCTCGAGCTAGGGTCGCGATTTGCGTTGACGCAAATCGACTGGTGTGTTGAAAGGGCCGGTAAGTTGCTTACTGGTGTGCGAAATGAAATCGAAACCGAGCTCGAGTTGCAATGTACATCAGTTACAGTGGGATTCACTACATGCTTAATTTTTTTGGTCAAAATAATATCATTCAGTCGATATATCATTTGACTCTGTCATATATTTCTCAGATGCGTCGCTTCTTGTTGAAATCTGAATGTTCCCATCTAGACACTTGAGCTGCCAAAGAAGAGGTATATGTTGTTCCACGTGCTCTGCGTGCTTCCTAATCCCTAAAATACTTCAGCAAAGAGCACTAACTTTTTATCGAAAGTGTCATTTTATTAGACGGCTGTCCAGATCCTGTTACAGCTATTATTTACAAATTGAATCTAGGATAATTTGTCACTGCATGACCTCCTTGGAAGCGGTATGCGCAAAAATCGTAAATCGGAGCCGACTCTGGGTCACATCAAATATGTCAGACTAAAGAATCAACTAAATGATCTTGTAAGTAGAGTGTCTACACAGTTTGTGCTCGTCAATAGACACTCATATCAAGAAATATAAGTTATATATGTAAATTACTTGACGCACGTACTAGGTGCCATTGCGGACATTAAAGTCTGAGTTTGCGAAAACGCAGACCTTGAGAGCAATATGACGTATTACTTTGACTGGATGGGGCGTTTGTGTATGGAGAACTGTGCGTCTAGTGTTCTAGCTTGAATTAGAAATTTAAGTTGTAAAAATTCTCTTTATGATCCGCCAGAACTCAATTTTTTCTTCAAATTATTCAATCTCTTTTCTATCTCTTTGCACTTTCCCATTTCAGCCTACCAAGACGAATGAGGAAGAAGTGGGCAAGTATGTATCCCTGCTGGTTAAGATACGTTTGAAAGAGGGACAAAATCTTGCAATCCGAGATGCGTCAGGTAAGGGTGTGGGACCTTTTTGCTTGACTGCGATGTTATTGCTTTCCTCAGGTAGCAGTGATCCTTATGTGAAATTCAAATATAAGGATCGTATTGTATATAAAAGCAGTACAATATTCAAAAACCTAAATCCAATATGGGACGAAGAGTTCCAGATGCTTGCCGAAGACATGACCTCACCAATTAGTATCGAGGTAGGCGCCTTAGTGTCATACAGCTTCATTTTTTTCTCTTTTCTCAAACATCGAATAGTGATATTCAAGCTTGACCAAGCTTGACGGTTTTCAAAAAAATATGAGTTTCGTTTCCATTTTCATTTTCATTCATACGCTCGAGGCGTTCCAAAGTAAGAACAATGAAGTGTTAATCATACATGGAACACAACAGTAACCAAAAATAAATCTCCACGTCGTCCTAAGCCCAGTCTAGACGACGTGGTTACCAAGGAACAAATAGTATAGTAAAAATGTAACAAGTTTGCATAACTAGTATATGGGTTGCACACGATCTTGTGCTAGCATAGACTCTATGGAGAAGTACCCATGCCCCTCGTTTGCCAGCAAGGAACGATCTTCATATTATTCACGAGAGCAAACTGGAAGTTCGGGTGGCGGGTATACTGGTAAACATCGCCCAACACGTCTTGCTGAGGAGGGCCCTGGGCTCCAAGGATGATAAGGAATGCAGGTTGAACAGCGTAATCACAATAACGAGCTATATGAATAGTCATAAGTTGCCAGCCAAGTTGGGCTTTAGACTAAATGGTCTAGTCGAGTTAGTAGAGAAACACTAGCAAAGCAGTGAAAAAATAGAATATGTTGAACACATGCGTTGATTAAGGTTGGAAATGCACACTGCTCTCCAGAAAGAGCATGAAGCGACTGGGAAGCGAGTTGCAGTGATTACGCAATCAGCAGCTGACGTAATAAGATCGAAATAAATTAACCAGGCCATAAATAAAACTTCCAAAACGTGCAATAAAACCTGAAAAGAACAAAAACCCATTGTATGCTTTTGCATTTTTTGAATGAATGACGAAGGATTTATTACCCTCTGCGGGCATGTGCTAAATGCAACCTACTACAAAGGCGAACAGGCAATTGAATTTGGTACAGACAACAATAATACATATTTCTTCTATATCCTAAAATTTTTTAATATATACCATTCGATAGGGAAAGGCTAGCTCTACAAGATAGTGCTTACAGTTATGCAGCAGCTTTGATTCAAGCGAAGATTAAAACAGAAACGAAAAAGATCCTAGCGCCTTAGAAACAAGAATGAAAGTTTGTTCAAATAATCCTTCAATATTTCTTGCTTATGCATTGACATTTCGTATAAGACATTCTTCCATGCAGTTTCTGTACTCCTCTCAGCTAGAAACTGAGAAAACGAAGATTCTCATGTTTTTCCAAAACAGTGCTGAGATGTTCTAACACTGACAGTTGTATACTACAGGACTTTAGAAGAATGAGTGTGAGTTTTAGCTTTTGCAGCAGCTAGTTTACGAGAAACATTGAATTTTTGGCAACTAGGCAAGAAGAACTCGGATAAGGAGAGCTAGATTTGATATTTCTCGTAAACTAGCTCTTATGAAAGACTAAAAATACAAAGTTTTACTGCTAAAGGAAGTAGTATGCAACTGTTAGTGCTAGAACATTTTAGCACTAATTTGGCAAAAACAAGAAAAATTTCGTTTTCTCATCGTTTAGCTGGGAAAAATTACAACAACTGCATAGATAAATGTCTTACGTGGAACGTCTATGCGTGAGCAAGCAAGAATTTTTGTAAGAGGTTTCTTTTAACGGAGTTACAATGTTTTTTTTTTATATGTCTTAAGGTTTTTCGGACGCCGGTTATTTTTCAGCTTCGAGTTAAAACTTCGCGTGGATCAAAGCTGGTGTAGCTATCAGAGCACTATCCTGTAGAGCTAGGTTCCTTCTATCTAATGACAAGTCAAAACCTATTTAGAATATAGGAGATTTCCGGATCACTGCGGTCTATACCTATCTTGGTGCAGGAATTACGCATCAACCTAAACAATTGTCAAATATAAAATTTGTGAATCCTGGGTTCGCTTTCAGAAGTGGTCGTATAAAGTGGTCGTGTCAGACCTTACAGGCTTCATGTGTAACAAGGCCTGGCCTTGCAGCAGAAAAAATTAAATTTGAAAAAGCTAGGCGCCCTTCATCATAGAGGGCCGGGCATACTTCACGTGATTTCAGTCGCGACGCGATTTGGCAATTTGCCAAAAGTCTTCGGATCCAATACTAGCAAACTGCACATGCATAGTGTAAACTTACATGGATTGATAATGCCTTATCTTCTGTACATTCAAAAGGTGCTTAAAGGCGGCGTCCAGGCAGGTTTGAGGTTGTGCGGATCTCCACATAATCCACTAGAGGGCCCGCCAAATAGCCCATTGCAACAAGTCCGACTCGATCTGGCCCTCTCTGCGCTGAGAAAAATGCGCTCAAAGTGGTCCGCACGGGCGACTCCTCCGGCTCCCCCTTAACGCGTTTTAACATGTCCCTCCACTTGGCGTCCGCCTCCATTGTGTTGCTGCCACTGTGGCGAAGGCTAGGGTCAGAAGGCACAACTCGTCCACGTTGCTACCGCGGGGCCTCCAGAAAACGGGGTTTTTGTAAGACTCGTACGGTTTAAACCTCCTACGGTGTTAGACAGAGACCGATAGGCTTGTAATATGTTAAAATCTCAGCAGTGAGCTTTTGGCTGGACGCTGCCTTTAAATGAGTTATGAAGTTGGAATATTGCCAAATTACGTTGCGACTAAAATCGCTGAAGTATGGCCGACCTTTAAGCTGAGCTGGCATTAGTCGAAGTGGCGATTCGGAAGGAGATCTATACCAGTGGATAGAGCTTAAAAAGGTGATCACAGATATACCTTCTATATGTGCGATGCGGTTTTCTGAAAAAAGTTATGAGCTTTTCTAAAGCCAAATTTTCGTGCATTTTGATTCGCAGAATCATGATAATCGTTATACAAAAGCGTGCAAGCTTAAACAAACCACCTAATAAGCACTGTAAGTCTCATTCTAGTTTATCCGAACATTATCGAATGTTTTTCGACCATGTTGTTCATCCACAGGTCGTCATTTTATTCCTAGATCACACTTCCGTTATATATACAAAAAAGCTCTATAACCTCCACTTAGGAAAAGGCGTCGCGTAGGAAACTTTTTGGAAACTACCAATGGATAGAACGTAAAACGATGTTCTCAAATATATCTTCAATATCTGAGAAGCGTTCTTCTAGATGGAGGTTATGGACTTTTTTGTATATATAACGGAAGTGTGATCTAGGAAGGAAATGGCGGCCTGTGAATAAACAGCATGGTCGAAAAACACTCGAAAACGTTCGGATGAACTCGAATTAGACCTACAATGCTTATTAGGTGATTTGCTTGAGCTTGCACACTTTTGTGTAACGCTTATCATAATTTTGCGACTCAAAATGCACGAAATTTGGCTTTAGAAAAGCTCATAACTTTTTTTCAGAGCAACGCATCGCAGATATATCTGTAATCAGGTTTTTAAGCTCTATCCACTGGTATAGATCTCCTTCCGAATCGCCACTTCGACTAAGTGAACTTCCCTTGTTAGATATAGAAAAGATCAGGAACAGATTTGTAAAAAGTAATCACATTGCTGTAATTTAAGGTGAAGTGAATTGCTGAGTTGCAGGTGTACGATTATGATCGATTTTGTACAGATGACTTTATGGGTTGTGCAACTATAGACATCAGTCAGATAAGATGGTTTGAGTGAGTAGATGCTAGCTTAGCGCTTATCAACACTAGTCTTCTTTCAAAACAGAATTGCAGCCCAGTCGAGCGAGTGGTCGAGTTGTGTGATGACGCCTCACCAAAAGAGGAGCTTGGCACGGTTTCCATCACAATCACAGTAGTTCCACTAACGACCGATGAAAAGGACGAAGTAAGAAATTATTGCAGTAGTATAATACAAAACGAAATTGTTTATTTTTTTAGTTTGTACAAAAATCAGTGAGAGGAGTATTATCAGAAGTGGTGAAGAAAAAAGAGAAAAGTGAGTATCTCAATTTCTGTTGTAGTACACTGCTTCAAGCATTCCTAATAGTGCTGCGTGATTTTCTAAAGAGTTTTACGACTGCACCTTTTCTCAATGAAAAAAAGCAGACAATCGCTTTGATAAGCACCCGATAGCTTGCGTCGGAACTCTCTCGATATAAATTTGCAAAAAGTGGCAATCTTTCGCAATGCCCAGCCATCAAAGCTCGTCAAAAGTTTGTTATTTTCTCATTATTTTTTCAATTAATAATTATACCTCTTTAGTGGTGCAGATGTGGGCATCCGTAGTGAACGTCGTGCTGGTCGAAGGGCGGAATCTTAATTATAATTCTACTGCACAGCCTGATCCTTATTGCAAGTTCAAACTCGGATGTGAGAAATACAAAAGTAAGGTAAGAGTAATTCGCATCGTTTTATCACTCAAAGCAGCGTAACAGATAGTTGATTTTGCTGTTGTTCTTGGAAAGTTATTTGGTTATGACGAGGTGGTACCCCAGTGTACTCCCGCTAGATGGTTCTGTTCCTATCAATCTTGACTAAGATGGTTCCTTTGTAAACCGTCATCTTTTTCTTGAGCCTGCTTTTTCGCACTAATTTTGAGCGCATGTTAGCATCATTACCTCAGTTTTCAATCAGTACCATTGATTTATGTTTCAGCAGTCCAAAGCGCCATTTCGCGGCGCTTTGGACTGGCTGTGTGTGAAGTGGGATATGCTTGAAAGTTAGAGGCTTTAAGGTTTTCTGATGCATTTTTCCCCCAGCCAAAGACGGCATAGATCTTCCAACCCAATTGTTATTCAATTTGTTGATTTACGCAAAGGATGAATAATCCTAGCCATGTGCGTTAAGATTTCAGCAAATAACTTGTAGATGGAAGAAAATGTTAGAGCTATTCAACTTGTAATGCTTCTTCTTTGAAATAATATTTCATAATTAGGATATGTGGATAATAGACTGTGCGGTCGCGCGCTTTTAGATGGCGCATGCGTGAAGTTCTTCACGACTTTTTCGTACCCAGAATGTGTACAAAGACTTTTGATTGGAAAACTGACTTAATGGTTTATATCTTGTAAGTTCCGTGACATTCACAGTACGCTATGATGAATTCAAGCCTAAAAAACTCAACTGATAATGACTTGAACGACTAACTAATGACTAATAATGACTTGATATTTGTGGAATTTAAATTTACAGTGTAGAAAACAACAGTAACAAAAATACGGCATGAACCGGGAAAAAAGCATTGGACCGGATAAATGGTCATGTCGATTGACGACATTAGTGAAACGAATACCTTTAAAATAAACGCAGAAGTACATTAAGTTTATCACAGAAATGTTCAATATCTTACCATTTGCATAAAAACAGAGTGAGTACTTAGGTAACAACAGCAACAGATTAGTAGCATGTGAGGGATAATCAAAAGTTAGTTTGAATAAGTAGCAATGACGGGTCATTTTATAATGGTTACTATCCTGTAGCGATTACTGGGCGAATTCCGTTTTGGTGAGCGCATTAATACAAAGTATTTCAAATGTGAACGGACGCAACGTATCTAGGAGGTTTTTCAAGGCCAAGGCAGGTGCTCATTTCAGTGGGATACGCTACTATCCAGTCCATTCACTCCGCAACCGATAATTTACAAAAGGCTCGTATTGCTTAAGGCGAAATGAGTAAAGTGGATAGAGTGAATATCATAGCATGCGTCAAACCAAGTTGTCTTATTCACGAAGGCATATTTCATTTGCAGGAGCCATAACACTTCATCTGTAAGGTGTACTTCTATATGGATAAGTGTTACTCAGTTGAGAACCGCTCTGATCACCACATTTTTCACTCTCTCCTCCTTCTTGTGCACTCTAATTCCTTCCATTCGTCGGGCTCTAGATAGAGCCACATATAGCTGACCGTGCGAAAATACCTCAGATTCAAGGGAGATGCCCAGCTAGTGAAGGTCTGTCCTTGAGCCTTATTTATCGTCATAGCAAATGATAAACGGACAGGGAATTGCCTTTTTCGCAATCGGAAAGGTACCCCTACTTCAGTATAGATGTCTATGCGTGGTATCAGCACTAATTTTCCTTTCCTATCCCCTGATGCAAACCGACATCCTAGGATAAAACGCCCAAAGCGAGTGACGATCAATCTTGTCCCATTGCATAGCCCATTTCTAACATCGAGATTTCTCAACAGCATGATTATCGAGTTCTCTTTCATCCGAAGATTATGAGGAGGAAGCCCAGCAGGCACTAAGCTGTTGAGAAATTCTGTCGTATACTTCTGTGGTTCATCGCTAATCACATCGTCAACGCTCTTATACTCGTAAATTTGTCCAGGGAGCTTTCCCAGTGCTTCTTCATTGATCCGATATGCTTCGATATTCCGAGGTGCTAGTATTGCACGTTCACTCAAGGTATGAAAATCAGTCAACGAATCACCGAAGACTTCACTGATAAGATCGCCTTTAGAGATGATTTCAGTTGGAAGCTCTATGCGGCCCATCTCATCTTCTTCTACTTCCCCGTTCCCAATTCGCATCAGAAGATCTCACCAAGTTGAGCCAGATTCTGCAGCTCTAATATTGACAGAGAGCCGATGCATAGTGAAGCAGCTCCACAGGTCGCTGTTCTTTACACATGCATCAATCATATCTCCTTCGCTTCCTCGCTCTACAATTGGCAGCACTTGCCGAAATCACCACCCAATACGACTGTTTTCCCACCAAAAGATGCTGTATTGCACATTAAATCCCGTAGAAAAAGATCAATAGTTTCTGAGGACTTCGAAACCATGCTCACTTCGTCCCAAATTATAACATCTGCTTCTTTGATAGGGATGGCATCTTTGTCTTCACGTCGTAATGAGCACTGACGATTTCCGGACTTTATGTTGAGCTTGAAAGTCGAACTGGCTGTTCTACCTTCAGGCAATAGGTTTGCAGCTATACCCGTCCACGCTACACATATGACACGTCTGTGTTGGCCCTTCAAGATGTGGTAAATGGCATTATAAAGGTAGGTCTTTCCGCTACCGCCTGGACCATCAACAAAATGCAGCTCGGAACGGTTGTTTTCAAAAGATGCCAAGATATCATCTGCTGTTAACCTCTGCTGCTCATTGAGGTGCTCGTACATCTCACTGCCTTTCCGCTCATAGAAGGCGTAATCAGTATGCTCTGCCAAAACCGGCCTATTTTGTGAGGGTGGCGTGATGTGACCGAAAGATCGTAGCGTAAAAGTTGCAATTTATCGTAAAGCTCAAAGTATGCGAGTGCTTCAGCGTCAGCAACTGTATATCCTTTGTGGATAAAATCTTCGGCCATATAACTTTTGAAGCGGTCATATAAATGCCTTGGATTAGACGTTTCGCAAAAAGCCAGCATGTAAGTGAACAACGCCCGCAATTCCGCAGGCATCTGTAAGTGAACTGCCTCTTCTAAGCAACTTTCATAGTGGGAATCGTCATGCAACAGTCCCAAAGCGCGCGCTGCATCCAAAAATGTTGGATGCATATTACCTTCGACTGTGCGCAGATCTTCGAAAGAACGCATATTCTTTCGATTAAGTAATGAAATACGTAAACTGAATCTCTCTGGATCAGTGGGTGTGACCATGTACATGCGACCAATTTGGCGACTGCCTCTCTTTCTTCTATTCCACTTTCTTTCTTTACCGAACGTAAAATGCTCTGGCAGCTGATGATAATAGATCGTTCGAGGATCCAGAAGTCCAGCTACTCTATTTTCGCTTTCCATAAGATCATACTCTTTATTCAGCTTAAACCATGCTGTTAACATGGAATCTCTAGTTGCCTCACGTACAGCCGCCTCACGTTCTTCACCTGACCGAAACGTGACCGACTGGAAGTCGGGAAGGTGGACAGCCAGACGGTATACAGCAGCAGATTTGTATTGACATTCAAACATAAAAATGTGATGAAGTGCTTCCGGTGAGCACATATATCGTGCATCGAGATGAGCCCGAATCTCATCAGTTCGTTGCGCTTGACCCTGTTGAAGTAGACGTAAAGATGCTCGATCTGGTCCTTTTATACATATTTATATAGATACTTGACTGCATGTATGTAGCCGCATATTTCCAGATTTATGTGCGCATTGAGGAGGAGAAGGAGGAATCGGTTGTAAGGCACAACATGTCTGTTATCATACACCTCAACTCCACTCGTTACGGTGCGGCCGTCGTCAGGTCTTTTGTATTTTGGGTAACCATCGACATCGATATCCGTTGTTTCCCAAAACTCCTTAGGATAACGCTTCGAGCACTTTCCATTTACCATGCATGGAGAAGTTGGATTGGTTTCTCCACATCGACGGTGGATCATATTTCGCGCGACTATGCTCAGAAGACGTGGATTTTCGGAATCGCTTGGAAGATATGCCTGAACAGCTGCATTGACGGCCTCAGGGGTCCTTGGTTTCGCATCTGCTGCCATTATCAAAAGCATATGGCAGTGAGGAAGGCCTCGCTTTTGCCATTCTACGATCCCCACATAAGCTGCAACACATCCCAGAATTTTTTTCTCAAAAAGATACTTTTGCAGCACTTCTAGCTTTTGATGGAATACGCGAGCCACCAAATCGGATCGGTCCGAAGCGGACTGGCCAGGGTACAGGTTTTCGGCGATTTCCCTCCATTGAGGGTTGCAAGTAAAAGTAAGAAAGTAATCGGGTTCTCCGTATCTTGCAACAAGAGCCATCGCGTCTTGATAAGACTGATGCATAGCACGAGGGCTCCCACGAAATGAAGAAGGTAAAATTATGCGCTGTCCCGGAGGCCCGTCTACACCATCGCTGGCCAGATGATCTGTAAGACCCTTATAACTATCAATTCGAAGTTCTTTTTGATGAGCCCGGGTATAATTCAGCCGATTCTGCTCTATTTTAACGTATGCATCGACCACAAATTGCTGCATAAGTTTTCCAGCATGATGAAGCGGATTGAAAGAATCACGTACAGCTAGCATGTTGGAGTAGTACTCGCGTTGCGATATTCTTGTGCGAATGCGAATGCTAGGATTCTTTTTCAGATCAACATGCCACCCCTGCCCTCCCCTAGGGAATAGCAGGGGATAAGTCAACGGATCACAGCATGCGTCGATGTCCCGAATGATCTGCAGACGGCCTCCTGGCAAAGGAGCGATTTGCTCGTACATCATCATCCTCGCCTACATAGACAACGGCAATTTCGTTGGCGATGGGAACATTGTAGCGACGATGATCTACGTTCCGGGCGTCCTCAAAAACCATTCGGATTGTTGGCACCTGCCTATTCTCTCTAAGGGCTCGTCGCTCTTCCTCTGCAGCTATATCACCCATCATTTTCAGTGAAGCCGCATAACTATTGTTCGAATGCAACCATGATGTCAGTTGCTGCATTACGGTGGCATCACACTGTGCCATCACCGGATTTCCGCTTCTTTCAGCCGCTGCGGCATCAGTGTCTAGTATATACACTTGTCCAAATTGTCGACGAACACCTGGCTCTGGTGTAATGGGACCTACATAATGGTACACTTGTCCGTGAATCCTGTAACAGTACGGCCCAGAACCACGTGGCGTCTCCACTTGAGCCCCCATCGAAGCCATAGCAAGCGCGCTATTAAGGGAGCGGATGTGACTGCGAAAATTTTTGCGAAGTTGGCTACTTATAAGATAAAATGACCGGAAGAGCTCGGGGAAATAAAACAAATTCAGAGAAACATTTCCAAAGTTGCAGCAAACATTGAAACGTCCATTGACAGATGTACCCTTGCCAGGAAAGTACAGAGCTGCACAATGAGCGCACCTGACGTTTAGACGTCCTAGATAGTTCTCTTCTGTGACATTCATAGTTAGCGCTATTCCAAAATTAGCGGGTGTTCTCCTCTGAAGATGAAGCGCTTTCAACAGAACTCATTCGCAGGTTGGATCAGATGTTTTTTGAAAACAAAGGGGTATTCATTCGATCTACCTGAGTGTCCGCTTCCTCTCGCAACTCATTCTCGTTCTCGTTGTGATGCGAAAGGACTTCACTGTTGCTTTGCTTAAAAAATACGTTTGGCCAAGGAATATGATCTCGAAATAATATACCCTTTCATCGGATTCGAGCGGATTTTGTGTTCTTCTGACATCCGCTGAACTTGCATTTGACCGTCTCTCCACTTCGAGTACTCTTCTTCTTCTCGCTCTTTCTGCCTCATTTGCAAGGCGTTCTGACCTTTCCTGTTCGCTTTCCAATGATCTTTCCAATTTAGCCCTCTCTGGTAATGATGCGAGGTGCAGTTTCCGTTCAAGTTCAGCATTGGATCTTCTAGATGCCGCTTGTCTCTCATCAATCACAAGACGTGATTGGTGTTCATGATCATTCTGCTCAGGTTTTCGACAACCTGGTTGGGTGGTGGTAGAGAGTAATTCTGTGGTGGTGAGTCGCTCTGATTCCCCATGGTATTCTTCTACTACTACACCGGAACTTAGAACTACGGATATGCGAGGATCTTCATCGCTTGCCTTTTCTCTATTTTGTCCGTGTAGATCACACTAAATTATGGTAATGGTCACAAAGAAATTGGTCGATAAATGAGAGGCTAACCATTAGTTGATCTTCAATCAAAGCAGCCGCACTGGCAACTTCACAGTAGTGCGAAGGCGGTGATTGTTGAATATCCTACATGGAAAACATACGATCGAGCGAAACCACTTAAACTGCAATCTTACCAAAGCTTCTGATCCATAAGCACGAGATGTGCTTGGAAATTGATGATGTAAACCTTCTTCTCCCAGGCCTTGCTGTACAGAACTTTCTTGGGAGGATTTCTGCTTGTTCGTTCTTTTACAGCCAACCGTCTTGCTCTCTCCCTTTCCACATTTTTCGCAAGACGAACTAACTTCTCTTCCTCGGATTCGGCTGATCTTTTTAGCCTAGCCCTCTTAGCAACAGCTGCAAGTCGTAAGCTGCGCTCATGTTCAGTCTCCTCAGCCCTTTCAAGTGCTGCTCGTTTGGCATCCACCGCTAGACGTTGTCTGCGACTGTCGGCATGAGTTTGAAAACTTCGCAAAGCTGTTAGCTCAACATCTTCTTGCTGGGTTTCACTTGATAAGTTTGACGAAAGCTAAAAATTTTTGAGTGTCTTTCTACATCACAAAAGGTATTTTTATGGATCGTTTACCATTTCGTTTTCACTCAAGAAGGCAGCATCTTGAGAGCACTGTTGACTCTCCTCAGGCTCGTCAGATGATGTCTGAGCATGCGACGAACTCATTGAGTTGTATGTGTCAACTGTGTTTATTGCCAGATCTTGTCCGGAAGCCGGTGTTGGTCTTTCAGTTTTACTTGAGAGATGCAAAGTCATCTGTAGCACAACTTGTAATGGCACTGGTGTGAAATAAACAATGTACGATACGCATAGAATCACGAAATGTCACCTAAAAAGGTGAAGTGAGTCATTCAGGTCAAAAGCTTGAAGTATTCTACAGTTTACTTGTTCAAAACATAGGCACCCGTTTCTATGAAGTCTGCGTAAAATCTCGAATGCTTGAAGTATTCTACACTTGTTTGAAACATAAGCACCCGTTCCTATAAAGTCTGCGTAAAATGTCGAAACCCCACTTGCCATGCTCTTCTTTTATCGACATATTTCGAAATGAGACTGAATTGTTGAATGAAGCGAATTTGGGTTTTACTTGGGTTCTTGTTCAAAAAAAGAATTGGCAGGGTCTGGATGCTCATCACAGACCAACTTTTTTTCCTTTTTTTCATTTCTTCCACATAAAAACCGAAAATTCGATGGAATTAGACCGACAATTTTAGCAAGCATACTTGCAGAAAACTCAGTGGACAGTGCAATTTTTGTTTGAAACATACGGCGGAAATACTTTACGCATGGTGAATGAGCAGCCGAAAATCGCTTTGCAAATGGGAGTTCAAAGCGATAGTATGAAAATGATAAAGGCGAAGAGGCTCAAAAATTCAGCAAAAGTAAATCCAAAGTTTTTATAGATTTTTTATGAAAATGGTTTTTTGCACTCTGGCTGGTGAAGCAAGGATTAAAACATGACTATAGCACTCAAAAGCTTAGACACGCACACATTTGCTAAAAGGATGTTATTCTGAAGGGAAATTAAGGCGGCCATAGCACTTAGAATTTAGGCATACATTTGCTACAATGAATGTTATTTTGAAAGAGAAATTGAGACACGGAGTGGTGCGCGTTAATGACAGAGCAACTGGAAAAAATTTGTCAAATCGGTAAAAGATACTAACAATTTTGAGATCGAGTGTGTCGATGGATTGGAAGCCTAAGTGAAGTTATGTAAGAAAGACTGATTCAGTCAATATGTATTCTAGACTGTACTTCTGTACTCGCAACCATCATACCGTCTTTTCTAAAAGCTTTTAAGAATAGTTGTTTACGCATGGGTCGTCTGGCAAATGCCAAGGATCACTGATTGATCGTTCTCTGGATCCAACATTCCAAGGATCACTTGGTCGTTCTCTGGATCCGACAAACACACTTGTTACGCCGACAAACGCGCTGAGTCATATGGGGGTGCTTGCGCTTTATGTAGAGTAGGATATTGTTTTTTCATCATCCAATCAGTTATTCGCATTTTTACCCGGCTTTATCAACAACATCCGTCGAAGATATACTTCCATCGAAGTTCCTCTAGTAGTGCTCTAATATTTATCGATAGTTTTTCCACGAGATTTTCCTTAGCAGTTTTTACGATCTTCCATCGTGCTTTTACGGTCACATGTATCATGAGCCTATCTTCTATAGCAATAGTCACAGTCGACTAGCTTCAGCGATGGATCGGTCGACTCGCGGTTCGATGAAAAACGCAGCAAGCTATGTTATTTACCACAAATTGCAGACACTTAGAGTGGTAAAATTTTGAACGCATGGCGCTGTTGGATTTTCCCTTCGGCATGTCTGGTTCGGCTTGTTTATGAATACTACTACGTGGCTCAAATCATTGCTTGTTTTAGATCACACCTTTCATACAGGACAACAATTTAAAAAAATTGTTTTACAAGTAGTGTAGAGCAGTGGCTACAACCGATCGCTGAGAAGGTTTTGTGATTATTTGCAAAATGTGAAGTTGTTTTGTAAACTACTATGAACATTTTTTGGAACGGCGGAGCCCACAGGTCCAGGAGTGCAAAAAAATTAAAAAAAAAATTGAACTGTGAAATAATAATAGATCTGGAAAAGGATAGATTTTGCAAGAAGTATGGGCCACCAATGGTCGACATCGTCCCTGGCGGCAATAAGTACGTGAGCCATCGGTGATCCACATCGTCGTCAATTCAATGAGTTAACTGGCGCCTAGAATTGTATGTCACGTTCTAAGTAATAAAATTCTTCAAGAGAGTCATAGTCTCTTACAAAAGCCACTTATCTCGTTTCCCTTGAGCACCAATAAGAAGCGTCTAATCAACTCATCTTTTTGAAAATGCAAGCTACATTGAAATCCTCTTACAATGCGGTCTTTTGGATATCAATTAGCAAGATTACATTTTTTGAAATATTGATTGCTTGGTAGCGACCGCCCAGACATTGTCGTCTTTTTGGATGGTTGAGAAAAAAATTCAAATACAAAGTACTTGTTTCAGGCTTGTTCAGGCTCTATCTTAGGATCAGCATACAAAGTACGTCAATCGTTCTTACCATCTCAGGTTTAGCTCAAATGAACAGATGCTGCACTTTTTGATAAAATTTCCCTGATTTGCTGAACCACTGTAAGGGTTACTAGTGTTTTTTGAAATAGGATGTGGCAGCACGCCTAATGTGAACTCATCCGCTTTCCCCAATCTCAGATGAAGCGTGCATTGAATAAAACCGGGCAGAGAACTATATGTCGCCGACTGCGGGAAGGTCCTACGCGGATATTGCAGTAGATACTCAGCCTATGCGTGTATTGGGGTGCATATTTGTTGCAGATGTCCACCTCCCCCCTCCCTCCCTCCCCCATTTTCGGCGACATATAGTCTCCCACTCAATAGAACCTGGTACAGATTTACCATACTCATACTCAGCACTCTATCTGACCTCCAGACAGCAACAATTGATGCCAAATTCGCGCATTTCATTTTTTTGACAATAGATAGAAACGCTCTCGACTCCTTCCAGAAAAGATCTTTTTGTAGAAAGTTGAGAGACTCTAGACGAAAGATTTGTAAACATTTTTATTATATATTCCGAAGTATATCTGCGGCAACGCTAAACGATTTCAAACTGTAGTTGCCAATTTTTTTGATTCAATGAGATTGGCGACTGGAAGGCGGGACTTTGTGACCAATTAAGGGCGCTCGCGTCCGCGACGCAGTCTGCGTCTCTCTCGCGTACGTGCTTTCTGATCATTATCTAATTTTAGTTGGAAGCCCCGCCTTCCAGCCGCCAATCAGTTTGAATCAAAGGGTATAATTCCATTGCAAAGGTTGTGAATCTAAGTCATTGAAGCGAAATAAAAATGGCTATGTGCAGCGGCATTACGAGAAATTGAATCTTAAAATCTTTGAACAAGGGTTTTATGCTTTGTTTATGATTTTCAAGAATTGCAAGCAAAGCAGAAGAAGGTTTGACATAGCTTACAGCCCCTAATACGGTTTACAGATAGCTGCAATACGAGGAAGCAGTTTACTACGATACCCCGATATATTTAGAGTTCAAAAAAGGGAAGAAAGCGCCCGAGACCGGAGTGACGGCCAAATGGAACTCAAAAGTCTTCGCAAATTTGGCCTATCAATTTTGAATGTATCTAACAAAACTCTGACCACAACATTGGACGACTAACTTACTGACAACTTTTGGCAATACGAACGGCATCTCTAAGTCGGATTTTTCGCAATTAAAAACAATAGGAAGGGTAACGAAGGTAGCTGTCCGCAAACAATTTTGCGTTGAAGAAAACCAACAAAACCAATGAGAATAGCGATAAGTAATCTGCCCCTCGGTATCGCTAATTGCTTGCACCATAGCGAATCAGCCCGCGCGCGTTTCAGATTACGATAATCCAAAATAAAGGTTTATTCTATAATAGAAAGAAAGCGTTAAACAAACAGAAACTTATCATTTACATAATAATGTTAGTTATTACTTTACGAAACAATTCGAGAGGAATAACCACAAAGAACTTGCTTCTAAAGTTTCGCAGGATTTGACACATGATAAAAACTTATATTAGTCTCTATTTCATTTTGTTCCTCCTAGTCCTATTCAAGCGATACTTGCAAAACTGGAGTGTTCTCTTCCTTGTCTGTTGTGTTTTTTGTGGATTCTTTTGTTGCCCTTCACCTGTTCTATAGCTTTTTGTTATTCCGATTTCTGTAGTGCTCGCGGTCTCTTCTGCAGGAATTGCCGTTCGAGGATTCCAAAGTTCGGTGACCTTTTACCTTGAGGTCCCCCTCCCTTGTCCATTCGCCCAGGGTCCCTTCGCCTCTTGTTAGGGTTAAGTTGGTCAACCAAGCCCTGGTGCACTGCTAGAAACCCGCGCCTGGATAGGGGAAAAGGATCTCGGTTGATGACTTTTCATATTTTGTAGAAGGAGAACAACCTGACCACCCATGCAAGAAACATGTCTTTTTTACTTTTTCTTTGCAGAAATCATTAAGTCAGCAACAGTGTACTTCTCATTTTTCATTTATATTTTTGGCGCACCTGTAAGTGCATGAATAAAATAGATAGATAGATAGATAGATAGATAGATGAATTAATTAATCAATTAATAACCTTTGGCGGACCAAAACTTTTGTAATAGTGAATATTTCTTTGTTTTGACAGCTTTTTTCAATCTGGGTGCTACTTCTTGATTGCTTACTGATTCAGGTGTGCAGTCACTGCTCAGACCCGAAATGGATTGAACAGTTTGACTTGCATATTTACGAGTTTGGTTCGGAGACGTTGGAGATCTTGTGCCAGGACAAGCGAACCTCAACATGTATTGGAAAGTAGGTCACTCAAGGTCAAACGTAGTTGACGAAAGAGCGTGTTCCTTCCTATTCAGTTTTTCTTTTCGTCAAACTCTTCATTTTCTCTAGGATTGCAGTTGACCTGCACGAGTTTCCCCGTGATGAGACCGTTCAAAAATGGTACGATTTGGAAGACTCTGCGGGATCCTTGTTATTGTTGATAACCGTGTCGGGAAGTCACTCAACAGACAATGTTGTAGATTTAACTGAGTTCGATCAGAACGATCTGAGGCACTCTATAGTGGAGCGATATGTGAGTTAAGCGGAGGCAACATATGATAATCTGGTAGCAATTGCTATTTTTAGGACATACGACACACTTTCAAAGACATCAAAGATATTGGACAATTGACGGTAAAAGGTATAAAACACTCGAAGTTTTATAATTGACGGGATTGGCATAGTTCCAAAGGCTGCGGAAGAAACTGGGATTGTAGAATTTGCGATGGCAAGCCCCGCAGATCGCTGATGCCGGAACTGAACCGAAAGAAAATATTGCTCGGAAGATTAACACGTTGACGACCAAGCCATTTTTGACCACATCAAAATGGACTGATGATCTACGGCTGCGGTTTAGACTGTTTAGCAGCTACCGCAACGCCGTGTGTTCTATATGACAACCAGGCCACTCAGTGTATCATTGCATAAAAGTTACCTGAAAACTTTTCGTTTACACATGATAAATTGATGCATGAAAGTGCTCAAAGGTGGTCAGGGCGTGCATACGCGCGGATGCACATGGTCGTCAACGTGTTAACCTAAGGCAGCCGCTATACTTGATCCTCTTGACCCACTTGATCCGCTTGATCCGCTTGATCCGCTTCATGCAAAATGCGCGCACACAGCAGTTTTGTTATCTGGCGCCGCATAGGTAAAAAGGAATTTCGTGTTAAGCAATTCGCTGTACGCGACGCGAAATGACAAATTAGTGACGCGCGTTTTCCACGAAGCGGATCAAGTATGGTGGGCTCCTAAGTACAGCAAAGTAATCTGTGGTTGGGTCACCGACAATCTGTCCGGGATCGCAGAACTTGGTTGGGATGTGTCTCCGAACTTGGGCTGATATTTGTGGCGAAAGGGGACTATATGTCGCCAAAAGTGGGAGGTCCCACCGGACATCTGCAACAAGTTCACACTCAATACATGCACAGTCTGAGTTCTGCTGCACTGTCCGCGCGGGACCCTCCCACTTTCGGCGACGTATAGTCCACTACCCTATTTATGGGGCTTTTCCGACATATAGCAAAAATCTAGAAGCTTCGTTTTAGCCCGAACATAAACTCTGAGGTGTGCAATAATTGTCCTCTCAAGCAATGTCCGTAATTTTCTTTTTCTGCTAGTGCCATAGTTGAGCGTGGCAAAAAGCTTAGAATTTTTCTATGTCGCACAGAGCGCTGGCCACTTCAAGCTGTTTAAAGGCAGCGTCCAGGCAGATCTGGACCTATGGGGATTTTACGTGGAAAGTACTTTTGGGGCCCTAAAAGGCACTGCTCAAGCGGCAGCGCAGGTAGTGCTCTAACGGCTGAGATATTCCCCTCGAAACTGGACCCCGCGGTCGTATTCGCATGGTTTCATGGCAGTTCCGCGCCAGGATCCACACTTTGCGCCATGAATCCATGCGAAATACGATCGCGGAGTCCAGTTTCGAGGCGAATATCTCAGTCGTTAGAGCACTACCTGAGCTGCCGGTTGGGCAGTGGCTTAGTTAGGGCCCCAAAATTACTATCCACATGAGATCCCCATGTGTCCAGACTTGCCTAAATTTCTAAAACAGCCTATTTCAGTCTTCCGTGCCGAAGATCTCCAGGCTAAGGATATGGGAGGCAAAAGCGATCCGTTTGCAGTGCTTGAGCTGGTCAACACGAGGCTACAAACTCACACTGAATATAAAACTTTGAATCCACAATGGAATAAATTATTCACATTGTAAGTCGTGAAAAAAGTTTTGACATTTTTCTGAGAGGAGTCATAATATTTCATTTGATTTTAGCGCTGTGAAAGACATTCATACCTGCTTAGAGGTGACAGTCTATGATGAAGATCCAAATCGCAAGTTTGAGTTTCTAGGGAAGGTTGTAATACCTTTGATATCGGTGAGCGAAATTCACTTTTTGGCAGATTTGAAGAACTTTTTTTGTGTTTTAGATAAAAAATTGTGAAAGACGGTGGTATGCCCTGAAGGATAAGAAGCTGTGTACACGAGTCAGAGGCCAAATTTTGCTTGAACTTGATGTAATTTGGAATCCGGTAAGGTGAAGACTTAGTGTTTAAAATATCTATACTTGCTTTTATAGATTAGGGCAGCAATTAGAACATTCAATCCGCGTGAGAGGAAGTTCATCGAAATTGACAAAAAATTCAAGGTAAAACACTGGAGATGTGTTCCAAATTGGTTATATAACGCAACGCTTTAGGCTAGTCTGTTTCGAAACACCGTAATGGAACTGAAGGAGTTTGGATTGACTATTCTTGACTGCAAGAACTACGTTGAAAGTTGTTTCGATTGGCATTCGACCGCAAGATCGGTGACTGCTTTTGCGGTGTGTGATGCTTTGATTTCGTCATCGAACGGCTCATTCAAATAGGCTTTATTTCTTGGAAGACACAAATCTTCTTTGGTTCGATGTTTTATGTTTATGGTCGAACTTGCTATCTTATAGGCACACCAACGCAATTAGTGGGGTGATCGAAAAGTAATAGGATACGCAAAGTATAAGGCGTTTTTCAAGAGAAAGAAGGTTGATCAAATGCTTAGAATTTGCTCTTCGACCAAAATCTATGTAAGGTCGTTGTGTAATAATGTTTATAGTTGCTGAAATGCGAAGTCAATCACGTCGAGGCATTTGAAATTATGTGCTTTATCTGCGCAGTAAACACGTTAGGCTTAATTAACTACACTAAAGGCACCGTCCACCCAGACTCTCGATTTCCAGGTTTGTTTTTGTTTCAGAGCCTTCTCATGTCCCTGATTCCGAATATGAAGTTGTAATCCGCGAATATCATAACAGTCCTTCCGGAGAATCCGCAGGCCTGCTTTCCGGAACGATGATTGGCTGGGCGCCCACGAATGGGCAGTTATGGATGGGAAGGGCGGTGCCGTCTGGGTATTCTCGTGCATCTTTGTTATTCCGGAGCGATTTTCTCGCTTCCAAAGCGACATTTCGCGCTGCGACTTGGGCATTGGCTGGATAGGGTGCCCTACTATCATATGCTGCCAAAAGCTCGAGACCCTCAACTTAGGGTGTACGGTGCCTTGAGTGTCAGTGCTATAATAGGTAAGAGAAGATACCAATCCTAAGATATACTAGAGCTTCAAGTTAGGGATGCAGTTATCACTTCCTGTCAGAGGATATATATCGTCTGATTTTCTTGTCAATTCACGCTTTCGTAATTTTTGGTAAAGTTTTTCCATGTATAGCTTGGCCTTCCCTTAGAAGGTAAAGGGTTTGCAATTTCAATAGCCTTTTTAGCTTGAAGTGCTTTTTCAAATGATAAGCGGTTGCTTCATGATTTGCGTTAGCAAAACAATTAAAACAGCGCAAATTGAAGATTTATAGAAGCTCTGTCCGAATTCTTTAAAGGCAGTGTCCGGGCAAAAACTCGATTTTGAGATTTTGTGCTTACTTGGGCCTATTCGCTACGCTGAATCCGAAAATGCGCATTGTAGAGCGCGAAAATGGCGAAAAACGGCTCTAACTCAGGAGGGAAATGAGCAGGTGGGCGGGGTCCTCCCCACTGCGAATTCACGTTCCCAGTTTCCGGAGCGACCTTCTCGCTTCCGGTTTCAAGTCAATCATTCGCACTTGGCCGGTAGCGATGTTAGAACGGCTAGCGGAATCGAGAAAATCGCTCCGGGAGCTGGGAGCGTGAAATCGCACTGGGGAAAGCCCCGCCCACCTGATGATTTCCCTCCTATATTAGAGCTCTTTTTCACCGTTTTCGCGCTTTCCAATGTGGATTTTCGGATTCAGCGTGGCCAATAGGCCCGTATAAGCACAAAATCTCAAAATCGAGTTTTTGCCCGGACACCGCCTTTAAGCGCTACTCCAGAGATTGTGCGATAGGAGCGGTTTGATGGAATAAAGCGAAGTTCACTCAAAGGCAGGATCCATTCAGAATTTGGCCTCCCATGTTTTCGTCATTCTGGGGCCTTTCCGTGGCCCTGATTACAATTCCAAACTTCATACTCTCCAAAATTTACAAAAAAGCGGACGTGTTTCGCATCGCTCATCCCCGTCGGCAAGCCAAAGGGGAGAAGCTGCAACTGCATGGGTGCAGTTGCATTGCAGTGTGCAGTGTGCAGCTTCTGCTCACTATCATGTCAATACGTGTTGGGAGGCAGTCCCTGGCTGGGCGGAGTCTGATATCAGATTCCGCCCAGCCAGGGACTTTCAGGCCCCTTATCTCCATTCAGAGACAACGTTAGGAGACCGAACCAACGCAGATGCCCCTTTTCTGGGGGCCTACATTCAGGAGCGCCACTAAATGGAGGGGACAGCCTTCAAAGTGACGCTAAGGTTGCACTTTGCTCATCGTTGGTCGCAAAAAAAGTCCTTCAAGCTGTCCATTACTTCTCAATCACCCTAATATCGTAATGGTGTAACGAAAGCTTTGTTCAAGAATAAGTATCGAAAACTTTTTTATTACGGAAATGCTGGCAGGACATATGATGACGCTCAATCAGCATTGTGATGGAAATGAAAGCCCAAACCTGTTTAGGTATTCATGGTCAGCGTGTACTACTTCCAACTTTATCACATCCCACTGTTTCTCTTGGTGTTATTTATGAAATGTCTCATTTACAAGCGGGTAGCTGAAGAGTTAACACCTCGCTGCGATAAGTCGGCTAATTACGACGATGATGGTGAAGAGGAAAAGGTAAGAACTTTTTTGCCTCCGTTTACGGTTTAATTGCATGATCGTGCACGTGGAATAAAAGCGCTCTCCGTAAACTTTACCGCGTATCAGAAGCAAACTTGAGTCATAGTACTAATCATTGTTGTTTCCGTGTTGTCGTTTGTCTGCATGGTGCTGTGTGTGCTCTGTTCCAGGAACCAGATACACCTACAAGACACTTTTCATTCAAGTCCAAGGACAAGGATAAGGAAGTGTGTTATATATTGCAACCATTTGCATGATTTTACAATAACTCTTTCATAGTAACAACAGTTTTGCGTTTACCCGGCAAGGTACAATATGTTTGAAGTGTGCAAAACTATTTTCAGTCGTCGTCTTCATCGATCAGGGACACATTGTCTTCCGTGCAAGAGACTTTGGCGGTGGTTCAAAATTCTTTAGTATTTATCTGCGCTTTACTTCAGCGGGTTCGAAAGTATGCGTTCATTTGCTACCCTTAGACTGATATCGAAAGCTGCGTTTCAGCACCTTCAACTTCTCCTCTCCATGGTTATCGTGGTTAGCCATAGCTGTACTATCGGTAGGAGCTGTACTTCTATACTTTGTGCCTCTGCGATATCTCATCATGGCGTGGGGTAAGTAGTTCTAAGAGACATCCTTGATTTCTAACATTTTTTCAACGCTATTTTTCCACGGGCTCCGTTTACGCCACAGTGACTTTTGATTCAATTGCTTTTCTTCGGAGGCGGGTCTTTGTGACCTAATTAAGGCCGCTCGCACCCTCAACGCACCTGCTTTCTCCGCGAGGGTTTTGTGGTCATTATCTAGCCTTAATTAGGTCACGAAGCCCCGCCTTCCCAAAGTCAAGCCAGTTGAGCCAAGTACATGTTACAGTTCGCAACAGAGATCATTAGAGACACATGCTAATAATTAATCAAAATTCAAAAGAGGCTAGAGATTTTGTGATGATTTATATTTATAAAATAGATAAAATCGTAGTCTTGGCTCGTCATTTGTTAGGTTGAAGCACAATTCTTGCACCAAAAAATAGAAACAATTGTTTTGAAAATGCTTGAACAACTTATCAATTGACAGAATATAATGTTTGATATGTATACCAAAAGTAGTATTTAATAGTACATTTTAGAAACCATACAAAATTATTGAGTCTCAGTCAATTTAAGAAAATCCAAATTCGTAACTATTAGGTTGTAAAGAAAGTTCTGCCAATTCTTCTCGTCAATACCAAGATTGAATGCGAATGCAAGGGGTTGGTTTGTAATATGTTCTCAGTGGGCGATGGCTTCAGCTACCTAACACGCTACTCAGCATGAAAAAATGGCGATTAACTGGGAAGAAATGTCCAAAAAGGAAAAAAATTTGTTGCCCTCAGCGAAAAGGCACATTTTTTAGATTATGGACGCGCAGAACTTCTAGAAGCTTGATTTAAAAATCCGTTTTATACCCTTTGTCTTGGCTAGGTGAAGCAATATCCAAATTATTTGCCCCGGTATTCGGGTGTTTTGCAAGCAAGAAGTAACTCATTGAATTCAGGGTACAAAAAATCGAACTCTCCACATGTTTTGAAGCGCAGCTAGCGCGCTATCTGAAAAAGAGCATCTGTGACATACCTAATTCAGTAGCCTAAGGTTTCTAGTAAAAAACCAAAATATTGCTAATTGACAGCCACTCATGATGAAGATGTAAATAAAACAGTTTTGCTAAGCGTCTGTTGGCAGAAATTTCTTTACAACCTCATATTTGCAGAGACATGTAATCGCTATCAACTTCTATTATTGTTAGTCAAAAGAGTATGTTCCACAACCAAGACTAAAAATAAATTAGAATTTTAATAGACGACTCAGCAATTTTACTCAAAAATCGAAAAACACTTTTACTTTTCTTAATCAGCTTATATCGTTGCCATATGTCCACATGGAATTTACTCGAGCACCTGCAGAAATCGCAAGATTTTCTCTCTGTCATGTAACAAATCAAAACGTTTCGTGCCACATAAAAGATGCTCGTCATTGAAGGGCAGTGTTTAGGTATTTGGGCACATAGGTTCCTCGAGTGGTCACTGATGAGAGGGTCTCAACTAAGGCACTGCCCAAGGGCCAGCGCAAATCATCACTTACGGCTTAGAAATCCATCTCCAGAACCTTCATGCCCTGCGCCGTGACCGTAACCGGCAATTGACTGCTCCGATTAGCATTGCGTCCGCGCTGGGACCCTTCCCTAGTCACTCGCGTTACGGTAACGCGCAGGAGGCGCGGAGTGTCTGGAGATGGGTTTCTCAGCCGTGTCTGAATACAGTGCGCTGCCGCTTGATCAGTGCCTTAGAGCGCGCGCAATTTTCTGGACATTCTTTAACATGTTGTGTATGGCTGTTGAAGTCCATATCTTCAGAAAGACCAAACTTGAGATGTGTGTACCATATTATTCGAACTTTTGCGTTCTGCAAAAATTGGGCAGTAGTCACGACTACTTATTTACTTTCGATGAGATATTCTAGACCGTAAAGTCTTAGCTAAGGATTTCACACTCATTTACAGGCGTTAATAAATTCACGAAGAAGTTGCGCAATCCACACTACATTGATAACAATGAACTTTTGGACTACTTATCACGGATACCAAGCGACAAAGAACTGGTAAATTTTATTCAAATAATCAATTCGTGCCTGCAGGCAGTATGCTTGTGTTTTGCTACTTCAGCTTGAATGGCGGGAGTTCAAAGTTACGCCGAGTGCCAATGGTCGAGAGAAAGAGAAGAAACCTAAATGAGGTTACCCTCAAAATGTAGAATGCGTGCTGATAATTCTAGATGTCAAACGTTGTTAGCTGGCATCACATTCAACCCTTCTACGAAACAGCAAGGGCAAGCCAAAGGGTCATGTTGAAGTCAAAATCACAGCATTGTCACCTCTTTTTGTTTTGAATCAAAATGATACCACTTAAGTGTCATGAATGCTTCGTTTGTACGACATTCCATATTAAGCTTGAATGTATATCTCTACCACATTTTCACTAAATTGTGTTAGAACTGAGTAATGCTTTACCACTTTTCTGGTTTTTTTCGGGTTAATTTATGTTTTCCTCCGGTAACAATAGGTACACTATTTACTGCGCATGTAAATTATGGAGTACTTCAATTTTTCGGCGTTCAATCTTTCTAGTCATGTACTATGATCATTTGCTAAATTATGGAGATAAATTATTTTCATTCCATGATGTGTCAAGCTATGTCAACCTCTAAGGCATAGCTATCATGCTATGCCTTAGAGGTTTATTAGGATGGTACATCTAATTAAGTCGGCCTAACGTTTCGGCGCCTTCGCCGTCCTCAGAGGCATGAAAACGACTCAAAGCATCACCTCCAACATCAGACTATCAAATGTCTCCTCTAGCTTGGCTAGTTTCGACTTTGTTCCAAATTCAATCCGCAAAAACTCCTCAGACACAAATGAAACTACCGTCATACCACCGCTATATGATGTGTTCGCACCGGAAGGATTTGACAGAGCGACCGGAAAAGAGTGACAGAAGCGGACAAGTGAGGAATACTGTAGAGAGCAGACTGAGGATATATTATCTACTATCTACAGCTCACATAGTGAAAAATCCAAAAACTAATAATGAAAACGAGCGCTTGACTATTACAGCCGAGATTCCGTCATGCTACGAACGGCAGAAACTCGGCTGTAATAGACAAGCACTCGTTTCTATTATTCATTTCTGGATTTTTCGAGGATATTCAAAAAGATTCTAGTGCCTTTCTAGCCGAGATCTTTTTCTCACGGATTAAGATTTTTGCATTTGACCCCAAAATTTGCTCCATTATGGGCTTCGTATTTATGTCTTCCTAAGGATGTTGCTAAGTTACAACACCCACTTTTGTACCCCCCCCCCCCTTCTTTGGCATATGGACACACTATGCATTCTTCAGTTGAGCACATACCATCGTAGAGTCAATTTTGTACGAGCTGCTTTTTATTGTTATCGTTTGGTATGTTAACCAGAATGACTTCATTGAGCAGCTGTGCGCGAGCGATGCACTGGTGAAAGGCTGCTGCGATCTTATCGGAGATGAATGGGAGGCAAATGCGATTTTGTTGTCGGTTCAAGTGCGGCTAACCTGCACATCACGTCTAGTTCGTTAAAATGCGGGATAACCATTACTGCGGGCGATTCTGAGGTAGTGTTTTGCTTGTCGGCGTTCATCCTCTCCCGAGCACACCATGGCGTCATGGCGGCTCTTTTGAACATGTTTCTGATTACAGCATGTTTAACGCTGCTAGGGTGCACAGACTTAGCATTGATGAGGATGTTTTGGCCTAAAAACAACCCAAGGCATCACCTTCAACATCAGACTACCAAATGTCTTCTCTAACTTGGCCAGTTTAAACTCCCCACTCCTCAGATCGCAGCAGCCTTTCACCAGTGCATTGCTCGCGCACAGCTGCTCAATGAAGTCATTCTGTTAACATAACACACGATAACATTAAAAAGCAGCTCGTACGAAATCGACTCTACGATGGTAAATGCGCAAGTGAACAATGCATAGTGTTTCCGTATGGCAAAGAAGGGGAGTCAAAAGTGGGCGTTGTAACTTAGCAACACCCTTAGGAAGGCATAAAGACGAAGCCCACAATGGAGCAGATTTTGAGGTCAAATGCAAAAATTTTGAGCTGTGAGAAAAAGAGACCTCAGCTAGAAAGGCACTAGAATCTTTCTGGATATCCTCGAAAAATTCAGAAATGAATAATAAAAACGAGTGCTTGTCTATAACAGCCGTTCCTAACATGCTCAAAATCTCATTATCTCACTGTTTGTTGGGGCAACTTGCGTCCTCACTCTTCTTCGCACTATTGAACTCATAAGAACTCACAACAGCAATTACCGTGTTGCCGCTAAATTATGCAAATTGAAGAGATTTTACCTTTATTTACCATCGCGGTTGATGTGTCAGAGCAACATCGGCTGCGGCTAGTCCCCAGCACCTGGGGGCGTATGCATCAATCTCCCGTTTTGAAAGCGGGCAATCATTTTCAATAGAAAATGATTGTCCGGCCGGTTGGGCGCCCGACCCGTTATGTATGAGTTCTATTGAAAATGATTACCCGCTTTCAAGACGGGAGATTGATGCATACCGCCCTTGATCACTATGGGGAGTACGCGAAGTAGTCAGTATTTAGTAAAACCTATTGCCGGCACGAGGCGGTCATCATATGTATTCTTTCTCATCTTATACCCTTTTGGATACATTGTATAAAAACATTACAATAAGGCTATTGTAATTCTTGCTACATAGGCGAGGCAATCAGTTTCTTTCCGATAAACATATAGCACACGGTTTTCGTTCAGTGAACGAAGAAGAAATAAATGCGAAGGAAAAGTAAATGAAACAATAGAAATCAGAAGATGATAATGGCCAAGCAGCCCTTGATAATTTCAAGAAATTTGTCGCAATGTCAAGAGAAAGCGTAGTCATGACATTTCTAAGCTGAGTACATCCTGCTCACAACCGTGCTTAGCTCTAAGCAAAGAAAAAAAAACGCTTAGTACCGCGACCGCTTCTCCTGACACCTCATTCAAATACCTAGCCCAGCTCGACATGCTGCACATTTCGCGCCCAAATTTTGTGCACAACAGGAACTCTAGTCCAGCGACAAAAGGAAAAAGGGAAGGAAGAGAGTGGAAGCAGATACATGATTTAATGCATCGAGTAACTTTGCGCCTGGATGCTAGCTATTGTATGATCGGCTCCCAGATTCGTTGAAAGTGTATTGCAGACTTTGCCTGATAACACATGTAGACTTGCTAAACCTCCACGTCATAGCATTGTTTTTCGTAAGCTCTCGCTAGCAAAAACCGCCACGCGGTGAGTTGGCAAGACTCCACCTCCACACGAATCTGGGAGCTGATGATACTGACTGACGTTTGGCACAGGGCTCAGCAGACGTGGCGCTTTTATCTTATCTTATCTTTTATTCATTCTCAACGGTTTACATTGTTCATGCAAAGGACCGTGATGATATCATGTAAGGCTTCATTATGCAAAAGGCAAATCGTTCTAAGGGCCGATCTCCGGATTAGATAGGATAAAGAGCACAGTTTTTACGATAGGTAGACCGAATTTGAGGCTCTAACGTCATTCAACCACTATCAATTTACATGTTACAATCAGGAAGTGACCAACTTACTTGTATGTCCACATGATTCCCAACGCGTTAAAACATGATGTCTGGGCACAAAAGATTAACAATCAGTTTGTTTACAACGACTAACCAATATTGAGCCATCAAATTTTTTATATAGCTTCGCAACGACGAAGAAAAGGTAAGCATGAAATAAAATTGCGTGAAAGAAGGAAGTTGTAAGTGTTTCTATTTTAGGTTGCTCCCGCGCAACCTGAGAGCACCCTGGGCTTGCGCGAGACCAAACAAAGTCACAATTCACCTACTTCCTCGCATAATTTTTAAAACTTTTCTAGATAAATCTATTCTTCAGTTTAGGCTCCACCTACGAGTACTCATTTTAGCCCAAGTCTCGACTTCTCTGGCTTTGCTACTGCCTTCGACGATATAAGAAAACTTTTTCTTTTTCGTCTTCTGCTGTTTTATTCCTGATTTTCTGGTTTTTTCTCATTTTCACCACTCATCGTTCGCTGAGATTATAAGCCGTACTTCCATAGATCCACAGCAGGTTAATCGTAAATTTCTGCAATGTCAATGGGGACTTCGCTTCCAGATTCCTAAATGCCACCTCTTGCTGAATCTTGGCCTGGCATAACTTCGAGAACATTTCTCGCTGGTTGTGCTTGCTGCCGCTATTTTCTTAAGAGTATAGGGCTATCTGCGCATTCGCGGAATCGCCGCGCGGAATGCGCGGACAGCCTCTACTTCTCTCTCGTGCATTCTCATCGCTTTTTCTTCGCTCCCTCTCCTACTTATTAGCAGCCTTCGATAAACACATCGTTTCATTCAGCGCAAAACTCTAATTGTCTCTCAAGACTTATAATAAGCCGGTAATCCGTCGGTCCGTGAGTTGGTCTGTTACGAAGTTACAGTGAAAATGATTTACAATACCTTAAAGGCAGCGTCCCGGCAGATCTTGCATTTCCATCTTTTTGCATGTTTTGGATCTTCTCGACCCGTAGATCCCGAATCTGAGCTTTAAAGGGGGTGAAAAGGCTTTTTTCGGGCGTTTTTTTCAATCTCCAAAAGGCAGCTCGGACGAGAATTTTCAAAGGAAAGTCGGGAGGCCCTGGCACGAAGACGCTGCTGCCTGTAATTTTGGCTTTGTATAGCATGCACAATCCGGGAAAGCGGTTGGGAGGTCCCGCGCCGTCTAGCGGAGAATACTTGTCCGAACAAGGTGTTAGGGGAGCGAAAGGTGGAAGGGGAGCGGCGCTTGGACCGCCCCCTGGCTTGCAGAGTTCACATTTTCGGCGCGGAGTTGCTGTTTTGGTTCACCTGGAGGGTCTCCTATCCATCTGTGTCAAAATCTGAGGTAGGTCAATCTGCCGAGCCGCTGCCTTTAAAGTAACTGAAATTCTGGTAGAGAGTTTGTTTCATTTTTGATTAGAACTTCCGCGCTGCACTGCGCAAGAATTGAGACATGGCTCAAAGAGCGTAAGCACCACCGCTCCGAAATAGCCAGTGCTTCACCTCTGCGAGGGTAGAGGACTATATGTCGCTGAAGGTGGGAGGGGAGGGGAGGAGGGGGGGGGGGGCCCGGCCGAACCGTGCAGCAGATACCTGTGCATGTAGTGAAATGTTTATTTGTTGCAGATGTTCGGCGAGACCTCTCACTTTCGGAAACAAATAAGTCCCCTACCCTTCTGCGAAGCAGAGGTGAAACACTGGTATTTGCATATTTCAACACAGAAATGTCATACTTATTTATTTATTTTTTATATGCATTAGGTGCGCCATCGAGAAAAAAGACAGAAACACAAACACTTTTTGCCAATAATAGTCGGGTAGAACTCGTTAAATGAAAGGCGTATATCACAAAAATGTATTGCACGAGACAACATAATTTACAACAACTGTTCTTTAAAATCGAGTTTGGGATTTACTTGAGCAATTTAGCGTAGAGCCGTGATCGTGACCATCCCGTAGTGTAAACACTACAGAGCAAACAAGGCGGTGTTGGGAGCTGAAAAATCAAAGGATTTGCAAGCTATGAACTTGGACTCTAGATGAAAGATATAGGTGCTGGATAGAACATTGTGCTGTTACTGTATTCAACTTACATAGCAACTGATGCATATTGTCGATGGAGTTGGTGGCGGCGGTGGTGGTGGTAGTACTGGCATTGGTGGATGAATTTCAGGGCATGGGATACCAGCAGCACAAGATATCTGTTCATGAGAAGGTCCGGCACACTGAAAGCAAATTTGCTGAGTTTGGCTAAAGGTTCAAGCTATATAAGACTACTTACTCCTTCCACGCAATTACATTGCCTTGTACGGTAGGTGGTGCCTCCGCTTCCACATGTGACACTACACTCTGACCATGGTGACCACTTAAGCATTCCTTGATGCTTTCACTGTAGTTTATGACAAACCCTCTGAACTTACCGAGCTCCATTCGCAGCAGGGTTGTGTGTTACATGTACTACTTTCCGTCGCTACTCCGACACAGCAAGTATTGCATGGGTCCTTGCATAATCGAACTCGATGAGATACACCTCCACCACAAGATGCACTAAAGGATTGAATTTTTTCAGGTGCAAAAGCATAGATCTTGCTAGGGTAATAGATATAGCCATATTTGCCTAGGAAACCACTATGCAAGTTCTAATTACAGTAAGATGCAGGATTTACGGATGCAGCTGAAAAAGGGCAAGAAGATTTTTTTAAAGATTCTTTGAAACTCTGATTGGGCTGAGTAAAAAAGTCAAGTTGTAGGGAAAATGGACGTTGAACCAAACTAGAGGCCAACGTGTAGCCACCGAGCTCCCCCCCCCCCTCTCTCCTCCTCCTCATCTCAAGAATAAGTCACTGTTTGAAGCTATAGTGGTTATAGATTGTGCCAGTTACTTATTCCCTCTTGTACAACCGAAATATTTCAAAAAAAATTTCTAGAAATTGATATCAGCTCCACAAAATAATTTTTCCGTTTATGTAAGAGTTTCATTTTTAAGACCCCACGAAAATCGAAAGGTGCCTCAAACATTTTTCAAAAAGAATATCTAAAACGCCCTTCGTTTGGAAGATTTTTGTGTGCCCCCTCAAGAATTCTTAGGAACTTAATAAGAAAATTTTACCACTCCTGTGGGTAATAGGGAACCCCACATTGTAGGCATTACATAAATCAAGAATTTTCTGCTCACCTACAGCCACTCCAAGGACCCCACTCACTCCACTGAGGTTGTGGTGGAGGTGGTGGTACAATTACGGCACAAGCGGGACCACAGCCTATGGGTGCTACACCCGTGCCAATGGCAAAAGAAGAGGCATCTAAAATATTACCTGAGAAGAACTAGAAAATGTACGACTACAATGCATGTGCACGAAACTCTAAAAAACTCTTGTCGTTAGAAAATTGATTGTACTTTTTAAGTACAGCCAACCAACCTTTGATCAAAGACAATAGGATGGCAGTGAAGAACATTTGTCGAGTGTCAATAGATCTTTGGCGACTTTTCCACAGCTCAGCTTTTATATGCATCAAGTGTGTGTTTGCCAAAAAGTTCACGAAATTTCCGTTCCCGCCCAGTTTTGTTTTCTTTAGCCATTTCTCCCAAGCAGTATTACTCACAACGCTGTGAAAACTGGTTTTTTCCTAGGATGCAAGTTGATATAGAGATGACATCATCTGACGGAATTAATCCAGAGGTTTCAAACGTCACTAGACGAATTTTTCTATTGTTTTGAGGTATAAATAAGAAATTCGTTTTTTGGCTACCTTTTGGCAAGTGTATAATTGCTCTACTCCGAAAGTTGTAGATGGACAGGAACGAGTAGCCTGCAATTACTTTACGCAAAAATAAAGTCACTAAATTCCATACATGAAGAATCGTAAAGCCAATTGAAAAAAAAACATCAGATAGCGCGAAACCACAGTGGGTCCCGAAGCGAACGCCCCAGATTTAACGTCTACGCTACTGATTCACTAGTTTTCATCACTTCTTAGCAGTTTTCGGAAATCTCATACCTAGCAATTGGCATTTTATGCATTTCTTTTGACAGTCCGAGTTTGTAGAAAGCAAAATTTTGCACTGTATTCTCAAGAAAACAAATTATAAAATTTTTTTTTAGCTATTCTTTCATTTATCATAGAAATCAGTTTTTTTGCTGCAAACTATTATCGTCGCGCATCTATGCGATGAGTAATTCTTCAATAAGCAAATATATTTCTTACTACAAACTCACTGCTACTTCCTCATACCTCGGACATACTAATCACGTCAGGCAAATCTGACTCATCGACCTCTACACATTTGGACTCTGACTGAGCTCAAACTCACTTTATCTTACTCAAGATGTTGCAATATTTGCTTACGTAAACGGGACAGTTGTTAAAAATAACTGGTTTGCGTTAGGTGATGTGTAAATACATATTTATATTTTTTTTATTTTTTTTTTTGAATAGTCAGATTTGCGAAATTTCTACTAAAGCTATTTCTTTGAAACTAAGCACAGAATCAGAAAAAACACATGTTCAACCTAAGAAAAATTTTCTTGCTAATCAGCTACAGCTAGAAGAGCAAGCTCCTTTTCAAATATGTCTGCATAGAAGGGTGACAAAATAATTTTTTTATTTCATTGCAGTCATTTTGACAATATACAAATGGTACATTGCCAGCTGCCATCGCACTGTTACCAATCAATTAGCTGCCATGCCAAAATTTGATTCGAAATCAAAAATTGAAATTTTAAATTGGAATCTCAAAAAAAGTTTGAAATTTCAAGATGGAGATCAGCAGATTAACAAGTTCTCGCTCGAAGCATGGGCATCATCGTGTCTTACTGCCTGGAATTTGCAGTCATTTAAGGGTATTTTTCAAATTTCAACGGATTTCAAAAATTGAAGTTCATGGTTTCGAAATTCAAATTCATTGGGTGCTGCTTTTGGCTAGTGAAGCACAACGTGTGTCTTAGTACTGTATTTTGTTACCATGCATGTTATGATAGCAAAAATCGATATTGATAGGTCACGGCAGCCAAGGGCCGGAGCCAGCCTAGCTAATAATGCCACTATGAGGGACCAATAAAATCGGAAACAAAAAATTTGAGAATTTTAGGTTTTTAAACATATCATTAAATAGCTTGCGATGAACCGATTACAAATATGTTGTTCAGAATTTTGTACAATTACTTTGAAGATCGTTATCAGCTTATCAGTGCAAAAAAGGGAGCAAAAAGATTTAAAACGTGTAATTCACTAAAAAATTGAGATTTTCAAACTTTTAAACACATTGGCGGATAGCTCGAGGGACACTGATGACAACTGTGTAAACAAGATTATTCCTTGATAAATATGAAAGCAGTTATGAAAATGCGGCACTTTCGACGCAAAAACGCGTTTATTGTGCCCTGCGGCACATGAAAAAATTGACTTTTTCAGATTTTGAATATACTGTCGGATAGACCAATCAGTGCTGAATCCGAATATAACAAGGAAAATCAGAAAGAGTGATTTTTTGGAAAGTTATTCAAATGCGGCTCTTTCGACGCAATATCGCGTTTGTTGCGCCGTGGGGCACAAAAAAATTATGAATTTTTCAATTTTCAAATATACTATTGGATGCACCAGACAGCGCTGGTTCCAAATATTTCAATCAGAGCTCGATAGGAGTAACCTGAAAGAAGTTATAGCAATGCGGCACTTCTGGCGCTTTATTGCGTTTAAAACGCAGTTTTGAAAAGCGGCACTGCCAGTGCTGTAGTAGCTGTGACAGGGAATAAGATGTGATTGTAGAGCAAAAACGATTTTGAGCACGATTTCAGTCTAACCTTGTAATAAATTACAATATGTAGGTATTACAGAAAATTTTTCATTCCGATTGAGCTCAAAATGTATTCGAACTAAAGTAGCCTTCTAACCAATTTTTTTAAAACAGGTGTATCTTGCATACCCTAGAATTATTTCATAGATATTAAAGTAATTGCCTTTCGATCAACATGTCAAGTTCAAAAAAGCGCCTCAAATTTGCTGGAGTTAACGTGTTAAAACGATCAAAAGGCAGCCACATTAATGGTACTATGGGAACAATTTAGGTAAAATGAGAATTCTTGAAAAGTCAGATTTTTCTGTGCTTTTTTGTAAGGGTGTTTGCGACAAAAAGGGGGATTGGGTTTCCGGAAAGGATTCTCAAAAGAGAGCTTCCGACCGTTGTTGCTTCAATGCTATTGCTGTAGCGCAGACTTTCGCTGGTGAATGGGAAAATTGGCGAAAGAAAGCGCGACTTTCATTGTACTTTCATTTCTTATGTCGAAGAAAGTTTTCCAGAAATTCACAGTCAAGAGTACTTATTTTTTAACGCCAATTTTCTGACAAAGAGGTCCCAATGAATCGTTTTTCTTATCTCAAATGATAATGATAATGCTACTCAGACACCTCTATATAAGCCCAAAACAGCCCGGTGAACATTCATTTTCACTCAGTTATCACCCAGCTTGGTCAAGTCTGCTGTAAACCACATCAACATTGCTTTCATGGTATGCAGTTTATACCAATGAATCAGTCATTGATGGAGGGAAGACGCATGTATGTGCTTCTGAAGCGACGAAAGCAAAATCAACGGCTAATTAAAAGTTCGCTCACGATGCTGGATCAATGCGGAAAGACGCACATGCATGCCCTTTCAGGATTGGATAGAGGCTTTTCAAAGAAATTTTGTGTTTCAGATAAATGTCGGACAATTTGACCTGGCGGCAATGTACTTGTATATATCCTCGATTCTCATGTTGTTACAATTAGATATATCAGGAGTCAGTAGTAGCAATGGTAATGTGTGCTGTTTTTTCGCGACATTTCAGGAAGGGGCTCAAATTTTGGAGTCCCATTCGAGAACAAGAGCTTCAAACTGTGTAATTTACGCTTGCTGAAATCTTCCATTCCATTCTTAATCAAGCTTACACATGCATCTTAAAGGCACCGTCCACCCAGATTCTCGACTTCCAGGTCTTTGTCGTTTCAGGGCCTTCTCATGTCCCTGATTCCAAATATGAAGTCGAGAATGCGCGAAACCCCGACAATTCCCGTTTCGGAAAACCCACAGTTGGTCGTCGCGACTCAATCGCCGACATTTCCATTCATTTTCATTTCACATTCAAAAATTTCGGGCTGGAAAAGTATCACAACCGAAATGCAAGTTGATCGGCATGGAATGATGTGCGACGATCAAATCGCGTGAAGTCTGTCCAGGGAAGGTCTAAGGCCTCGGACAAAGTTCACGCGATTCAATCGTCGCGATTCATCGCTACAAGACAAGTGTTACGAGTTCATTGCATACCGATCATTTTGTATTTCGGTTGTGATAGTTAGTCACGATTACTCGTGTTGGAAAACTATCACAACCGAAATGCAAGAAGATTGGCATGCAGTGATATTGTTACAGTAGTCTTGTTTTCACCGCTTTCACTTGCGATTCACCGCTTCAGACAAGTGTTACAAGTTCATCGCATGCCGATCTTCTTGTATTTCGGTTGTGATAGTTTTCCAACACGATTGACTATGACTAACTATCACAACCGAAATACAAGAAGGTCGGCATGCAATGAACTTGTAACACTTGTTTGTAGCCGATGAATCGCGACAATTAAATCGCGTGAACTCTGCCCGAGGTCTTAGGCCTAAGGCCTAAGGCATACCTCGTGCGATTTCGTCGCTACGCGATTTGGCACAACAACGACTCTTCGTTATTCGTTGTTAATGCGCTGCCTTTGGTCAAAATTTGATGCGTTTGCAACGACTTACACAAGCTACCTAAATATACGTTCGAGAAGCGCGCACGATAGATTTGTAGAAATCGCCAACTCGCATGAAAGTGGCGATTTGGCGGAATCGCGTGAGGTATGCCTTAGGCCTTGCCAGAGTTCATGCGTTCAATTGCCCGCGATCCAAACGACACAACAGTCAAGAGTTCGTTGCAAGCCGATCATTTTGCATTTCGGTTATGAAAGTTAGTCACCATTTGCCAGTCTAGATCCACAATAATGAATGATAGAACACAAGTTGTTATCGATTATTTGCTTAAGCGCGACCAAGATGGCAGATCTTTATTGATTGCCGACGTTTCGGCGTCCTCGCCCTCGTCAGAGCCTGGAAATCAAAGATCACTCATGAAGTACCCCCTCAAACGCCTCATCTGACCCCAGAGATCCATACAAGAGATCAAATGAGATCAAAGCTAGTAGAAACGAACACGAAGGAGCACTCACCGTAATGCAGTGATTTTTGTAGCCAAGACCACCCGTATGAGAGACTACTGTTAGCCACTATGTACTTTACGCATATTTATGCTAGAGGATCCCGCCAACGCAGCCCGCCAACGCAAACCTCATTACTCCTGTAGATCAAACTTGCATAAGGTTTGGTAGGACGCAAGCTCGTTTGTTACTGTTATGCACTCGTCTTTCCTATTTTATTTTGGGTTTTTAGCCATAATCCAAAACGCTTCGAGTGTTTTCCGTGCCACAATTTCGGTTTCGTACGACAAGATCGTGACTTTTACGTCGAATGCAGCATCGCTACGATCTTTTTGACGATGTGCACCCAATGGCGTCGAGGATTTTGACTTATTCGACCAAGATTTGCCATCTTGGTCGCGCTTAAGCAAATAATCGATAACAAGTTACCATGCCAAAATTCAAAGAAGGTCGGACTTTTGAAATAAAGATAAGAACACAAGGACTAACTACTAGAAGCACTGCCATAAAGGATATTCATATGAGTCTGCGCATGCCACCCTCGCTGACCAGAGCAAGCGACCAATATTCAAGGAGTATGACCGAGATACAATGAAAAAGAGATGCTAGCGCAACAAACTAGGCAACCCTTGTACAACCGAACATACTATGAGCCACAAACTCAATAGGAATACTGGAAAAAGCTTACTAAACATGTATGCCACCATAGGCATGTTGCCATATCTCGTAGCGATGGAATTCCCGTGAAGTATGCCCAGAACCAAAGACATAGTCTCTTTATGACACACACAATTTTCATACGGAAAAGATGCAGGCCCATCTCAAAAAGACGTAGATGGGTGGAGCGAATTCCTTGTAAGCTGATGTAACTGCATGTAAACGATAGCTGAAGACGAAGACGAAAGCAATGAGCACGTGAACGTTGTTAGCTTTAGGATAATGAATGCTTGACCGCTCCACTCACAGCTTCGAAAATAATCACCCGCTTATGCTAAACACTGGCCTGCAACTAGTTTTGGAGCAAACATGATGGTTTGACTGTGCAGCGTTGAGAAAGGACATTAAAGGTGTGGTTAGGAAGGCTAGCGAACCCGGCTTAGCTCCTACTTCTTAATTAGACAGATTTTTAGCTCGTTTTTCACGTTAAAGGAAAGAACCTAATGTGTAATTTTGATGCGCTACTTCATCCCTGCCTGTTTATTTGCGAGTGTTTACTTGTTTTTAAATGTTGACCAAAAAAGCCTCAATCGAGATTACTCAAAGCGCCGTTAAAACAAGTCCCCAGCATTGCTAGCGATTCTGAAAGATTCGTCAGCAAGGTTGTGGAGTTGTTAGAAATAATAATGGAAATAATCGTTTATACGAGTGCACTTGTATGACTATTAGAGTAGATAAGAAGATTAAAACTTTATTGCAAGCAAAAACATCACGCTTTCATGATCATGTTTCAGGCAATGAAGAACTTCCTGAGGATCGACAGTTCACCATTGGTATGTAAAATCTTGCAGACTATAGCAAACTATAGCACACCCACAGTAATTCTATGAAGCAGGCGAGAAACACAAGAGCAATTTATAGATTTAGAGCGTAAGAGAATTTCTGAAACGAATGTATTCCAAAACAACCGCCTTGCTCAGTTCTGGCTTCCTTCCGTTTCTCTGTTACGAGTAAAGGAGATAATAAATACATGGAAAATGAGAGATTTATAGCTAGCAAGAATGCTGTCGCAATTCTCTCTCGATAATGTTTCCAAACTTCTCTGCCTAAACTTGTCAGTTGATTCAAGAAAGGGTGGAAGAAAATTGACCAAGATGAGAAAATTAAGACTATAAAAAAAGCGGTGTATTTGTCACCATTATCTACATCAAATATTCAGTTTGCCGCGCTGTCGCCATAAAACTGTGTTCAAAAGTTAAGACCGTATACCTTACCTTCAGTTTTGCTAACAAGTTAATTGGTTTAGAAACTCTAAGACTGCAAAATATAGAGCCTACTGTACTTCAGTCAAAAATTGCTGGAAAGTCCCGAATTATCAGCCAAATTGAATAATCATAAAATAATTTCGAACCACAACGCCACTGACGCATCCTCAGATTGTTTCGTGCAATAAAGTTTATACTTTATCGTGGTTTGACTTTAACTTTGAGATCTTTGGATGAGACCATCGAGTGTACTCGACTAGCCTCATTGAAACTGAAGTCACCCATCAAAGATTCGCAGCACTTTTTTCCGCAAAGTTTTGAAACCCCTGAGCTTGGCCGTATGTCGCCCTCAATAAGCTTTTCTTTACTGAAATTACTGGTGTTAGTTGCGATCCATTTTCAGTACGAGTGGGATAGGTGTTTCGTTTCGTCAAATCTTTATAATCAAGTCATCCTGACAAGGGAAGGATACCAACATTAGTCGGCAATTGAAGATGAGATGTATGTCACTAGATGCGACTTCGGACGCTGATTCCAAATCCGCTTTCCTTTTTGCGGAATAAGTTTCCGAAAGAAGTTATTAGCGTTTAAATGCCCAGATTTGTCAAGCCTTGAATGGCTTAAAATCAGCGAAAAGCTCTAAAACAACACCTATGCGATTTACACCGGCTTTGTTCCTTCCTTGCAAACAATATACTCGATACAAAAATGATTTTTCACTTTCCGGTGTTTTTGTAGGCTTTTCGCCAATTTTTGGCCACCTAAACCTTGACAAATTTGGACATTCAAACGCCTACAACTTCTTTCGCAAACTTATTCCGCAAAAAAGGAAAGCAGATTTGGAATCATCGTTCAAAGGCGCGTCTACTGATATACATCCCATCTTCAATCGCCAACTGATGTTGGTATCCTTTCCTCGTGAGTTCTGTAGCCGTATTCATCAACGAACCCTGGGGGTTAAGCTTACCCTCCAGGGTTAGTTTAACCCTCGGGTTCATTGGCCGTATTCATCAACCATAGGCTAGGGTTTACCACGGAACGCGATCTACCCGTATCGATCAACGAACCTGTGGTCGTATTCATCAACCTTGAGGGTTAAACTAACCCTGGAGGGTTAAGGCGTCAGTTACGCGTGGCTGTGCAAACTCACATCACAGAATGTCTAAGTACGGGCTAAATTCACTTTATACTTTATTCTTTCACTGTTATAGAAGTACTAGCCGGCGATCCCGGTTTCACTCGGGACTCCAGTTTAGCTAAAAAGAAGTTACTTATACTAGGCTGTTGCATAAGTTTTGTCCGATTTTTTTGCCTCATGTTTGAAGCAGCTGTTCTAAGAGAATTTCATCTCTAATTCGATACGGTTGGTATCATTGAAAAGTGCTTTCCTTGCGCTTTCTAAAGCATACCAGAATTCAATAAAATTCTTAATGTACGGAGATCACAGGCCTAAAATCTCTAAGTGGCCGAGGTACGTTCTATCCCTAGAAATATGTCCTTGCGAGGATATCTCCACAATGCGCCCTTCAAGTCAGGTTCTTTCATTGGCTTCGGAATAAGGGTATGGAATGCTAGTATATGCAGAAGTTCGGTCCCATGAAGAATACGTCTTGCTAGTGAAATTTATCCTCGAACATAAATCTTTGGTATAGATGTTTTACAAGCAATAACTTTCTGCGAATAGAAGTAATCGACAAGCTCAAAGTTGGAGGTGCTAGGGCAAAGCAAGAGCTAACAGGGCCCATCCACCAATTCCTTTTCGGCGCTCACGTCAGTTGTAAAACGTTCGTAGTTCATAAATAGGCATGCACACACGTGCTGAAGCGAGGTCAAAAAGTGGCTAATTTTTTGTTCGGTCAAAAAAATCTCTCGGCAGCGCAAACCCTATGGGCTCTTTTATGTTGCATAATAATCTACGAAAATTTCTCTATCCATCCATTATTAGAAAAGATGCCTATCAATTTTCATAAGGGAGCGTTACCATGTCAAAAAAAGACAGATTCGAAGAAAAACGCTGCGAAGTTTTTGCATTCTTGGTTCTTCCTTAACAAAGATTTGCGCAGATCTCAATATGCATTTTTTAGCCAAGGGACTGCTCAACACATAGAAACTAAGACCTTGGAAAAAAGTTGACTCTGAAAGAAGTTATGACATTTTAAACTCAAAAATTCAAATCGGACAGAACTTATGCAACAGCCTAGTACTTATGCTTTTTTATTCTGCGCAAAAAGGCTGAAACGAATTATCCGCTTTTCCCGATATTGAGATTAAAATGAGCTTTACCATCCCCTGACTACATGATCATAGCAAAATGATTGGTTTGAGCATGTCAAGCCTCATTTTCCCAGATGTAAGTAAACAAATCAACAATCAATAGAAGGGTCTAGTAAATCGCCGCGAAAAGTAGCCTATGTTCCGCGCCGGGGTCCAAAACATAAGCGTGCAAGGTTTTAACTCATTTGGTCCACTCAGAAAGATTTGTATAAAAAACATACTTATTAACAGACAAACACACTTTGAGTTTTATATATATAGAGATAGTCAACGAATAAGCTTCTAACACTAGTTTTTGTAATACATCTCTAGCATACTTGTGCAGCAAATCCTGCAGCATGAGTTTATTTTCATGTGTGCAATTGTGCAGTGTAAGTTCTACTTTTGCGCAGTTCGTTTTATACCGGGCTTGTGCTACTCTTTTAGGGGTCAATGCGTGTTATTATAGAGGGGTTCTTCTGTTTTGGCACTTGTCAGAGTGGAATGCCAATTTCCTCGTCCATTCATTTCTCACCAAAGCTAGAATTCTTTTCCTCGCAAAGTCAGTATTTCATGTACTTCGAATATGAACATAAAACGAAGTCGAAACTAAATACTATAACAACAACCAATACTAAATACTACAATACTCGTTGATCGTTTTCCATAAACCATTAGATGCGAGTATATGTTTGTATGAAGTGTTAGGGTAGAGTTACCTTGATCTGAGCTAGGGTTAAATTAACTCTGATGAATCACGTAAGTTTAACCCTCCAGGGTTAGTTTAACCCTCACGGTTCGTTGATGAATACGGGTTAGTCGCTTTCGGGGTAAAATTAACCCTCAAGGTTAGATTTAACCCTCAGGGTTAAGCCTACCCTGTGTTTCATGAATACGGGTTAAACGCTTTCAGGGGTTAAACTAACCCTCCAGGGTTAGTTTAATCCTCGGGGTTCGTTGATGAATACGGCCACTGGATTGATTATTGTTGATCTATCGATTTCTTCTTCGGAATGAATTTTTAACAACCTACGCTCAGTAACTTAACCGCTTGAACTAGAGCAAAATTTAAATGTTTTGAATCTTTATAGCAGGTATGACTTTGTTTTAACTTTGGTTCACTGGTAGCATGCTTTGCTAACAGCGTTCAGCTGGTTTCTAATGGACGAGAAAGACGCTAATTCAAAAAATTTGATCGACTCTTTACAGGCAATGGCTTGGCAAATCTCAATCTAAATTCTTCTACTTAACTGGGGTAATCCGATGCGTTGATTCCAAAAGTCGCCTGAGAGAGCACGGCGAAGGTTAGCATTTCCAAAAACCATTCCCTTGAATTCAGACGAGTGGAGCATTTTTCGCCATGGTCGGAGACGCAGAGTTGTTACGGGACCCTTAAAGGCAGCGTACACCTAAAGTTTCACCTTCGATGTTTTTGTCATTCTGGGGCCTTTCCGTGCCGCTGATTACAGTCATGACATTGCACCCCGATTTCCGAGGACCCTCTCTTCAAGGGAAGGACGAGTTTCCAACTGCTTGGCCCCGTCGGAATGCAATCGAAAAGCAGCTGCAACAGCATGACGCCTGTAGTTGCAACTGCAAATTCTGCGTATACCGTCGTGGATTCGTCGTCCGAAGGAGGCAGAACGCAAGAAGCAACTGCATTGTTGCATCTGCTGCTCCGTTTGCAACAGCAGGTGCAACTGCAACTGCAACTGCAACTGCAACTGCAACTGCAGCTTACGCTGTCTTGGATTCGTCCGGATGAGGCGGAGTGAAAGAAAAGGGGCGGAGTGAAAGAAAATTGAGGGAGGGGGGGGGAGGGTTCTCCGCTCAGAAGCAACATTGGGAGACCGGACCAACGCAGTTGGTCTTCTTCTGGGCCCAGTATATACACGGTATAGAAAAATCTAAAAAACTACGTAGCTTAGATTTTGCGTGTACTCTACCTTTAGGCCCCGGGCAGACTTCACGCGATTTGATCGTCGCGACTGAGTCGCGACGAGATAACTGTTACAACATCATTCCATGCCGATCAACTTGCATTCGGTTGTGATACTTTTCCAGCCCGAAATTTTTGAATGTGAAATGAAAATGAATGGAAATCTTGGGATTCAGTTGCGACGATCAAATCGCGTGAAGTCTGCCCGGGGCCTTAAGGTTACAGCATTGCGGCATGCCGTCTCCGACGGTGGAGAGAAATCGCGAGCTCGTCCAAGCGCGTGAGAATAGCTTGTGCACATTTGTTTGCGGGCAATTTTCTTGGCAGGAACTTCGTGGTATGCTCTGTTATAGACTCGCTCTGTTTTCAAATTTGGGCTGTAAGCTACCTGCCACATCAATTCCGATATGTTCAGTTTTCAGCCACTGCCTTTGAAGTTTACGGGCGCAAATAAACAAAATTATGTACTACTAAAACATTACGCAGAGTTGTGATCAAAATTCGGTAGTATGAGTCACATTCAGTTTGTTTTTCGTTTTCTTTATCACATTTGTTCGTTATATTTGTAAAGTGAGTATCGCTTGTTCTTGTCTTTTAATTGAGTGAGGTTGATGCTGCAATTAGAATATTATTAAAATAGCACAATTTGATTCGTATTATTTCAGAATGCGACCATCAACGATATAGCATCCGCACCAAATCAGACGTTGCAGAATTCAGCAGTAACTGCCCAAACCCCAAGTCGTTGTATCTTGTTCATCCCAACGATTTTCCGTCTCTGGGCATGACACCAAAGCAATTCTACAGCTTTCTCGATGCCCCTATACTGCATGCATGCATACATGTTCAGTTCTCAACTATAAAATCGTTGAATTTCAAAAAACTTCAAAATCACACCGGCTCTTGTCCTGGTAAGTTGCAGTTTGTTTGGGAAATTTTCGCTGAGACAAAATAGTGAAGTTATCGAAAGAGTTACCATTTTACAAATCAAGTGCATGCAAGCAACATAGTCACAAACTAATTAGAAAAATGAATCAAATTTATCGAAATTATCCCACTTAAATCAGTTTTTTTTCAAAAGAATTCTTCCGGTGTAATTATTCTCCGCAATAAGTCATGTTCCTCTGCTGCTTTAGGTTTTATGGTACCGATAGAGCGAAACAAGCTCTAAAAGACAGTATCTAAGTGTTCTCACAATGTTTGACCCTTTCGTATCCAAAAACAAAAAACTAGAGACATTCAAAGGCTCTAACAAGAAAAAATATCGTAGCACATTTGCTTATTTTTCTTGACTGGAAATCTAGAAAAGGCAAAAATTTTCACAATTTCGCCAGAGCTGTGCTGGCCTGTTTCCACGTAAGCAATTTCATAATACATGCCATTAGAAATATGATTGTGGATTTGCATCCTTCTGCGAATGTCATTCCTAAGAATATCAAAATTCCCTGAAAAAACCAAAAAACCCCATTTTCGCGTTTTTGGCCTAATGTGACTTATTAGGGTCTCTCAATTATTTGAGAAAGATGAAACACAGCAAATGTAGATATGAATTTCGATGCGGAGAGCTTGTGCATCTGCAAGTAAGAAGTTCAATTTTTCCGAAAAAAACGTAATTTTTTTCTCGATTTTTGAGCATTGAGATTTTTGGCTTCTGACTTTAAGTGGAGTGAACATCAAGCCAAAGTTTGGGTTTTGTCATGTGGAGCGCTTTGTTCTATCAAGAGCTACCGCAAAGCTTAATAAATAATTTTGACTTATCGAAGGAAAAAGTGAAAACGGTATAAAATGGCACTAACCTAATAATTGCAGGTCCTCCTATGAAAATTACTCAGAATAAGGATTTGAGAACAATCTCATTTCATGAAAATTTCATGCGTAATGCTCGCGCATCAAGTGTTGTTATACGTGGAAATAGAAATCTAAAAGCTGATGTGATAACAACTATGAAAAAGAACTTTCCTTGGTATGCCATCGATTTACAAGACCCTGGAGGTTAGAAGATCATTATTTGTCCTAAGGCAGAAAACAGCTCTGCTTTTCAGAGTGCGGTGTTCCTTATCCGTTCAAATCTTTTTATGACATGAAAGGTTGCGAATCTGCTTATGGTGTTTTGTACGTTAGCGGCTCTTCTGTACGAAGAGCGTCAAACGTCAAGCTTTCCTTGAAAGGATGCATTTCGATTGAAAAGTCAGATCTTGTTGACGTGGACTTCCTGGATGATATAACAAACTTTACTCTCGCAGAAGATGAATGCGGTCACGGTCAGTTTCAAAACGCTACTGGAAAGACTCAACATTTTTGTATGCGCAGTAAAAAATACAAAACGGCTCAAAAAAGTATTCTGATTAGGCTTTTATATAAACACGTTTTCGCTTTCAGCACTGGCGAAAATTTTGTCTACCTTAAAATCTACATCTAAGTCCGCTTTGACAAGAAAAATCGATGAAAATGCGCTATCGCACCGCCAAGAATCTTGCAGATAAGTCCTCCCATCAGATAAGTCCGCCTACAGATAAGTCCGGACTTATCTGACAGTCTTCGGACTTAGCTGAAAGATTTTAGGGTAGTTATAATGGAAAGGAAACGGACTTATCTGTAGGCGGACTTATCTGAAGGGTCTTAACTGACAAGGGAAGTACTTTCAATGGCAGTGGCCGTTTGATATTAGATGCATATCATCCGAAGCCGCTTCGAACGCTGATTTCAGATCTGCTTTCCGTTTCTGCGAAACGCTCTTATGAAGAGAGATATGGAAGCCTAAAAATCCTATTTTGAGGCGCTCGTTGAGTTTCAGAGCGCTGCTATGTGCGTTGGTGGTGCAGTGGTGTAATGAGTTGTCGGCATTGGAAAGGTCAGGGTTCGTATCCGGTGCAGAGCGAACCGTTTTGCACCATGAATGTGAGTTTAAAAAGCACTCTAATTCGTCTACAGACACTTACTGTTATGCCCTTGGCAAATGTGACCTAAGGAAAAAATTTTCAGACAGAACCGTTTGCTTGTTGAGATTTGGTAAATTTATGTACAGAGGTGAAGCGAAATTACAAAGTGGGCAAAACATAGACAATTCTCACAGCGGGAACAGCGTATGAAGAAAACCTCCGCGCTATTCTTATGCTCGCAAGGGCGTTTCAAATGCATCCGGATGTTCGTCAGAATACCCGCTCGCTTACCAAGAATATGCTGAAAAATTTTTGTAACGAGGAGCCGAAAATTGATGATATATCAGCGACAAAAGCCTCAAAATAGAGTCGTGAATGTGGACGACGAAATCAAGGTCTGTGCGATCACATGAGAAATGAAGCGCTTGTATCTCGCTTTCAAAGGTAGAAAGAAGTAGAGGGGTTGAATGCGGGACGTTGCGCCGGGTGGAATACTAACAATTTTCAGTTGTTTTTCCGGGAGAACAGCAGACAAAATAGCCTCGTAGTCCCTAAATGCACTCCAGGAATCAACGATTAAAAGCTGGGATTGCGAGGACACTGCCATGGCACAAGTTTGAACCCAATCGAGAAGCAGGCGTTTGGTCATCATGTGAGAGGTGTTTGCCCGAATATCCAGGTTGGGCGTTCGGAGGTATCCCTTGTCCGAAAAGGCTCCGTGCGGCTCCTATATCAAAATAATCTTGTCGTGTAGATTAAAGAAATCTATGTAACTAACCTGCATCACCATAAATAATTTTTCACCTAAATGCCCATCGGCGTACAAAATAGGCATGATTGTGAACGAGTGAGTCGCGGATCCCGTGACTGTACTACTCAATCGACAATAGTACAGTCAACGGTAGTTTTTACACCTTTGGGCGCTACCGAGCGAGCCAAATAGACTTCTTTCAAAATTCCACTCTGATCAGCATTACATATGCCACCTTGAGGCCATTGTTTCAACTCTGTGTGGGTAAACATTATCTGTGTATTTCGATATTGCCAAAAATTACCTCTCTTTACCAAGCGTACAAACGCTTCCGCTTCAGATTGATCTCATCATTTTCCAAGAAGTTTCTTCTCGAAGCGAATTTTGTAAAGCGTCGCGACGCTATGCCATACTTTTTCTTGAAGCATTGAACCCAATTACGGCTGGCTTTAAAATTAGTCAGAAACGTTTCCTCCTGATTTATTTTCAAGGCGATTTGACGAATGTCCCGATCATGGCGACAAATGCCAGCACCAAACTTGAGAGGACCGCTTCCTTCACTTTTTCTGTTAGAGTAATCAAGCGCAGTTTGCGATCAGCTTGAAGTTGACCTGATTTAATTATTTTGATGAAAATGCCAAAGAAAAGTAATTTTTTCAATACTCAAGCTAATAGCTTACGCTCCCTTCTCAAACGACGTAGTTTTTTGAGATGATAGGGGTGTCGATAAAGCGAAATTAGTTCATGGATGGCAATGAGCCGCTGCCTTTCTCACATGAACGACAGAAGTCGATAGCTCTACTCGCCTATATTCAATCATTGAAAAAATTTTTTAAAATGAATTTTACTCTCACCGAATCTCCCGACACTTCTAATCCACTGAAGAAAATACCATTCAAACCGCACGGGAGGATGCTCGTCTTTTACCGCCAATGTGGTGTCCTCTTCGCGCTCTTCCACCAAATGTTCTTCCTCCGAATCTATGTCCAATTCAAGCCATTCGGCCTCTCGTAGAATAACAGCAAAACTAATAATTATGTTCTGTTCTTTTCGTGATGGTGCGCGAGCGATCGGAAAGAAGCCGAATTCCTTCAACAGGCTTGTGAGCACAAAGGCAGGAAAGAACGTCTTCTCGATTAATGATAATTCGCATTTTTGGAGCCTTATATGGTGATGAACATGCTTCACCATGTTTTGTCCTGTTTTGCTAGTAATAAACTCAAGTAGAGTTCAGGGTCTCATTACAAGCAGTTATGCCGGAAAATTTTTTCCTTAAGTCACATTTGCCAAGGGCATAACAGTAAGTATCTGTAGATGAATTAGAGTGCTTTTTAAACTCACATTCATAGTCCAAAACGGTCCGCTCTGCACCGGATACGAACCCTGACCTTTCGCCTTCAATGCCGACAACTCATTACACCACTGCACCACCAACGCACATAGCAGCGCTCTGAAACTCAACGAGCGCCTCAAAATAGGATTTTTAGGCTTCCATATCTCTCTTCATAAGAACGTTTCGCAGAAACGGAAAGCAGATCTGAAATCAGCGTTCGAAGCTGCTTCGGATGATATGCATCTAATATCAAAAGGCCACTGCCAATGAAAGTTCTTTCCTTGTGAGTCAAAAAAAGCGGACCTATTTGAAGGCGGACTTATTTGTAGACTAACTTATCTGATGGGAGTGCTTATCTGTGAGATTTTGGGGTACCCTAAAATCCCGCCAATAAGTCCGGCCTTATCTATTTTTTGACACAAAAAATTGATAAAAATTGGCTCTCTGCGCTGCCAGAAGTCTAGCAGATCTGCTGCGGTCTGATGGGAGAATTCATCTGCTAGACTTCTGGCAGCGCAGAGGGCGATTTTTATCAATTTTTCGTGTCAAAAGATGCAGATAAGGCCGGACTTATTGGCGGGATTTTAGGGTGTAAATCCTTTTGGCAAGCTCCAAAAATCATGTTTTTGGGCAACCGCACAAAGTTACATCTACAGTAAATTCCAACTTTAGGCAGAAACTGGGTTGGTGGTTTTTCTTTCGCACCGGTTTGCAGCTAGAGTTTATCGTACCAAAAACCCATGTTCCCTCGTTCTTCTCCTCCAAACCAACGCACTCGGGCCCTGACCATGAGGCCTTCACTGAAACTTTTTTCTTCGAAATTGTAGTCAAGATGTGGTAGCTGAGATTTATAGTTATCACATTTCAGTTTAACTTATTTTCGCAGTGGATGGTAAAATCTTTATTGAAAACTGCAAATGCACATTACAGCAATCTCCAAGAATAGCAAACTTTGCATTAAAGACCCACAGAGATTGAAGATGAAGTTTGAAAGCTTACAAATTGACCAGACAGCTAACCCTGATTGTGGTAAGTCTCAACTTCTTACTAACTAGCATTTAAAATATTTTTGGTAAATGTTTAGAGACAACTTGTTCTGGTGGCGTTGTTAATGATCAGTATCTAGCTACGTTAGAAGGTTGCCAAGTAATAAACGGAAGCCTTGTAATACAAGACTGGAATAGTTAGTAACTCCCCTCAATCTGATTCAAGTCACAGTTTCTTAGGGCCGCCCGCAAACCTCATCAATCTCAAAAACGTGCAGCGAATTTATGGATCACTGCGAGTAGCAAATACAAGTGGTCTGAAAAACTTTGATTACTTTCATGATTTGCGAGAAATTATTGTCCCTAGCGGAAACAATGGTTCGTCGTCCCAAAGACTACATATTGTACCAACTGGATTGTAACTTCATTCTAGGGTCAGCAATTGAAATAGTATCCAATCCAGGGCTTTCCAAGCTAACTTTACCCCGTTTGAGAGCGCTTAAAAGTGAAAGTGATTTGAAAATAATAATTTCGGATAATCCCGACCTGACAATGAAACAAGCTTCGGTAAACAAGCTTTATCAGTTAGCTCAGGGAAAGAAACATACTCGAATCCAGTATAAAGATAGTACAACATTCTTCGACGGTAAGAATACACAAAATTCTCACAAATTTTCGTTTTCATTTTTACTACATTCAAGCGCTAACGTCGCGCAAATGGTATCTGCTTATTTCTATTATGGTTGTACTTATACTGATCTTGGTCATCATTAATGCAAGCATACTCACGAAAAGGCACATACAAAAAAGAAAATACTTTGACAAATATGGTTTTCCGAGACCACCATGGCATCTGCAAAAACGTTCTCAAGATATTCTTGCTTCGTGGGTCAAAGTAATGATTCTGTAAAGTTTGTTTGCTTTGCGTGCAAAAGTACCTCTTGGAGGAAATTGTGCTAAAGAATCCACTAATATGGCGGTGTTCTGATCGAGAGATTATTTGGCCATACCAGGAAATTGACGCTACTCGTGAGTTTTTCTCAAAATTTTTGAAGTTTTCATTCAAAATGTGGCTCTGAAGAAACCTTTGATTTAATTGGCTTGGCTCCTAGAAGGGGGGGGGGGGCTTTTGACCTAATTAAGGTCGCGCTCGCGACGAGTCTCCGTCTCTCTTTCGCGCGCGCTCTCTGGTCATTATTTAGCTTCAGCTACAGGCGATTCATAGCACGCAAAGACTGCGGACCTATCGGCGTCTCTCTGATCGAGCGCTCTTTCGTTTCTCTTACCACCTGCTGTCTCTCCCATGTACAAACTATCTTGACCGGACGCAACGGCGCTCAGTCTTTGCGTGCAATGAATCGTGGGTCACGAAGCCCCGCCTTGCAGGCGCCAAGCCAGCTAAATCAAAGGATAAGTCTAGTAAGTAGAACTTTTTAAATATATTATATAGATAGATAGCAAAGAATGGTACATTTTCGGCACTTCTTTATTGTATGTTACAGACAAGGATATAAATGTGATAGTGGACAACAACTCAAGTTTTTTGAAGGAGCATATGCTCCCAATTGCCGCGGTATTGTTTTATTAATTTTTGATACGTTCTCTCAAGTACATATTGTGTATGCAGAATGGTCACTTGCCCAAAGATAAATTTCTGTTATTTGAACGTGTGAAAACCCTTTTGTCGAAAGAAGTGGTTATCGTTATCGGAAGCGACAAACATCCCACGTGTGTTGTGCGAGACATTCCCATCGAACAAGATAAAACGAAAGCCTACAAATGTTCGTAGTGGAGTAGTGAAGCAAAAAGAGGCTATTTGATGTTTAGATAAAGAAAAAACTTACACTTTTACGTTAACGGGTACCAGAAAATTAGCGCCGTGCACTCAAGAGTATACTTACAAAGTTATCACCGATGTCAAAGCGAAAGACAAGAAGAAAAACAAGCAAAAAGAGGATGAGCAGATGTGCCGGAATGTCCGCATTTATTACCATCAATGGTCAGTGCTATCAAATAAAAACTCTTTAGAGCTTTCATCTTTCATCATAGGGGGAACCGGTTCCTGCCATCTGAATTCGATGAGATTTTGCAGCTTGCTATGCTATACGTACCAGACAGAACCGTTCGGATTATAACATTGAGGTCATCAGATTTTCAACGATGTTAATGTGTTTAAGGTCTGCGTAAGTGATAGGAGGAAAGAGGTGTTTTCGCTAATACACACGCTGCACACTTTTTGCCACATAACCATGGATCAAGTTAGTATTGTTGATGTGCTCCAGCTTCACACAGGTCAGTCTGTTGTAGATAATTGGTCTGTCTCAGTTTCTGCGATGACTGCATTGTGGCAGCGCAAGAAATTCGAGACTTTGTAAATTTTTTGGAGAATCGAGGAAGCGGTATTGTGCCTTTACGATGCTTTTGACGCGCTAATGGCAGAATAGGCTGGGCGAGGGTGAGGGGGAGAGAGATTGCTTGCCGACTTTGTGTTTTCCTTGCTCTATAAGCCTGTTTCGTATCAACCTACCTCTCCCACTCTGCTGCTCAGAAATCGCAAAAGAAGCTCCGCGGCAAATTGAGCTTCTAAAACTTCCGAGGCGGACGCTTATTGGTCCGCGGCGTCGACCGTGCGGCGTGGGCCCCGCCCTACTTGGCAGCTCCAATGGGATTGTTCCCCCGGAAGTTCTAGAAGCTCAGTTTGCCCCGGCGCTTTGCGATTGTCTGAGTGGATTAGAAATTCAGAATTGCTAAACAAGAATTTTAATGGACCAATGTTTGTCGGCTTTAAACGATATCAGAAACGCTTACTTTATCTCTTGTCATTTTATAATACAAAAGCGGTTTTGTTTCTATATTTCACCAATCTCTAAAATGAGGCCAGATTGTTAAAGTTCTGTTGGATAGACATATGCCTAGAAATATGTTGCACTTTTGCACTTTGTTTACTATATCGAACAGTTACCAAAGGTCTTCCAAAAATTGAACTTGGAAGTAAAAAATAAATAAATAGCCAAATTTAAATTAGGTTAAGAATATGTTGGAGATTCTAACGATTCTTCGAAAAATGAAGATATTAGGACGACTTACAGCTAAAGAGAGAAAAATTTTGCATCAAACATTATCCAGGGGACTTGCCTACCATTACTTTGAACGATTTGAGGATAGGTCTGAAAAAGGCAAGGACAAAAGGCAGACCTAATATATGTCATTTTTTTGTCCTACTATGTATCGCGTTATGCCAGCTCAATTATTAGGTTGACCGGAAAGTTCTTTTGCATCAGTTTAAAAAATACATAACTTCTGGTTTTTCAACCTATTTGCCTGTTTTCATTTTGTCTGAAAGAGCAATTCATTTTCTTCATAGCGATACCTTGACGTTTTTCTATTGAGCATACACGAACAGATAGAAGAGGTTAAAGAAAACGCTCCAATCTGCAATTTTCTGTGTCATAAAAAATCTGAATGTTGCAGTAAAAATCGAAACAGTCGGCATTATAAATTTCACAACTCTCAGTTCTTTTCCAAAAGTGCAAAGTTTGTGCTGATTAAGCGTCTCTATGAAAAGTTACGATTTTTGAGAAAAATACCAAATCAAATCAAATTCGCCCTCTGGTATTGCTTGCTCAAAAATCATACAGAAAGAGCTCGTAACGAAATTTATAATACCGACTGGTCCAATTTACTGCCAATTTTAGATTTTCAATGACTCTACACAGAAAATTGGAGATTTGAGTGGTTTTCTTCCAGCTTCCATACATGTAGTGTATGCTTAATAGAAAGTCGCCAAGGTACCGCTGTAAAGAGAATGAATCGCTTTTTCAAACATAACGAAAACACGCAAATCGGTTGAAAAACCAAGCTGTGTTTTGAAATTGGTGCGAACGAACTTTTGAGACAGCTTAAAGGCAGCGTCCACTAAAAATTTGGCTTCCCATGTTTTCGTCATTCTGGGGCCTTTTTGTGGCACTGATTACAGTTCCGAATTTCAAACTTTCCAAAATTCACAAAAAATCTGATTCCTGGGGACCCTGTCTTGAGGACGCGGACGTCAGTGCCACAAAAAGGTCCCAGAATGACGAAAAATGGGAAGAGTTTCGAATCTCGTCCTCGTCGGCATGCCAGCGGGGAGGAGCTGCAACTGCATGCTCAGATAATCGCCGGGGGCAGGCGGTCCGCAAACTCGCGCTTTTCTGCAGGCGGTCAGCAGAATTTTGGGGCGTGGCCAAACCTTCAGCGGGCGGTACCTCCGCGTTCTGCCAGCGGGCAGCAATACAGAATTTTCTGCGAGCGCTCGTCAAATAATATCTTCCAGCGAGCGCTGGCCAAACTTTCAGCAAGCGCTCGGACTCTTTTTAGGTATTTTCGGGCGTACGTCGAGCGCAGGTAAGACTCTGTGTGGCAGAGGTGTCACCGTTGGTTTAATTACTCAAGTTTGAGGTACTTTCTCTCAGCGGAAAGTACTTGGGGGTTGCGCGGTCCTCCACAAAGGACCGTGCGGCCCTAGAAATTTTTGCATATTCTCGCGGAAAGTCCGCGAGAACGCGGCCACTGCGCCGCAGCTAATCCATAAAGAAACCGCGACTGTTCTTCAAGCATTCGTCTTTAATTTCGCCAACTTTCTTCCAAATTTCTGCAAGCGGGCCGCAAAAAATCAACGAACTATTTTTCCGGTGCCCGCCCGCCCATAAATCGCATGGCCGCCTGCCCCCGACGATTATCTGAGTGGGTGCAGTTACAACAATGTGCAGCTTCTGCTCACTGCCATGTCAGTTCAATACATGTCGAGAGGCAGACCCTGGCTAGGTGGAGTCTGATATCAGACTCCGCTCAGCCAGGGGCTTCCAGGCCCCTTATCTCCATTCAGAGACAACGTTAGGAGACCGGACACCAACGCAGATGCCCCTTTCTGGGTCCTACATTCAGGACCGATACTTATTTGGAGGGGGTTAGGTTTAGCCTGAACTCTGCCTTTAACACCCTATACCAACTCCTGTCCAGCTGTGAGTTCGCAGATACTATATACTTGCGTAATTAACATGCTTACTTGTCCCCTGCACCAACTTGCTTATAGAAAGTGTTGCAGCTCAGGGTATGCAAAAAATCGATATGGACAAAAATTGTTGATAACTCAAACGACTGTCAATTCGCAATCGCCCTGCTCACTTATCCCTTTTTGACAACCCCAACTCTTAGCCCAATTTGCTAAAAAATTTGCAAATCGATAAAGATCATTTCCCCAGTACAAACATTACGGGATTAGTAAATATCGATTTATAACAAAAAGTAGCTTACTACAACCGTCCCTCTCAAAAGTATGGGCTTGTGAGGTTTGCTCTGGATCTAAATGGAATGTTTTTTGCTTGGAAACGTATGAACACCCAGACAGACACACGAGTGATTGGTTTTTATATATGAGCTATAGTATATGACAATCTAGAGAAGTGCAACGGTGCTGTGTTAGACCGCAATGAACTTGTTTTTGCTATGGCTGTTGTCATGGAGTGGGCGTATCAATCACGTTCAATTCCGAAGGAGCTAAAGTTGGTAGGTTCTAGAGGCAAGATATGGACAACAAAAACATTTTTTATGGTGTACTCGGTGATGTTGACATATTCCAGAAGCATGTGGAATGGTGCCATTCTTATGCTATAATGGACAAATTCATGAGAAAAAACCCAAACATGTTTGTGTTGCGACATTTGATTTGCGATAGATGAGATATGCTTTTTAAGAAAATACATACACCCAGATTACCTGGTTAAATTGGATGCAAAAGTTAGGCAAAGCATTTACAACGAGGGTTTCACATCTTCGCCAAGGTTTTCCGAACGTGAATCAGGGGCAGTAACAGATCCTTACCACAGAAAAAATGTCAAGCAGCACACGATGTACTCAAAAGTTTTGAAAACAGTTGGAGTAAGTTTTATATTAGCAGTAAATCGAGAAACACATTTTCAACTGTCTGCTTTAGACACAAGACGACGGAGATAAGGATGATGGAAAGTTTTGGCTTGGTAATGACAATGCTAATAATGAAAAGGTACGTTGATTATTTGTGAGATGGAAAAGCGTACTTCAGCTCCTTTGTTATAGGTTCCATTACTTAACGCTGTAAAAGAACGTGGTGGAACGGAAGTAGATGTCGATGTCTGATGTAGGATACTGGAAAATTTAAGTTGACACAAATAGTCTTCTGCTCTCTTTCATTAAGAATTACCCAAAAATCATCATTGAACACTCGTGAATAATTACAATAAAAGTTTTATTTAATATGGACTGATCTCGTTGTGACTCAAAATGCAAGTGCTATGGTTCAAAAGTTCTCTCGATATGTGGTTCAAAGAAGAGAAATCTCTTCTTTAAAAGCACGAATGCTCCATATTTGGTGTATTTTCTAAATACTGTACATGCCTTTATTGTGTGTTAACTGTGAAATGGCCGGTGATGTTTACAAAGTATTTATTTAGCATTTATTGCGAGCTTCAATCAGGGCCGAGTAAGAGATGTGGCATACGACCACCGGATTAGACCAACTGTCTTATCTTCACTTATTGTAGGCATAACACATAGGTCCTACCGAGCTTATTGAGAAATATAATTGTGATTAGCACATCAAATAAACCGTACTACCCCCGTATTAGCGACTTTTGACCATTTTACTTATGTGGCCCAGATATCTCGAAAATAGTGACTATATTCTCAAACTAAGCCATCTACCTAGCTTTCGATTCAAAAAGCACCACATTTTTTCCACAGTAGTGAAATTAGGAGCATTTGGTCTTGTTCGTCCCATCTTTCTCTTTCCAGATCAAAGAAGACAAACCAGGTTTAAACTGATTCTGTGAAACTAGAATTCAGGCTAGTGATAAATATTGACCCGTAAACCTCTGTTCAGCGCAACTCTGCTGGGGGATGTCAAGAGGCGCGGCTTCTATTACTAGATGGACATCAAACAGACATAATAAGTGTTTTATAACTTTCCAAACGTATTTAAAATTTAAGGTGAGATATAGTAGATGGTCGCATGGCTGGTTTACTCTTAATACTTTAAAATTAATTTAAAACATCAGTTTTGAAGCCAAAACCTTTGAAAATGCAGCTAAGAGCGATTTCGTAGTGCACCAAGCTCAGCAAGTGGTAACCTCAGACGGATAGTAACTAATGCACTTTATCTGGTACTTTTTGAAGACTCGCATAGCACAAAAGTGAAGTTTTGAGTTGGTGACAGCCGAAGAAATCGCCTTTCTTAACCCTTTCGTTTGAAGGTGGGCCATCGTTGACGTAGAACGTCTCAGTCCAGTAGTGAGCTATTGATCAGGATGCGGGTATGGGTAGCTTTCTTGGCCTAAGATCTTGTGCGTTTTCAAAAAAAAAACCCATCTGAACAGGTTTGGTCGAACAGGAACGGCTAAGTCACTGGGATTTCAAAAGTGCGGCCAAGGTTTGAGGCGAGGCCAGTGGCATGCCTACTGGCAAAAATACAAGTTTCCGAAAATGGATGGGAACAAAAATTTCCGTTTTTTTTTGCATTCAAGGCGGTTTTTTGAAAAACAAGCAAGATTTGCAAGAAAAAAGAACAACTTTTTCTTCTTATTTCCTCGCCCAATCAGCTGTTCATTGATCCTTTCCAATTTAAGCCCCGAAATTGTGCAATTCTGGGAGTTTTGCACCGCAAGCAGTACGTCAACTGAACTGTCCCCTAAGTTACTCACGAGTCGCTTACGAGAAATCTGTCTGATTCTCCTCTTTTGCACGCTATCTTCCTTAGTTCACCCTAGACTTTGCCCTCGGCTAAGTGGCATTCTGTTGAACTTACCGTGGCACTTAGACGAAAGGTCTTCTGACTGCTCAGCTGACTATCCTTAAGCACGGAAAGTTGGGCAGCCTCAAGTTCACCCTAGAAAGTTTTTCTGGATGATTTCTCAGATCAACAAAGATGAGTGAGAGTTTACTGCGGGCCACTCTCTAAATGTTTCTTCATAACAATATTCATGGAGTGTTGCACCAAAAAAGGCTGGCTGCCACACTTTTTCTGCTGTTGTGCACCTCCAAAGAATTCAAACACCGGTTTTTTTTAATCGTCAAAACCGTTAAGAATTATACCGATTGTACACAAAAAAGCTTTCGGAACAATGGTTGCTTTAATTCATTTTATGAAGTCAACATTTGAGTAAGTAACAGAGTCATCATTACCAAGAACTAGCTGGCTTTCCCAATCCAGCCTGGGCTGTTGTTCGCTGGGGTGATTGAGGTAGATTTTGATTTGGTCGCCAGCATAGTTACTGCGCTGCGACGACCTCCTTCTTCCCTGCCATGTTATTTATTTCACTACGAATCTGAAACGAAGGACAAACTGATGCAATACAACCATTGACAAAAGAGGTCCAGTGCAACATAAAATTCACAAGCACTAGGATATCAAGCAGATATTGCAAGGGAAATATACTCGATGAAGTTTGTGCCCATGCCCTCGTCGCCCTCGCCAGCAAAAACGAGAGAATTCAATTTCAATAATAGGAATCTCGGAAATTGAGTCTACTGGCCGCCTCGCTCATCCAATATGCTGGAGAATAGCGCCAAACTCTACAGAGTGTAGCAACTTGAGAAAGAAAAAAATTGGGAGAGTCACTTTGAGCTGACTTTGTGCGAATACAGTTGCAGCGGTGGAATTTGGCCAAAACTGCGGGATTTTCGGGATTCGCGGGATTGTCGGGATTCGCGGGATCCACGAGATTGGCGATTCCACGGATTTGCGGTATTCGCCGGATACGCAGGACATGCGGGATTTAGTTATAACTTCTTTTGAAACAACTATATTCGTAATCTGCGTGAAGATTTGGCTTCCGCTTGATGAGGCGAATCTTTTGATATATGGTATGTCCCGTTCGTGGTAACGGGGTAGATATACGATGATACCTTGTTGTTTTTTATGTTAAAGGCACCGTCCATCCAAAATTTCGACGTCCATGTTTTTGCCGTCCCAGGGCATTCTCATACCCCTGATTCCGAACATCAAGTCGGAAATCCGCGAAAACTACAAAAAACTCCCGTTTTCAGTACCCGCAGAGCGACTTCTTCGGAACGGTATTGGTTAGGGGCGCACGGGGCGGGACGAACGTGACGCCCACTCATGGAGGAGCCAACGTGGCGAATCTGTCATCCGAGCGATTTCCGAAGCAATTTTCTCGCTTCGGAAGCAACTTTCAGCCCGAGTTCGGCAATCATACAGCCGGGAGCCCCGCAGCTACTATGTATCATAATCTCACCAACCCCAATTTGGGTGGACGGTGCCTTTAAAGCGTTTGTGAACATCTATCACAGTGTAAATATCGCGAAGAGCAGGTTCTGGTACGAAGTTTTCATTATCAAAAACTATCGCAAGAGATTAAGCCGTTTTTATCTACGCTTATCACTGATAAAAGCATTTTATCATTTATCTCATATATAAAGCTGAATATCTGTTTGTCTGTCTGTACGTCTATGTGTACCTATGTTCCGAATAGAAAATTCCATTTCCGAACCAATCCGGACCAAACTTGGCACAAATACACTTCGGGGCGGGGCGAAAATCAGAGGCTACTTTTCGTCATCCATCGATATCGACATTTATCGATTTTTCACAGAATTACCTACGGGGCTGTGATTTGGCACAGAGGGGTAATTGAGCATGCTGATTACGAACACAATATTAGTTCTCAGAATTATCTATTACTTTTATCAATTTTACCGATTCTTGTGCAAAGTTTTAACGGGGCTGGTAGTTGGCACAGGGGGTAATCAAGCATGCTGATTACCAAAACAGCGAAAATAGTGAACTGGCATGTAGGCGTAGGCACAGGGAAAGGTTGTACTGGGATAGGGATGAGAGTTTTATCATGGTGTTCTGACAGGGCCGGGCAGAGCCGGTAAGCCAGCTAGTGACTGATAATATCAAATCTTGATTCATTTCTGGTGTATGTCGAGTCATTTTTGTGTAAGAAAAGTACCGAAAAAAAACGCTGTTCGTTTTTTTATACCGTCTCTTGAAACGAGTGAGCTACGGGTCCTTCTGGTTCTATTGCTCGGTGCAATTAATAGATCACAAACTTGAATAATTTTTGTTAGAATGCAAGGAAATTATGATAAAAAGAGTCATGCGAGTTTCCATCGCTCCGTAGCTCATGCTATGTAAGCGACAGTCTTCTCTTTACATCTTTCCTTTTACAAATCCGGTGCCGTGCCGTTGGCAGATCCCTCGCTGCAATCATCGATTGATTACTCATCGCTACATGCCACTGCAGCGCATTTTTTTGCTAAAATCTCATCTTTGCCCATAACTCGCTTCGGGCTAAAGCCTGGAAGTTGAAACTAGGTACATATGTGAAAGAAATGGTAGAACTCTTCCCAAGGATTCAAGAGATTTTCATTCATTCTTAACATGATGTGGTGATTTTATGACTTTTCGCTTATGACGTCACAAATTTGCATAATCTTTGATCGAATGCAAGAAAACTATCATAAAAACGTCATGCGAGTTTCCAGCTCCGTCGGTTATGATAAGTACAGTCCTTTTCTTACAGACTTTTTAATTGCAAGTTCGCTGCCTTGCCTTGGCAGATCCCTCGCTGCAATCATGATTACTCATCGTTACATGCCACTGCAACGCATTTTTTCTTAATCCCACCTTTTGCCCTCGACTCACTTCGGGCTAAAGCATGGAAGTTGAAATTTGGTATATGTGTGAAAGATGAACTTAGGAATTCTTCACACATAATTGAGCTCTCTACCCACTCTTACGATATGATGATTTTAGCATTTACCGACCCAAAATTTTCCTATCTAACCAGACCGCACCAACCTGAAGTTCCCCTACATGCCCAAAATCCATAGATGTGATGTGTGAAGCGCCCTATGCCTCGTCATTAATCGGGTACGGTGGAGGTGATGCAGTGCTTCAAATTACGCGCCTAATCTATGAGGCGGGCCTTTTAGCGCACTCCCGCGTTCATTCGAGGTCGTGCTAAGCTACGACTACATGTCCCGCTCTTCTTGTGTTCGTCATAGTAGATTGTTCCGGATTATGAAGGCTTGTCTTTGAGGCTGCTGTGTGAATCGGTATGGTTGTTGCGGTCCACAGGGATTGGAAGGGGAACTTATCATAGTGTTTTGAGAGGGCCGAGCGGAGCCGGATAAGCCAGCCAGTTGAGTAATAATAATTAGACAACATAACGCGAAACAACGTAAGATAACATGAAGTTTACTTGAACAGACTAAAATTCGTTTACATTTTGGTGAGTAAGAGAATCAGAATAACTGCATGTATTCATAACAATACCTAACGGGCACCGAAATAACCGTGTCTGGCATGGCGATATGGTTAAAAACAAGAAGAGCAATACCTAACAAACGATAGCCTAGTATCGGACGTCGAAAATGAAATGGAGTTGTGTCGGTTGCATCATACTTCAGCGAGGACCAATCAATTACCGATTTCGCAATAGTACTGGAAGAACCCTTAAAGTCTGCCCCAATACCAATCAGGCCAAAATTGGCATGACGGGAGTCCGCGTCGCTAGGATTTCGCGGTCACGCCTACGGCCTACTTCTCTGCTCTCTCTGCAATCCTTTTGCTCCCTCTGACAGCGCGCATATGAAGCGTGGACGATAGCACTGCGAGCGCGCAAATTAACGCCGGCGGTTTGGCCTGATCCCGGTTGGAGCAGACTGTACCTCACCTGTTTTTTAAGAGATAGCGGTATAAAAAATGAACAGCGTTTTCTTCGGTACTTTTCTTACCATACAGTCGGTTTCATCCCGGATTAGGCGAGACATTCTACGTGGAGCAGCGCATCCGCATCGCTGGAGGCTTCGCGAGCGCATAGCGCTGGCATTTTGCCAAGCAAAGACTAAGGAGATTGAAGAGACGCAGAAATGGGTTCTCAGCGCGATAGGATATACTGTAGCCGCGAAACGGCGCGAGCTGTTGCGAGGCGGACTCCCGCCAATCCAATTTCCGCCTAAAGCGGGTCGAAACTTACTGTACACCAAAAATGATTCCAAATTATGATATTATCAGTGATAAATGATAAAATGCTTTTATCAATGATAAGCGTGGATAAAACCGGCTTAATCTCTAGCGATAGTTTTCGATAATGAAAACTTCCTCAGACATTCGATGTTGACTCGCGCCGGAGATTCGCCCCTTTTTGAGGGATTCACGGGAAAGCGCGTAGACATGCGCGAGACAATTTTTTGCCAAATTTTCGGGATTCTCGCGAAAGGAAATCGGGAAATGAAAACATTGAGAAACTAGTTCGAGCAGGTTGAACAACGCGAGTTCGAATAACAACAACACCCTTTACTAGACTAATTATTTCTTCTTGAACATAGCGGCTGGCCGCACATTTCCTTTACGGCTTCGGATAAGTAATGCGTTCTTCTTCGTGTCTGATTCAGTGAGTCTGATTAATATCATCAGAGTTGAGTTGCCTTGACGCCATACGCCTACTGCATTCTCGCAATTTGAGCACAGCTGCTTAGCTAGGTTTGTATCTTTCGTTTTTCGATCATTGATTATACATAATTGCTTTAAGAATACTTTTTTACATGTCGTCTTTGGAGAAGCGTGAGGCCGAGGGTCGTCCCTCTCGTGAGCCATTGCTCTCAAGTGCATTCGCAGCCGGATGAGGTACGCTTTTTCTGTACACGTTACCTTTTGACCAACGTATACGAAGGTCAAATGTATTATGGTTTAATGATAAAACCACCATCGGTGTAAATGCATCGGGTATATGGGCATGGGCTCATGCATATGTGCGGTTTTAGAGATTTGCATGAATGTTGGATGTTATTGAATGTTGTGGCTTATGCGATTATAAACAACGATTGCCAAAAGATAACAGTTTTTTACAAACATAACAAGACAAGAACATGACATATAACAAGCTTTACAAACAATACAAAATACTCTTCAGTATACTGCTAGTCATCAACAAGTTGTAGACTACTCAACATATCAAAATGATAGCGCTTGGGGCTCTAGAGGGCGAAGTAAAGACGAGAGATTCTACAGGAAATCTAGGAGAGAATTGAGCGGTATGTTCTACTAATGTTAGACCGGCTTATACGCGTAATGCCCGTTCAGAAGAAGCACCCTATCTTCTGCAATATGCAAAGCACCATGCTTCACCAGAGGAAAAAGTGTTGTCTGAGGATGTCTACACCAGTGCCGCAGCCCACAGTCAGCTGTGCAAGATTTGCCTTCCATTAGATTAGTGAAGAACGAGGATCGTTATCCTGCACTCAGGGCCTCGATGAGGCTTCCTCTACATGGCAAACTTTTCACTTCAGTTCGGAGTAACTGATTCGATGGAAGTATATCTGGACGATTTGCACCGGATCAGAACCCAGTCCTCTCGTTCCGATAAGGTGTGAAACGCAAAGGCTTTTTGGTTCGATAAGTCACACTTCCCGCTTTTTAGTACACTTTTACCTCGGACGTGCGGTCACTCAAGTCGGAACTTCTTTCCCGGTTTGACTATACACAATGTTTTTTCTGCAGTCATTGCTCTAAACTTCTACGCGACAGATCAGCAGTATGCAATGAGCTGGATGTCGTCTTAGGGGGTTTGTCCATGTTCTTCACAAAATTTTCTTATTGGTAATGCTGCAGGATTACTTAAAAAGGATCCAGTCTCTCCAAACGCGCCTTACTCCATCTTGTGCGCTTGCTTCCGCAGTTGGAGATTTTTCAAAGAGAAACATCGATGCCCTTATCGCTGTCCACATAGGATTGCATGAACATGTAAGATTCAAATAACTGGCTCGGCATCTTTTTTCGAACCTTTCTACCTAAGTGAACATGCTGATCGAATTCTTTCTGAAACATCGGATTACGAGTCGTACAGAGGGCAGATGGAAAGCTGCGAAGTTTTCGAACAGCAATGAATGAATATGGTGCTTACAATGAGCACTGACGGCGTTACTCATAAGAGGATCAGCAAGTCAGCATTGCTTTCCATCATTCTGAACTCAACCAAAATAAGGAATTTCAGGTCACAAGCTTGGCCTTTGTATCTCAGGTTGGAGGGTCTGTCGCATAAGGAGAAGAACTCCTACAAAAATATGCTCATGCTTAGTATTTCATTCACGAGCAGATCACCCCCACTTGTTATGCTTGAGGAACTATTCAGCCGGCAAGCCGCCTTTCCAACTGCTATCGACTCCATTGTCATTCCTTATCTGTTCAGCGTCAAACATGAGCTCGCCGTTTTGTCGGTGGAAGGAATGGTGGTTCATGCTCAAAACCGAGCGTCCTGGAAGTTGACCCCTGTTTTGCAAAATAGTGTCGTTGACTTCAGCGTATGTACTATATACCAGTATCTTGGCATGTCCAAGTTTTTGACACAAAACGTCACAGGGTCTACATATATTGTTTAATTCTCCTGTTTGGAACGCTATGTATGGCTGCCATTTATGTACATTTCCCGGATTGCGACTGGAAGGTCGCACTGTTTGGTACAATACCGCTCATAATTCGTCAGAAAAGTCGCCGGACTGTGGCGCACTCTGCCACACTCCGGCGCACTGCGGCGGAGTGTGGCGGAGTGCGCCACAGTCCGGCGACTTTTTTGACGAATTATGAGCGGTATTGTATAACGAAGATCCTTCACTTGAACATCGCAGGACTAGGGCGACGATAATAGGGGACGCCTCGGCAAATATGAATGATCTTTGTGGTTGGTATCGTTCGATTAAGAAGATTGTTATCTAGATTAGAGATGTTCAGAGAAGACTGAGTTGATGGACCTATTAACCATGGAGAAATTCCGAAAAGATGCGCTTCATTTGGTTTCTGAAGGCATAACCTGCGACTTGCTTCGCGGTATGTGTCAGTTAAGGAGCTGGGACATTCCTCATTTGCTGTGTTTTAGAGCTGTTTCAAAGTGGAGCCAAGACAGCGGAAATGGTAGTCAGACGGTCCTATTTGAGGTCACTAAGAACGGCATTACAGAAAATTCATGACGGGAGCGGAAAAAGATACTGTGAATGTCTTTGTAATGTTGGATTGAACCTTGCAAAGACACATTTTAGTTGATGTTTGTGTTGTTCCCACTTTTGGCTGCTCAAAAACTGTGTGCGAACCCAGTAGGCTCGGCTACCATACTAATTTACTGGCTTCTTGTTCTCTCCTGGCTGATATAGAAGCCTTTTGTCTCACACATTTGGAAAGCAAGACTGCTGGCGATGTCGATGGAAGCGTTGTGGGGTGTCTTATCTAAGAAACTGTTTACTCTCAAAGTTCATGTAAGTCAAGCGTCACTACATTCGGGGCAATGGTTTTGTTTTGGTGTTTTCTGGACCACAGCATTCTCGAGGATCTCTCAAATTGTGGTTCGCCTTTCCTACAGTCCGCAGCGCCATTCGAAAGGATCCACCAACAGTTACAAGTCCGCACGGTGCAGCACAAAACCGACTGCGAACAGGCCTTGATTGAGAAGTACGTTTGTTCAGCTCACAAATTTGTGCAGCCTGTAAATCTATGTATCTATAAAACTCGAACACTGTACCTTTGTTTGTTAATCGGTTTCTGTCTTATAGACTCCTTCGTATGTACACCAAGGGGGCTGAACTTTGTTTTTTATATTAGGTTGTCCGGAAATTAATACCCGTTTTGAATTTCAACCGCAATAAGTCATGCACTTCTCATTTATAAATAGGTTGCAATATATCATTCGATAGAGCAAAGCAAGCTCTACAAGATAACCATCTTGCTTTTGCAATAGCTCTTATCCACCTCGAGTTTTAAGGTGAAAAGCAAAAAGATTCAGCTGCCCGAAAAATCGAGAAAAATTAACTCATTTCATAAAATTCCTACTAAAATTCTTTCTTGCTCACGTAAACACTATCCATATAAAACATCCACATACGCCTTCGGCGCATTTTTCCTTCTGTTAAAAACCAAGAAAACGGAAGTTTTCGTGCATTTGCCAAAGTGATGCTGTGCCACATAGGTAATTGTATACCACAAGCCTGTTGAATTATAGACTTAAATTTTTAGCTTTCTATTATATAAGCTTTAGTTCTCGAGAAATACCGAATATAGCTTTCCCTAGTTAGGTGGTCCAAACTAAAATTCAAATTTCTCAAGAACTAAAGCTTGTGGAGAGCTGAAAATATACGTCTGTACATCTACAGGTTTGTAGTAAACAATTACCTAGGTGAGGACGGCACAGCATCACTTTGGCAAATGCACGAAAATTTCCGTTTTCTTGATTTCTAACAGAGGAAAAAATACGGCAAAGGCGTATATAGATGTATTATGTGAATAGTGTTTACGTGAGCAAGTAAGGATTTTTGTAGGAATTTTATGAACTGAGTTACGATTTTTTCGATTTTTCGGGCTGCTGAGTCTTTCTAGTTCTCGGCTCGAAACTCGAGATGGATGAGAGCTGTTTCAAAAGCAAGAGAGCCATCTTGTAGAGCTTGATTTGCTCTATCGAATGGTACTTTGCAGTCTATTTAGAAGTGAGAAGTGTATAATTTATTGCGGTTGAAATTGGAAACGGGCATTAATTTTCGGACTACCTAATAAATGAGACACGGCGCAGAAGATAGGCTACTTTTTTCAACAATTCTCTGGGTCCTTCTATCGAATTATTGATTTGTTTACGTAAATCTAGGAAATGGAGAGCTTATCAAATCATTCGTCTAAGTAAAAGTGAACAAACAGTAGCGGTACGTCCCATTCTGAGTTTTGCATGCAAAGCGCAGTGACAAGAAGGACACCTAAGTAGGTTCTCTTATACCTTTAAGAATGATGTATGCGCTTAAGCTGAGGTGTGTGGAATCCTTCCGCAAAACCATGGGCGCCAATTCTCAGAGTCACTTCTACTGCAGCATGTATAGGGCCTATCAAATGCAGTGTCGGGCGCACCAGCTTTCCGCTTCCTCGCGCCGCCTGACCCGGATTCTGCTCCTCCTTAGCGAGCATGCTCTCTGATCATTTTCCCACCGCGAGCGTAAGAAAGGCGGAGCCAGTCGATTTCGCAGAAGAAGTGCAGACATGTTTGCGAAGAGGTGCAGAGTCCCGCGCAGGAGCGGAGATGCTGGTGCACCCGACACTGCAATCGATAAGCTCTGTATTCAATTGGAGCTACTGTTGCGATCTATACTATGGCGTCAAAAACAATAGCATCCATAAAATATATTCGATTATATGATTAAAGTAGTGGTCATTCTCGTAATACCTGCAAATATTGGAGGATCCTTGAACTGTGGATACAGGGAAAAAAGAAAATCTAAGCTACACTTGCTTCACAGTCCACCTAGAGCAAAATGCCAGAAAATGGAAGCATTGTTGAACTTGCGGTGATGAGGCATTTGAGATAGATAGAAAGCAATCGATCAGAGGACGGCACAAAAATGCTCTCATTGTGAGTGATATGCTTTATCACTCCCATCCCACTACGCTTACGAGCATTCGTGGGAAGCAAACCTGTCAAGTAAAATGAGCACGCCTTTTCAGAAATCCCAACAGAAATGCCAAAGTAGCAAGAATAGATGGAATTGTTGTATTTTCGCAATATAATCTGTACCCTTATTCCATTCATACTACCAACAATAGGTCTTTACCATGTGATTTTATCTTTAGATTTGAGTTACTTCTTTCAAAAATACTGTCAAAACACTTTAGAATAACATGGAGTTTGCAACCAAAACATTTTGTGTATAGGTCATAGAGATCATAGCAGGTAAAACTATTTGAAGTCAGCCAGAGTCACAGCCATTTATTGCCTCTTTATAGGCTTGTAACCCCATTCGCCAACGTGTCTAGGCATTCGCCAACGTGTCTAGGCATCATACGATTGCTTCTCTCTGAGCTCTGATATACAAATGGTTCGACAGCGCAGGAATGCCGAAGATGAAGCTGGTATGCCACAATGGTCAGTTCAACTTATTGAGAGATTCGACAAGTATTCCAGCAGCATGGAGACGATGTTAAGTGAGTTGTTTGAGCGCATCTTTACTGAGATCAAGCACATTAAAACTTCTCAGGATTCGATGCTTGATCGCATACAGAGTCTGGAAGACAAAGTATGCCAGCTCAGTTCTGAGAAGTTAAACCAACAGAAACTTCTTTATTCAACTCTCGTAAAGATTCGCGCTGACGAAAGCAAATTAGAGGACAAGTCTAAACGCATCGCACTTGTGGGAATAGACGAGCAAAATGACGAAAAACTAACTCGCCGTTTTGATCTTGAAATTGTAAAAGAGTATATCTACACGTCCGGCGAGCAAGATCTAGCAGAAAAATTTGAACAAGGGCATATAACAATACAGCGTTTCCCACCTAACGTAAAAAATTCTCATGCGCGTGGCCGCATTATTAAGATCGGCCTTCGTTCAAAAGAACTTAGGGACAAGCTTTTGCGCCACATGAAAAGTGGGCGCCAAAGTCTTACGCAAAAATTTGTTCATTCATACCAGACGCGACTACACTTTCGAGGAGCTGCAACTAGATCGAGCCCTCCGTAAACAAGCTGGTGATTTGAATGCGCGAGAGGGGAGACTAGCTTACGTTGTTCGCGATTTCGAGATCGTGAAACTCAAATCGCCGCGCGAACTTCCCAGGCGATTCTTAACCTCGACTAGCTTCCGCAGCAACATTGCGAGCAACGCACATTGCATGAAAAGCACTGTTGACATAGAAGAAGAGCATGAAAATTCTCTTGCAACTAATTTGACTCTATCCCCAATCACTTGCTCACAATATACACCCAAAACACACATACATTAGCCCAAAAGTCTTCAACCCGGGAAAATTTTGCACCATAACAAAAACCATTCTACATCATTTCTATCCAATAATAATATCGAAGGTCATGTAATTTTATTCAATGCACGTTCTATCTGTAACAAACTACCAGATCTACATAGACTTCTTTATTTTGGACCATCCATTGTGCTCATCACTGAATCCTGGTGTAAACCACAACTGATACATGATGCAAACATATGCCATAAATTCAGTATGAAATTTATAGATGTGATAGAGAAGGCAGTACTCATGGAGGAGGCGTTCTTGCTCTTGTGCGTAAAGACATTGAGCATCACCTAATCTCTACTCAGAATTTTTCTCCTTACTGTCAAAGCCTCTGTCTTTGCCTCACAAATACTATGACATGCACAAATTTGATATTAACGTATAGAAGTCCTTCATGCAATAATGCCTCGTTTGAAGAAGCATTACTATTCTTTAGTGAAATCCTTGACAGAAACCAAGATTGTATCATCTTAGGAGACTTTAATTTCCCATACTGTGACTGGTCCAATGTCATATCAACATTTCAAAAACATGACTCTTCTTCTATGAGACTACGGCAGCTAGTGGAGACTTATAACTTACGCCAGCTTGTGAATGTTCCCACTCATGATGTACATATGCTAGATCTCATTTTCACAAACAATGACAAAATGATTAAGAAACTGAAATTTCATCCACCGTTTTCTACATCAGATCATTCTTCCATCTCATTTCAGCTAAACAAACATCATTTAAGTGGTGCATCGCCAAAATATTTGCCTGACTTTCTCCATGCAGATTACAATGAAATAAACGCTGATTTGCTGAGAGTAAACTGGCGTAATGCTATACTGAACACAACCTCAGCAGACCAGTGTTATCAATCATTTGTTACTCATTGCCAAGCATTGATAAATAAGTTTGTACCCAAAATTAAGATTGACCAAAAACACACATTTGCATATCCTAAAAAGATCCGAATGTTAGAAGCCAAAGTTTCCAGATTGTATCAAACCAGACATAGAACCGGAATTAAAAAGTATCAAAGATTCTCTAGAAAGCTCAAACGCGAGTTGGCCCAATGCAGGCTTTCTGAGGAAGATGTCATTGCACGTAGCCGTAATATCAAGAATTTCTTTCGCTTTTGTAATCAAAACCTAAAGGTGACAAACAATATTGGAACTATCTATGATTCATTAGGTAACATATGTAAATCAGATAAAGAAAAAGCTGAAGCATTCGCCGTATTTTTTAAGAACGTTTACAAAAAACCTACAAATGTTAAAACCCAATGTCCACAGTTTACAAATGAGAAAATTGATTTTTTAGATATCACTGGTGACATTGTTTATCAAATTTTAAAAAAATTACCTCTTAGAAGATCTACGTCACCTGATGGACTTCCCTACATATTTTTGAGAAAAACAGCGCTTGGCATTTCTTCTGCCCTCAGCCTTCTTTTCCAAAGATTCTTACTCCACGGGGAAACCCCAGCACTTTGGCGTACAGCGATCGTGAAACCGATCTTCAAAAAAGGCAACAGATCGCAACCCAAGAACTATAGACCCATCTGCCTAACTTCTTCAGTTAGCAAAGTGTTTGAGAGAATAATTTGCAAACAAATTTGCAAATATCTCGGAAATAACCAACTCATAAATGCAGCACAACATGGATTTTTACCTAAAAGATCGACACTTACAGCTCTCATGTCCACTATATCAATATGGCATAAGATATTGAATGAAAAAGGATTCATTACCGTATGCTATCTAGATTACAAGAAAGCTTTTGATTCAGTAAATTTAGAACTACTTTTCAACAAACTCAATGCATATGGAGTGAAAGGTTGTCTTCTGAAATTTCTCCAATCTTTTCTATCAAATCGTACTCAACAAGTCATAGTCAATGAATCCTTGTCTTCTACGTATCAAACAAGCAGCGGAGTTCCTCAGGGGACCTGCTTAGGGCCTCTCATGTTTTTGCTGTACATAAATGATCTACCATTAGCTCTTCCTGATGGTGTCACCTGTTCTATTTATGCAGATGATACCAAACTATACTGCTGCAATTCCCCTCGGCTGATGCAAAAAGCTTTAGATGCGGTGGCGGAATGGTCTGAGAAGTGGGACCTTGACATTTCAGTCGAGAAAACACATATCATGCTTATTGGAGCTAAACATCCACGACCGTGCACTTATTACATAGGAGGTCAAAAGATTCGAGTGACAAACTCCATAAAAGACCTTGGCATTACCTATTCTGACAACCTCAACTTTGACGACTATATAAATGAAATTACAAGAAATGCCCATGCTCGATGTAACTACATATTACGTGCCTTTAGAACGACGAAAATCCAAACTCTCTTCAAGCTTTTTGTCATTTACGTCCGTCCTATGCTGGAATACTGTACACCTTTGTGGTCTCCAACCAAGAGAAATGCAATTGACGCCTTAGAAAGAGTGCAGAAGTCATTCACTGCACGAATATTTGCAAGAGCTGGGCATTTCCATGTGTCATACAAATCAAGACTTTCTATACTTGCCACTACCTCTTTGAGACTCAGAAGAACAATTTATGATCAAAATCTCGTCTACAAGATTATGACTAAAAGAATCTATCTCACGATGCACGATTTTTTCGTATTATCCAACTTTAATGCTATAACTAGAGGACATGACTTCAGGTTTATCATAGGAAAGGTGCAAACACAGCAATTTCATGACTCTTTTCCGATACGCATAATCAACACATGGAACAAGCTTCCAGTAACGGCGATTAAAGCTTCATCGACATTTGTGTTTAACAGAGAAGTTCAAAAAACCTTGAAATCTAAAGGATTCTTCTAACAACATTTTTTTACAGAACGGTGTAAAAAACGCTTTATTGGATCACTATTACTGATCTTCGACCAGCTATTTCAAAACGCCAAAATTACCATTCAGCACCTCTGTACCTTTTTTTTATCTTCTATGTATTCTTCTCCTCTGTGTATTTTTATTGATAGTTTATGTCTTTTTTTTTTGCACAAAAAATTTTTGTTTATGGCGAATCATTTTCCTTATTGTCCTGATCCTGCCGCTTATTTGAAAAGAGATTCTTTTTTGAGGGCTAAGTCAGCTAGCTTTTGCCCGCAAGCTCGCTGGCATTTAAACAATGGGATGCACATCACTTTTCAAAAGGCAGCAAGATTTTTTATGTCGGTTGTTTGAGTCCAAACTGTACTTATGTTGTGTGATCTTTTTTTGGAATCGACTATTTACGTAAATAAATAAATAAATAAATAAATAAATAAATAACCGAGATTCAGCACTATGCGTGCCTGCCGCCTGGGCGGAAAAAGAAGGAAGTATGAACACTTAATGGATTTACCGGAGTCAATTGCCACATTTTTGATCAGTGGATTCAACACTGTTCAATTTTCCTCCTTTCGCACCTTCAGGTCATTTTTTAAGGTTTCGCTTTGGATGGTCAGGGCTTATATGTCGACGATTTGCTGCAACCCGCTTCAGAGTTAATGCGGAATCCAACAATGTACGTTTTGGAGAATCTTAAGCTTGCATTATCATTTGAATATTTTAGCTGGTGGACAAATCTTGGAAAGGATGACAAGGAGAGAACAAAATCTTTCGACGTGCTTTCGCAAGCCAGAATGGATTGGGCAGCCTTTGCTCGCACAGCCCTCGGAAGAGCCTTGTAAGCTCTCTAAGTAGTCACAGTAGTCAGTCAGATCACATGGACATTTTTTTTTTGCGTTTTCCAAGAGAGATGTACGAGCCTACGAACTCAATCCAGAAAGAGCTAAACTGCTTCCTCCAAAGGTAAGAAACCATGCACTTCTTCCTCTCCACTGTCAACTCTCGTATATTTTTTCAGAAAAAGCGTGTGGTTCAAACGACGGCAAACAGTTCCTCCGCTATCAAGGAAATAGAAAAAATGAAAAAAAAAATGAAAAATTTCAGCCAAAAGAAAAAATTTCTTTTTAAAACATACATAATATTTGCTCGAGACTTGTGCTACGAAACGCTCATTGAGATATGATTTCAGAAAAAATTTGAACCTACAAATTTTTAGCTCAAACATAACCTATTTTCATGGTCCTTTCAAGTCGCATAAAAATCACAAACCTATTGCAATCGCGGAACTTTTACTATGTATAGTAAGATTAAGGCTAGGATAACTACTACTAGAAAAACAAAAAGATCTCCTGGTTTGTCAACGGCGAACAAAATCAAAAATGTCAAAAATTGCATTTTTGGCTGCCTCAGAAAGAGCAAAATGAGTGGGTCCTTTCGAGTTTTTCAGCACAAAATTTTTATGAAGGAGTTTGATGAAATCCAAACTTAGCGGTACTGCTTAGTCGACTATGGACTACACTGTGAGCAGTACTCGTGCAACTCAGCTATGTTCCAAATCAAGTTATGCTTCTGCAAAGTGAAGGTTTCTACAAGGAGTTGTTTCTCGATTTTCGCCTATAAAATCTTTTCCACTGTTACTGCAATAATCTTAAAGAGTGAGCGGAATAGCCAAAGATTTTCAGATTGTAATACACTTTATAGCATTTGCAAAGATTATTTCTGAGAAGAGTTACTGTGAATCAAAGTCAAAGTTCGAAAACGGGTAGAACTTTTGAAACAACGCCCCAACAAAGCCCCACACATGGCTACACTCAAATATGTTCTTAAGAAATTCCAAAACTAAAATGTAAAAGTAGCTCGTTCTCAACGCCCGGTAAATCATATTTGGATTATATGTATATACCAGCACATCACCTCTGCTTCGCAAAGGCTCGCAATCTTATTCTTTTTATGATTTCTTCGTGCTCGCGTAATGATGGCTTTGGTAATCACCCAGCTATGCGCCATCACGATTGAATTGTAAACTACCACTCATTTCAAGAGCCTTTCACCTACGACATCTATCTTTGGGGGGAAAAACTTCTGTGTCGAAGGAATACATGCGAAGTTAAATTAATCACCAAAGAGATTATGGTGTGAATTGCGATAATCAAATGACCATTTGAGCTACATCTCTGCGCAAAAATATTTTTGAATACTGAGGTTAATCCTTTACAAATCTTCTATTTAGGCAATCTCTTTTTGGCATCGTTCTCGTAAAAAAAATCAAGATTTTTGATAATTTTAGACTAAAACCATTGTTTTGAAGATACATATGCCAAGCAAATCTACAGCTTTGCAAAAAACTTTGGATATACCGTGAGGCTAAAAAAGCAAGGATCTATTTGGCGTACACTTTCTGAAAATTCCGCTTTTCGAATCGGCTTGCGCTTTTGCACAGTGGACCTGGTACATGCTGATAGGATGTATGGCCAGAAATCGAGCTGGAGGGGTATGCTGGAACTCGCTCTGTGAATTTCGTTACAGACAAACAGGCGGACACACACACAACACACACACCACACACACAACACACACACACACTTACAAAAAGAGGTAAACAACCCTTAGCCCGTTATTATATATATTATACTATAGAACAGATATACATACTATAAACAATGATAATAGAATCTCCAAGAAGTTATCTAAAGTAATACCTCTTATGTCTCATGCCAGCACAAATAATGCATGGTTAGTGGAAGTAGGTTTTTGAAATGAGAGGCACAACTTTTTGGAGAGCATAAAACGCGGGTTCCAAACCTGTCCTCTAACAGTCAATCTTTTCGACGGAGAGTCCTAACGCTTATTGGAACAAAATTCAGTGCACTGACAATAAGAGTAGTCTCAACATCTTTCTAGCACTCGAATGACAGTGATGAAATCAAGTAACATATGCTTTTAGATAAAATTAATTTACACTTGGTTGCGTTTTAAACGCTAGGAAGATTTTGGCAGCTACTTCTCCCTATTGCGCATTTATTTCTTGCTCAAATACTTATAATAGCCTTCAATCAAAAGCTAGCAGATAACAAAAATAGGTTTGAGATTAGCGTTCCATGCGCTTCAATACGGTATACATAGCACCTTAGAAGGACATTCTTACTGACCATCCTTCCATTGTCAATTGGCTGAAAAGGCTCTTTCCGAACTGATAACATAAAATCTGAAGGTTCACATAATTTGACTTAAAGGCAGCGTCCACCCAGAATTTAACCCTTCATGTTCTCGTCATTCTGGGGACTTTCCGTGGTCCTGATTACAGTTCCGAACTTCAAACTCGCTAAAATTCACAAAAAACCCGATTCTTGGGGCCCAGTCTTGAGGGCGCGGACGAGTTTTGAATTGCTCGTTCCCGTCGGTAGGCCAGCGGGAAGGAGCTGCAACTGCATGGGTGCAGTTGAATTGCAGTGTGCAGTGTGCAGCTTCTGCTCACTACCTTGTCAATACGTGTCGGGAGGCACGTATTAACAAGGTAGTGAGCAGTCCCTGGTGGGCGGAGTCCGATATCAGACTCCGCCCAGCCAGGGACTTTCAGGCCCCTTATCTCCATTCAGAGACAACGTTAGAAGACCGGACCAACGCAGATGCCCCTTTTCTGGGGCCTACATTCAGGATCGACACTAATCGGAGGGGGTTATGTTTAGCCTGAACACTGCCTTTAAGTATAGACTTGTAACGCATTCAAGAATCTATCCTTCAGTATAAGGACCATTTTAGAACGTCGCATCTCCTCTGATACAGGGTGTTTGGAAAGTTCGTGGCCTAAAGTACTTCCAATTCGAATTTTGACGCGCTTTTTGTTTTATTGTACTCTTGTACTGTAAAAATTAGGTTTCGCGGTTTCTTTGATTTTTTATTAGATTTAAATAGATCAGTATAGCTTTCCAAACATCTTTCCTTGAAACGCTTGTTACAAAGAAGGAAACATAATTCACAGAAAACCTTGGTATGCCTTCTAAAAGGCCTTTCCTTAGGCTCTCTCAAATGTGCTTTTAATTTCGTAGAAATAAGTTCGTTTTGAAATATCGTGCCTCGAAAGATAAGAGATCCACTTTCAGAAATTTTCGTCAAAAATCGAGCACCGAAATTTTTTATATCTTATCTTCAAAACCTTTGCAAGCATGCAAAATTTTTAAAAACAAATACAACGAAAGTCAGAGAGTTTTGCTACTATACATATTGAAATAAGACTTCCAAAACTTTTCAAACTGAAAAAAAATTTCAGCGCAACTGGTGCCACGACTGTCTGCTGTAATTCAGCATTTAAAAAATCTTGGTTAGCGAGCTACTGAAGAACTTTTGTTGTTTGAAGAAATTGTAAATCTAGGACTATTTGTAGTAAAAAAACCAAAAGCTGTTTCCCTTTTTCGGCGTTGAAAAAAAAAAGAACAAATCAGATAACGCACTCTTCCGCCTCTCCAAGAAAGCTGAAAAAAATTTTTACTTTAAAAAATTTAAGGGTATCTTAAGGCAAAAATCTTTTTCTTTGTTGATTTAGTGGTTTCTAGGTTTGGCGAACACACATAGCAAATAACGAGTTAGCGTTCGCAGTTCAAGTGCTTAAGGACACAAACTTTTTAAACACCGTAACTTCAGATTGTACAACAAAAAGCTTTGTTGGATCGAGCCATGACAGCACGGCTTATTCCGTAACTTCGAATTCCCAATTTGAACTGAGCTATAAAACTACTCGACTTAGCATTTCCTTTTTCGTGTTCTGTCTTAACATTATGCTGAAGTCCTTGAAGGAATAAGCACCTTACAAGGAATGTGTTTTTAGAGGAAGTTGCCTCTCCGCTAGAGCTTCGAATCATTTTGCAGAGAATCAAACGCTGCTTTTATTTGTTTTTAATATCTGCTGTGCTATTCTAAATTTCATTCGCAAATATCGATAGAAGACCATTAAATATGTATATGGTCTAGATGATCAGTTGCTTCGGTCTGCCGTAAAGCAGAGGTTAGTGTGAGTATCGATGCATATGTACATGTACACATATAATCTATATAGGGGTATCGCCTCGTCAATTTGTTGACCTCACGGACTAGACATCACTGCGGAGCACGTGCCACGAGGAGGTAAAAATGCGTGATTCAGTAAAATTTCGCTGTTGTATAAGTCGTGTTAGCGCAACTTTTAGCCGCGCCGCACGTGATCCGCAAGATTTAAACGCCATTCAACGAGTCGACGATATCCGTTGCATAAAGCGTCTGACATCCAAAATGGCAAAGGACACCTACTTAAGCGACTCTAAACGATGGTTCTAGCTGCGCGCTTAGCTTTTTGACGCAAAGATATAACTTGGAGCTAAGAAGAGGGTAGGGATCGGCGTGCAAGCCTCTGCGAAATGATATAAAGTGATCCGGAAGAGTCACTTTGACTCACTCTTTTGTGTTTTATTTCTGATCACTAGGTTTTATGTCCTTTACACAATGATAACTCTCAGGTAAAGTTGACAAAGGATCTAAAAGAGTTTATGGAACATCGCTAAATTGTGGCGGATCCAAACAAGTTGTTTCCAAAGAGCGCAGAAACCAACTCGTGCTGGGGCCCTGCTATGATCTACGAAATAATATAACGGGAGTTGTTTTCATAGAAACAAGGCTGCGTCTTTTTATGTTTATTGAGCTTTCTCTGCAAAGTCTGAAGATTACGCTGCAAATCGCTAACGGCGCATGCACAATGTCACATCTTCCGTGCCTGTAAGAGAATACTTAGGATAGCGGAAACGTAGGGAAGTAGGGAGAGATGAGAGAGTGCACATGTCTGTAAGGATAGTGTCGATCATGTGCACATGGCAAGCATGGCAAGTGGTGGTTCACAGTCGTGTTTGCAACTATGACAATGGCAACAATGACAATGACAACAATGGCATGATGAATGAGGATGTCCGCATTGAGGACGTGTAGGGTGATGGGGTTTTGGTCGCGGAGGTTCAGGGTGATGATGCGGTCTTGGTCGAGGTGGTTTAGGGTGATGATGCGGCCTTGGTCGAGGTGGTTTAGGGTGATGATGCGGCCTTGGTCGAGGTGGTTTAGGGTGATGATGCGGCCTTGGTCGAGGTGGTTTAGGGTGATGATGCGGCCTTGGTCGAGGTGGTTTAGGGTGATGATGCGGCCTTGGTCGAGGTGGTTTAGGGTGATGATGCGGCCTTGGTCGAGGTGGTTTAGGGCAATGATGCGGTCTTGGTCGAGATGGTTTAGGGTGTTGATGCGGCCTTGGTCGAGGTGGTTTAGGGTGATGATGCGGCCTTGGTCGAGGTGGTTTAGGGTAATGATGCGGTCTTGGTCGAGGTGGTTTAGGGTGATGATGCGGCCTTGGTCGAGGTGGTTTAGGGTGATGATGCGGCCTTGGTCGAGGTGGTTTAGGGTGATGATGCGGCATTGGTCGAGGTGGTTTAGGGTGATGATGCGGCCTTGGTCGAGGTGGTTTAGGGTGATGATGTGGTCTTGGTCGGGGAAGTGGGGGATGAAAAGGCGGTCTTGGTCGGGGAGGTGGGTGATGATGCGGTTTTGGTGGAGGGCGTGGGTGAGGAAAATGCGGCTTAGGAGGAGGAGACGGAGGAAGGGGAGGATGTCCTTTGCGGCATTTTCTATCCATGCAGTGCATCTGAGGATAGTAAGGACAGTCAATATGGCTTTTGCAAGCGATGTCGTTTCTGATGCATCTTCCTATAATGCAAATTCGGTCGAACTTCGTAAAGAATGCGCCGTGCCTGCACTGTCTGTCTGTGTTGCATCGTTTTCCAAGGCTAACACATTGCGATTTTAGGCATTGGTTGTGGGGATAAAAGAGACAGTCACTGTCCCGAGTGCAGCGACGACGTTTGACACAGTAAAAGTTTACGCAATCTTCTAGACCTTGTCGGTACCCACTACACATGCTATCTTTTTGACACTTGCGGCGCGGTCTACATTTGGACGAAATGCATGCCGTATACGGATACCCAAGGCATTGTTCGTCTCGAATGCAGCTTTTACCTACGTTTTCTATGCATTGAGATCTCAAGCACTGCATCGTGGCTGGATATAGGCAGTCGCGATTTCTTACACAATGTTTTCCGACTGTGTTACATTTACCACCTCTTCCCTTCCCATCAAATACACATCGTAAACCTGGATAGACCGTACAATGCGAATCGTTCCAGCAGCGCCTATCCATGGCTGCGCACTGCCTGTTTATACAATGTACAAAATACCCTTCTTTACAGTCTTTGTCGGTGCTGCATGATTGCCCGATCTTTCTGCATCTGCCATTGATGCAAACTGCGTTGCGGAAAATGGAGCATTCTTTGTTGTCCCATTTGCAGTGAAGTGGATACTGTATGCACCATTTGTTCTCACAATAAGCATTGGAAATCTTGAAACAGTCCTTATCGGCTCTGCACGGGACTTTATCTTGACATTCCGAACTGACGCAAGTCATCGACGGAAGGCAATCCTTGTCTGTTTTGCAGTGCAATGGAGCCCTTTTACAGCGAAATTGAATGCATTTTATGTATGGAGTAAATCTACAGTCGCTATCTCTGCGACATTTTTGATTTAGCTTTCTGCACTGTTTCTGTATGCAAAAGGTGTCGACATGATTCCTGCAGTCTTTATCAGTGTTGCATCTCTTTATTTTGACGCATTTCGAAGAGGAGCAAACAGTGTTGGGGTAGCAATCAGTGTCTCTACGACATTCCTTCACCTTGACACACTTAGACTTCAGACACATATACTCCTTCGGCAACATGCAGTCAGAATCAGACCTACACGAAATGGGCAATTGTGAGCATCTTGACTTCAAGCACACTCTTCGTGGATAAGGAAAACAGTCCGTATTGCTACGACAATTCTTCATTGCCACACATCGTGACTTTACGCATCCTGTGATCGGATAGAAGGGACAATTTGAATCTTTTGAGCACGGTACTGCAATTCGTATGCAAAGGCCGTGAATGCATTGCGCCTGTGGATAGGGGGGACAGCCACCATCATTCACGCATTTTTTGCCCCCTATGACACAGTAGCCGTACATGCACTTCGCTTTTGATTCTTTGCAATCCTTATCGGCATTGCATTTGTCTTTCCACGGTGCAAGAAACAACCTAAATCCGAACAGTAAAAAAAGGTTTCCAGGCCTATCTTAATCCTCATATTGTCAAATGCTTATGTAATAACACTACTCTTTGAATTTGTACTGGCATTTGGAGATACAAGTATGTGAATATCTTTTCATAGTGTGCAATCGTTTTGGTGTCATTTTTCTAATGTTTTGTAATGTTCGTTTTAAAAAGAAGACAAATCAAACGAACCCAAATACTTTTGTGTTGGTGACAAATACCCAGAAGGGTTCTCTAGAAGAGAACCTCAAGTTAACTTGTTCTTTCTGCCAAAAAACCTATTGTGGTTTTGCTTATACTCTATGTGTTAATGGCGTTGTCTGCATTTAACTGTTAAATACTATGCGCTTTGAGATAAAGTATGATAGATCCAAAAGACATCTAATCTATCGCAAAAACTAGAAAGAAATGATAAAAACTGGTGAGTTTGAGGGAAACAGCAATAAGTATTTAAGTTCGCATCTGAAGCGTCAAGTTCAACTTAGGAAGGGCATATGCATTTTGAGGGTGAGGTTGCTCGGCCATCGGCTGCTATTTTGAGTTGATTTTGATTAAAAAGTTATTAAATGAACTTATGATATACACAGCTGATAGGAGGAGACTGAGAAAATTCTTCCATGCTTACACATTAGCGATGCTTACCAAAGTTGCAACTAGATTTAAGCCACACACTACTTGAAATTCGCTATTGACAAACTTTCGATACTACGATTGTCTGTGTTTATCACAAATGAGTACTCTTTCATCGGCATCTTTTTGAGTAATCCTTTTCAAACCTAGTTCTTTGTTCACAATGGCTATGATTTCGCGCCAGGATAGTCTATAGGCAAGGCATGTACAATATGAAGAGCGATTTCTCAACCAAGTCATGTTACCTTTGCAGATCTTCAGAAGATCATAAAGGACCTCTACAGTCTGCCTCAATCCTAACCAGGCCAAAATTGGCATGGCGGGAGTCCGCGCTTTTAGCGTTTTCGGTCACGCCCATAGCCTGCTTCTCTACTCTCTCTCCAATCCTTTTGCTCTCTCCGACAGCGCGCATATGCACCGCAAACGCTTCGAGCGCGCAAATCTACGCCGACGGTTCGGCCTGATCCCAATTGGAGCAGACTGTAGTAGCGTTGGCAAGCAGTAGTCTTGCCTAAAGTCCAGCAGTTTTTCATGTTGGCTTTAAAATGACAGAATGGATTGCTTAAGGAGTAGCGTGACCCTATGACGTCGTATTTCAAAGAGCAAGTGATTTTGTGAGTTTCATCATCCAGACGAGAGGAAAGATTGGGTAAGAGAGTCTTGTCTTCGCGAACTTTTCACAATTACCACGTACACATATCTCCAAATCAACATCTCGATATCATTACCTTATAATGAATCAAACTAATGCCCACATTTTAATGAAACAAACTCACGTTCCTATCTCAATGTTTGGGGGTCGATGCAAATGCTTCTAGAAAAAATGTCTCAAAACAGGGAGAAAATGAATACTTGAATGCACATACCTTGTCACAGTGACCATATCTGCAGTATGTGTTCGGGTAGTAAGGACAATCTTTATCAACCTTGCAGCTCTGTTGGAGATGAACGCACATTTTGTCAATGCATTGCACATTTGGATAATAAGGGCAAGTGACATCTGAGGTGCAAGGCTGCCGAATCTTGACACAGCTGCGGATGACACAGACTACTTCGGGATAAAATGGGCATTCTTTGTCTTGGCGGCAGGGTTGATCGACTTTTCTGCATTGCCTTGCGATGCAGAACGTACCCGCATATGTTTTGCAATCTAAATCTCTTACGCAGTTCAGAATTTTGACGCAGAGAGAATTCAAGCAGAAAGTCGAGGGTCGGTACGGGCAGTCCTTGTCCACAAGACAGAGCTGGCCATATTTTACGCATTGGGATTTTACACAACCTACACCAGGTGCTGAGATGCAGTTTGAATCTGTCTTGCACTGCTGTCCCAATTTTGTGCATACTCGATTAAGGCAGTAAACCATTGGGTCAAGTGGACAATCTGAATCCCTCCGGCACATTTGTCCTAGCCTGTTGCAGCGTGAAGCAACGCAGTAGGTGGATGGATAGCGCTTACAATCATCATCTTTCTTGCATGAGACTGACTTTATACATTTAGAGTTAAAGCACATAGTGTGCGGTTGTGCTGGACAATCTTTGTCAGTTGTACATCGTCTATCTGAGTGATAACAGTGACCCAAAATGCAAATAGCATTGCCTAGACATTCATTATCTGCCTTGCAAAGCCGTTCGACGCTAAGACACTTCCTATTAACACAAGCTTTACCAGGATATCGTAAGCAGTCACTATCTGTGTTGCATGTGTCCGTTCTCCTACACTGCGAGTTTGTACATCCAACCTCAGGATAGAAGGGACAGTCTTGGTCTTTGTCGCAAGTCTGCGGAAACTTGAAACACTGTGAATGGATGCACTGTGCTCCGAGATATTTTGCGCAGTCTCGATCCTTGGTGCATCTTACTCCATGTCTTACGCATGCTCCACGAAAACACTCAGTGTTTGCATAATCCGAGCAGTCTCTGATGGTTCGACATGGCTTTCTATCAGGCAAAACGAAAGCTCTGAAACGATTAGATAACGCAGGCTGAAAGACTTTTCAAAAACACTTACTGCTCTTTCAAGCAAATACTAAATTTGCTTATCATATTGGAAAAAATAGTGCGTATATAAGGTATCTGCGGGTTACTCCTACAAATTTTCAGTCAAGGCTAACACGTTGATAGCAAGCCATTTTCATATGTGTACCTGTGAACGAGACGTTTCCATGCACTTTTAGGCCCGTATGCACGTACATCCCCGCTGGGGAGGGGAGAAGAATCTGAGAGGGGAAGCGTCATATTTCGCTACTCTGTATACCTTTATTCTTCCTTCTTTATCTGTGATATGAAGGTTCTCATACCCTGATACCTACGCATAATAGATGCCAGGTTACTGCCGTACAAGATTAGATTTTCACCAGCTTGGGTGATCCCCTGGGGATCCTCCGGGGATCCCCTCTCATTTTCGAAGAATTTATCTTTCTGAAAACTCCATGAAAATGCCGTAAAGTTTACTGAGGATATATACGGCACTGCTAACCATGTTTTTGACAGAAGAAATGGAATCTGAAGATTATCAATTTTTCGATAACCCCTGGCTCGCGAGCAGCGGTTCATCGAAAATTTCGATATACTGAGATTTCCCTTATTTCTACTATAGACATGTTTAGCAGTACCTATTATGCCCTCAGCACAAATTTAGAACATTTTCATTGAATTTGTAGGAAGATAAATGACTTTGAAAATGAGAGGTGATCCCCTGGGGATCCTCAGGGGATCACACAAAGTTGTAATCTAAAAATCTAATCTTGTATGGAAATAACTTGGCATCCATTATGCGCAGGTATTAGGGTATGAGAACCTTCATATCACAGATAAAGAAGGAAGACGAAAGATATACAGAGTAGCGAAATATGACGCTTCCCCTCTCAAATCTCTTCCCCTCCCCGCGGGGATGTACGTGCATACGGGCCTTAGTCCTGGCTACGTTTATATATATGCATTCAGGTATGCATGAAGTATGGACATATGGGTGGGCAGGGCGGCTCCGCCCTTTTGTCAGATAAGATAGTGAGTGCTTGAGAAAAACGTGAAGCATTTTGCAGAAAAAGCAGGGCGACACAAACAAAGCGCGTTTGCATTGTGTGAGTTGATACCAGTCAACTCGGATTATTTCTATTTTAAGCTGAAAGTGCGATCTTGGCAGAAAAAGAAAGAAACTTGGAAATAAACGGCGGACTCGGGGGAGAAGCGAAGAAGCGCCTCTCGTTCAAAGGTAGCCTGGAGTAACGAAATAGCGCAAATTACTCATTCCCACTTATAAATAATTGAATAAAATTTCAATTTTTGAATTGAGATCACCCTTGCAAAAAATGTTCTAGGGCTTGACTGTAGTAGCAATTAATTCTTCTAAGATTCTGGGGTTTATGGTTGCGCAAAAATCTGAAATCATCCCAAAAAATCTCTCGGCTGACCCGTGCCCCCTTATCCGAATAAAACTCACCATTCAAGCTATTTTACATAGTCAAAGCAAAAGAAAATATGTTACAAACAATAAATTGATGTGAAACAATCAGTAGAGACGCAGTTCCATTTTTTTGCGTTATAAAGACGGTTCAAAATGACTCACATTCCAACGGTAGACAGAGGTCCAGCTTTCTAAAATTTCAGTTTGAGCTAATGTTGTTGTTCAGGCACAAGCGTCTTACCTTGCGACATTGTTGATTTCTGCATACTGTAGCTGGGTAGTTCGGGCAATCCTTATCCTTGGTGCATCTTTGATGAAGTCGAATGCATTTTCCATCAACACATTCGAGCTTAGGGAAATGAGGACAACTGTCGTCTGTCGTGCAGGTCATGCCCACTTTTATGCAACGCATGTTGATACATGCAGTATTTGGATAAAATGGGCATTCGCGATCAATACGACAAATTTGTCCCAAAGTTCTGCAATGTTTTTCCATGCAAAACGTGTCCGGGTAACGGCGACAGTCGAAGTCTACCTTGCAGGTGATGATTCTTGCACAAAGGGATCTCAAGCAAAAAGTATGGGGATAGTAAGGACAATCACTGTCTATAAAACATGGTTGCCCTAATTTGACGCATGTAGATTTGATGCAACTAACGCCATGGCCAGAGTGACAGTCACTGACTGCTTTGCATGGCTGCCCTAGCTTGATACATTTGCTGTTCAGACAATGTACATGTGGATCAAATGGGCAGTCTGAGTCAATCCTACAACCTTCTCGTAATGGTTTGCAGCGTGAGTTGATGCAAAAGGTGTCTCTATGAGCTCTGCAGTCAAAATCTTTTTTGCACTTTAGTGCTCTCACGCATTGTGAGTCAGAGCACATAGTGTGTGGGTATGCGGGACACGCTTGATCTATTGCGCACCATTGCTTCAAAGCAATACACTTCGAATCTATGCAGAATGTGTTTTTTACTGGACACTCGGCATCGCTTCTACAAGACAATGTACACTTGGAGTTGACGCACTTCCTGCCTGGATACCGTGAGCAGTCTGAGTCTGTTCGACACTTGTCTGCTCTCTTACATTTTGAATCTACGCAGGACAAATAAGGGTAGAAAGGGCATTCCTCGTCATATATGCATGGAAGTGCAATGTTCAGACAAAGGGAATGAATGCACTGAGCTTGTGGGTAAGCAGGGCAATTATGATCATCCGAGCAACTTCTTCCCGACCTTACGCAATGTCCGTAAAAACATTTGCTCTCCACATAATCCGAACATTCACGGTCCTTTGTACAAAATTTTCGATTTGGCCGCATGAAAATGCTGCAATGGACATTGTTAACAGTAACGATTGTATTGAATAAATATACCACAGTTACCAACAACAAGCTACGTTTTAGTTTTCAAGCTCGGAAGGCTATAGCTGAAAGCAAGCAAGGTGTTTTTCAACGGCTTATGAGTCAAGAAAGGCAATGAAGCGGTTTGGTCTCGCGTTAATAACCGATGCAGTACAAAAAAATTTGAATGGTTGAAAAATGATAGCAAACTTACATTGTGCGGAATATCGGAAAGTTGTAAGCCAAATACTAACAAGAAAATGGTCAGTTGACCAATCCAAACAAGACGCATGCCGTTGTGTGCAGCATAAGACGCTGACTCCAATCTGCCTTTATTATCTGCTAAAAGCTTTTGTGAATGAATGCGCAGAATTATCAAAGGAAAATCGTACATATAAATGCGAAATCAAGCACATTACTGCTTTTTTAGCTGAGCTTTGGGCATGGTCTGAATAAAATGATCTAGCTGTGTGTTTTGGCACGGCACTAAGGCAAGCATGGACGTGCATGTCGAAATTTGCACATTGTGTGCGCAGTTTGCTATACTATGCTATATTTTGCTACAAGGTTCATAAATCTGTCCATAAAGGCTTTTAGCTACAAGGTTCATAAATTTGTCCATAAAGGCTTTTACGGATAAGGAAGACAGGTTTGGAAGTCATCGTTACATGCTGCATTCAACATATGCAGCTTAGAAGTTGGTCACTTCGCTTCTGACCATTTTTTTTTGAACTTTGAACAGTCATGTAACCGAAAGTAATAAAAAGAAGAAGTGATTTGCATTTTAATGCCCACCCATGTGATTAGGACGAAAACTCACAGCCCAACCGCAAATTTCAATGTTCAATGGGAAGGCCGCTTGTATGCTCAGTATTTTTGAAATAGACTCGACAAATTTTTCGAGTGGGTTTAGCATGGTAGCGTATTGAGTAGCTCGACGCGAATAATTCTTGCGCATGCTATAAACGAAATTGCGTAAATTGAGAAGGTGATAATGCTATGCGTTATTTGTACGGGACAAGGAAAGGGTGCTACGCCACGCCTCGACAGTTATGTGATTTGGAAAACTCACACTCCAATAGTAAGCTGCAGCACTGGTCTTGGCTTTTCGCCTTTCTGCAAATTGCGATGATCTTTTCTAACTAAACTCAATGGTCTACGTTACCTTGTCGCAGTACTTTTCTTTATTGCACACAGTTTCCGGGTAGTACGGGCACTCTCTGTCTTCTCTACAGCTTTGATGAAGGCGAACACACACGTCACTGACACATTTGGCGATAGGAAAATAGGGACAGTTGACATCTGCAGTGCATGGCGTGCGCACTTTGACGCAACGTAGATTTATGCAGGCTGTCTGAGGATAAGCGAAACATTCCTTATCCTTTTGACACTGTTGTCCAACTTTTCTGCATTGCCCCGCTAAGCAATAAGTTCGCGGATATTGACGGCAGTCCGTGTCTACTGTGCATGTTTTCACCTTGGCACAAAGAGAATTGAGGCAAAAGGTTTCGGGATGAAATGGGCAGTGTCGATCAGTAAGGCAAGGCTGGCCTAGCATCATGCAATGCCTGTTTACGCAACCAATTCTTGGTGACGACGCGCAGTCCGAGTCTCTGAGACATCGTTGTCCTAATTTCATACACTTACTATTTATGCAGTGAACATGAGGATCAAGCGGGCAATCCGAGTCAACTCTACATCGTCCACGTAATACTCTGCATCGTGAGTTAATGCACTGCGCATTTTCAAAATTACTGCAATCAAGATCCTTTCTGCAGTCAGCTGCTTTTATGCACTTCGATCGGTAGCAAGTCAAATACGGAAAGCCTAAGCAGTCTATATCCACCCTACAAATTTGATCCTTTGGGACACAACGCGATTTGACACAGTACATGTTGCCAAGCTGCGAACATTCACTATCGCTCTTACAAAAGTGCTTCGCAATAGCACATCTTGATTGCTCGCATGTCCCATCTTGAAGATGAGAGCAGTCTGATGTTTTACAGCATTTGTCAGTTCTTATGCAACGATTATCTATGCATGATGTGATTGCACGAAAAGGGCAATCTTCGTCATGTAAGCACTCAATAGCGATTTCTAGGCATTGCCCGTAGATGCACTGTGAAATCGGGTAAGATGGACAGTCACCATCGCTTTTGCATGAGCTCCCAGTTTTCACGCAGTTACCGTGCAGGCATATCGTTCCCGGGTAATTTATGCACTCTCTAGTTTCACTGCAGCTTACATCGGTTTTTTGAGAGTAAATACTGAAATAAGTAAACATTGTCATTATTTCCATGCAATTTACAAAATTATCGAAAAGATAAAATCGCTCACAGTCCTGCACCAACAATGTTTTCGTCTACCTGAAAATAAATAAAACCACGGCCATTCATTACTCTGTCAAAGCTCTACCTCACTTCCAAAAACATTACCAAATTTGACGCCTCAACGTTTTCCCGTTCATTCTCTTCCACCTTCTTTATTTCTTGACAAACATATTTTAAGATCAGTTACTCTCTCACTTTAAACTCGAAAGTAAATAATGCAGCTAATCTTAATTAGTTCTTTTGTTCGATATGATTCCAGCACCTCTTCAAGTCCAAATGAAAAGGGAAACGAATTTTAGGGGAGCTTTAGTTTCAAATCCATACTCAAATCTAGATCTTGCGGCGGTTCTTCGAAAAAGGTCCAAATAAAAGAAAGAAAAAACTAAGCCTATTATGAGGGAGTTTTCAAAGCATTCAAAGCAGCATTTTTCCTCAGCGATTCGTGGAACAAATCTGCTGCTGTGCATTTTGGCTTACGGGGATCATGCAAACAACTGTAATAGACGATCGCGCACGAATAGCGACAGCAGCAAAGTCCGCTTTTCAAAAGCTAGCAACTTTTTACACTCATGAGATTCAGTGTAAGTGATGATAGTAAACTCATATGGTTACAGTAATTTTTTATGAAAAGGTACAGCACACAACTATGGTCTGATTGACTTTTAGATCATGAATTAATTTTTGATCAGATTGTTTTTTGATTTTGTTCTAATATTGACAAATACGTGTGCAAGACACATTCTCGCAGTAAGTTGTAGTTGCATAAATTCCAAACAAAAGTCACTCGAGATTTCGTATTAAAATCAAATTTAAGCTTTGTCTGAGTAATACATGCTGTCGGGTGAAAATGGAGTGGAAACTGAAGTTTTGAAATAGGTTTCAACTTACCTGTACATACTGCGTTATGTCGTATGTATGTACATGGTCATGCTGTTCATGTCTCTTTTCTGAAAGTTTCCTGTCCAATTTAAGTGTATACTGAATAACACGCGAAATTGTTCACCATAGTAATTTTGCGACGAGGTAACTGCTATCTGTAACAGCAGAGACACGACACCCACGGACACCCTCTGAAAGCAAATCTCTCGCTTTGGATTTCCATACCTCAAATACATCGAAATCTCACTTGGGGTGTCACTTTGAGAAGCATACTCCAGACCGAGTTTACAGCCTAGAGTTTACTAGCGGATCTAAAGAAAGTTATAGGACTTAACGATTATTGGCAAAGAGGAACTTTGCTAAGGACTTCAACTTCATTGTTCATTAATTTAGATTGGAAAAATGAAAATGGAAGTGAATTTACTTCGAAAATGTACTTGTTTCAAAATAAGTACAATTTTGAAGCTTCAAAGTTTATGCACACAACAACTCTTCAGTGACTTCTACCAAAGTTCTCTTAAAAAATCCACTTGGGATGCTAGTGTGATATTTCAAGAGAGAAAGAAATAAGCGAGTTCTTGTGTGCAATTTTTTCAAAAAGAAACATTTTTCATGTTTTGAAAAATGATTATTCAGAGAAAACAAATTCTTGGCTTGATAGTTGCTTTTATAGCAGCGTTGACGTTAACTCAAATTATGCAAAGTTTAATCGTTCTTTTCTCGATATTTAACTCATGTTTGAAAATTAATCCTGCATTAAAACGATAATTGCGATACCATTAAAAAATATTGTTTCACAAATGTCTTTTCCACAGTTATGGAAGATTTTATTTTTACATCGCATAATGCCTAGGCATAAACCAAATAAACAGAAGGACGTAAGAACAAAAGCTCAAAGAGCGCTTAAGCTACTTATTGTCAGATACTACCACTCGAAAGACGTGTTTTGATCCTCACTTAGACATCATCAGTTCTCTAGTTGTCCCATTGTCGTTTGCTCTGATTGCGAAAGCAAACTAAATAATAACAGAATGGCCTAGTTAAGCGTTACTCTAATATACGGTGCGTGCGGCGTTTGCTAATGGCCAGCCTGCGGCCCGCACGCCTGCGATTCACACGCTATAAGTGCGTTGGATACAGGCGTAAGTTATGACGCTGTGATGAGGTTGCTGCATCGCTTGTAGATCTGACTTGACATTTCTTGGCAGTCTGTATTCGCTGAAATATGAAAACTTCCTCGTTTTTACGAAGAATTAACTTTCAATAGCGTCGAGGAACGGTGCTGGATATAAGCTTCCGAAATTTCATTTCATTTCTCAATTATTACATACAGGGTGTCCCAAAAGTAAGTACACTTTTTTCAATCGTTAATATCTCTCTTCCTATTGTGTCTTTTTTCCGCCATTTGAGTACTTTTCTGTAGAGGAGGCTTCAACTTAGATATACAGTGTCGAGCAATTTACCAACCTCTCTTCATTACTGTAGGATTACTGTAGGAACTTGGACAAGGATTTCAGGCCATTGGAAGCCGTATTCTGCCTCGAAACAAACCCGAACAAGCCAAAATCTCTTATATTATGGTAATGGAAGCCGCTGATTTCGAACATGAAGTTTCCATTTTACTGTGATGCTTCTTTCCAACGTTATCCCAGGTAAACCGTAACAACCGAATTCCCGAATATTTGTCAGAAATGTGATCACACGGTCAAAAAGGCTGAAAACACTCGTAAAAAGTTGTGTAGTGGAATCAGCGTGCGCGAAAACCCTGGTACACGATTTTTCAGATTTGTTGAAATAAATTCTGTCAGATGGCATATTTCACAATGGTTCCACATGGTGGAAGTTCTTACCGTGATCCTACAGTAACGAAGAGCGATCGGTGGATGATTCAGTCGATACTGTAAATCTAAGTTGAAGCCTCCTCTACAGAATGGTACCTGACTGGCAAAAAAAAAAAGACTCACTGGGAAGAAAGATATTGACGATTGAAAAGTGTGTACTCACTTTTGGGACACCTGTAGTATCAATCTATTTAAAACAGCAGTAAAACAAAATTTCAGAACTAAAACTAAATGAACACAACGAAATAACAAAACATAACAAAGATGTAGTCAAATAATAGCAGAAGGACCAGTGTTAGTCATAATACTAATGCTAAACTGCAAATAACTCTTCAAGATAGTCTTGAACTGAATTAACTTTGCAGGAAACAATCCTTTCCTGATGAGCCTGTCCATACTAAAAACAACACGACAAATGAAAAAGTTTCTGCAGACCTTCAACCTGGACCTGGAAATGATCAACTTGCGCTACTCCCTGCTCCCCCCCCCCCCCCTCGTAGTGGAAATTTTAGTGGAGAAGAATACCTTGAACTCTAAATCACACTTACCATATGCAATCTTATGCGCCATTATTAGGTCAAACTTGCGTCTTCTATAGGCAAGTGTGGAAAAGTTGAGATTTAATATACTGCGTATCTTACCCTCGGTATCAAATCATACTATAATCAATCTTGCGTATAAAGAGTTTGCGTGTGAAAGTACTCTGAAACTTCTTAATGCAATGGCTTTACGCACATATGGATCATATATTGCGGTGCCGTGCTCGTACATATGGTTCATATTAGGTTGGTCCGAAAGTTTCGTCAGTTTTTTTTAATCTATCGGCAAACACGCTAGAATGAAGATAAATAAACGCTTTGAAATGCATCCAGTGCGGAATTTCTTTTTCTTTCCAGCTGCTAAACTTTCATTGTGTTTCGTTGCGAGAGTGACGAGATATTTTCTGGGAAATACGACCACTCGTTTTTACTATGTCTAACTTTCGCTAATTTTCAAAATTTTTGTATGAGAACTTCAGAAGAGCCGTAATAACCAGCAGATAGGGCAAACCTTTGGCCAACTTACACAATTTTTTTCAGCTGTTTTTTCAGATTTTTGCTAAATAATTTTATTGAAAGTCTTGTGTATTGGAAAAATCGCATAACCTGTTATTGCACCAAACACTGCAAAACCTACAGAAAGTTGAGGTTTCAACGCACGATTATTACTACTGCTACCACTACAAAGCAAATGAGCAATTTTCGCTTCAAATTATGAAGATTTTGAAACATAGCTTACGTCAGTGCGCATATATTTCCTGGAAAATACAGCCACTCGTTTTTACTATGTCCAACTTTCGCTAGCTTTCAAAATTTTTGTATGAGACCTTCGGAGGAGCCCTAATAACCAGCAGATAGAGTAAACTTTTTGCCAACAGAAGCAATTTTCTGTAGCCCTACGGCTTGTCTTTCAGATCTACGATTTTTTTTAAAGTGACCAAATGATACATTCAGCCTGTTTTAACCTCGTAGAACATAAAACGTTAAACAGTTCAGTCACCATTCAATGCAAATCTTTCTCCTCTTTCTAACACTTGTTTTTTTTGCCGAGACAGGCGAAACTTTTGAAGAAAATCGCAGTTTCTCAATTTCAGGAGTGCGCACTGACGTAAGCTATGTTTCAAAATCTTCATAATTTGAAGCGAAAATTGCTCATTTGCTTTGTAAAGGTAGCAGTAGTAATAATCGTGTGTTGAAACCACAACTTTCTGTAGGTTTTGCAGTGTTTGGTGCAATAACAGGTAATGCGATTTTTCCAAAACACAAGACTTTTAATAAAATTATTTAGCAAAAATCCGAAAAAACAGCTGAAAAAAAAGTTGTGTGAGTTGGTCAAAGGTTTGCCCTATCTGCTGGTTATTACGGCTCCTCTATGTTCTCATAAAAAATTTTGAAAATTAGCGAAAGTTGGACATAGTAAAAACGAGTGGTTGTATTCTCCAGGAAATATCTCGTCACTCTCGCAACGAAACACAATGAAAGTTTAGCAGCTGGAAAGAGAAAGAAATTGCGCACTGGATACATTTCAAAGCGTTTGTTTATCTTCATTCTAGCGTGTTTGCCGAAGGATTAAACTGAAAAAACTTTCGGACCGACCTAATTTACGGTGCCGTGCTCTGGATTTGTGAGTTCAAACTCATATGTTCGAACTCGTTGAATTCGTATTTTAATTTTGGAATATGAAGCTTTATGTAGGACTTATTCCTAATACTGACTTGCGGACGGAGCGCTGTCAATACCTTGCGGCCGCGCGCTTTCGTCTGGCGGCGCGAGCATGTTCCTTGTGCGGGCCGCGCGCACTACAAAGCGCTAATACGCGGATACGCGCGCGCCGCATGCACCGAAAATCAGTGTACGGCTGGTTAGAAATGTGTCCGTTTAGTACAAAATGGATCATTCTCTCAAAAAAATGTATCGCCGAGTCGTCGATCACACAGACTGGCTAGATTGCGAGCACGCGAGGCGAGGCTGAAATGTCACAGAAGTCCGATCTGTACATACAATGAAATCATTTTGGCACAAGCACCTAGGTGCACCGCGCGTGCTCCACAATCTACGGTCAGTCCGGTGGTCGACGACTTGGTATCTTATCTTATTTTGAAATGGAGCATAACACCATAAATACAGCAGAATAACCATTAGGAAAATCTCCAATCCACATTTTAAAGCTTCTCTTAGCTAGTTTGAATGAATGCGATATTTTTACTCTCAGAGATATTGTTTCGACTACTGTTTGAATTAGTATAAATGCTTAATGTAACCTGCGGTTTTTTACTTGCTCGACTGTCTTCATTATATTTCAAGAAAAATTACAATGTTGTGTATAATCACAATTCACCCAATTTATCACACCATTATTATCTTGAAGAACAGTCAGCTGATAATCGTTTGAGTTTGCTGAGCTTCGACCAAGATACCAGCCACACTTTATTCACGGCCAACGTTTCGGCGGGATCGCCTTCGTATCGGATAAGATAAGCGCGGCAGTGCGGCGATGCGTACATCTCGCGGGTTTGCAAGACGATGTCAGGGTGGTCGATATACCACCCTCGAACCTAAAGCGTCAATTGGTCCGAAATCGATCTTACGATCGTACCTGCCTAACCCCAGCTTGTGTCGTTTGCCCATTTGGCAAAGAGGGTGATTGCATGATCTCCGGGGTTATTTATCTCATCACATGTTTATCGTGTGGTGATACGTATATCGGAGAAACAGGACGACCTCTTTGCTGCCGTGTTAAAGAACATCTGGATGGGTTAAATAAACTGAAAGCAGCTACGCCGTTAGGCAGCCATCGCATTTCGTGCCATGAAAATGCTGAGATCAGTATTGGAGTGACTATATTGGCGTACGAGCCCGACCTCCTAGCGCGCAAAACTTTGGAAGCGTTCTGGATCAACGCCAAGAATCCAAAGATGAACCGGAAGGAAGAA